CCACTCTCGACCCTTTTCACTGTTACAGCATTTATTACTGTTTCATTTACTGAAACTTTTTCGGATATGTAAGCAGATTTATAAACTGCAAGTACGCTCCGAACGAATGCAGCTTCTATCCTGAATATAGCAGCCCAGAAGCTTAATACTACATCAGATTGGTGGCCATCAACAAATCAGCACACAGAGAACCAAAAGGGATGGAACAATGTTGAAATAAAATCAATGAAGACAATTGGTACTTTACCCAGGAGTAAACCGTACGACGACAAGGACTCCACTCCCACTCGCCCTGGTACTCGCACTCCGGAGAGCCTGTCAGGACACAAATTGAATGACTGACAAATGCACTTATCTATGAGCAAGCTGAGCAAGTTGGCCGAAGCTTTTGGGATTTGCATACGCAATAAGCCAACAAGAAAATACTACACCAAACAAAAAAGAAAAACACAACAAAAATTTAAGACCAAAAAATAAAATAAAATAAAATAAAAGTAAATCCCCAAGGTCTTTAAATACATCAATAACAAATGCACTGTAAATCACTTCTATTTCCCTCTCTGCGGTTGCTAGAAAATATGCACCCGAATTTGAGTGATTGAAATTTGTTTGATTAGAAAATAAGCAAACATCCATCTCTGGATTGGGTCTGCACTGAAGCGGACAATGTGTGTGTGCTCGAGGCCACATTGTGCAATATTTATTGTGCTTTAAGGGCCCCATCCCCCGTCATATACGACACACAAAAACCAACAATAAATAAATATATGGGCAAAGTAATGTGTAATTCTCTTCTGGTGAATGAAAAGTCCTGCACATAATAAACAACAGCGAAAGCAATGCAGCATGCCACACACTCAAAGCAGGCGAAGGAGCGGTGGGGCAAGGGTTCTCGCATATTTTTAATAAAAGCAAAATCATCACAAAAGCTCTGGAGAAATGTTGGTTATATTAAAGCGAGCAAAGGGGCAGCTTCGGCCAAGTAAACAGAGCCAGCCCGCGGCAAGCCCAGCCATGGAACACAAGGCAGAGGCAGCAGGCAGGCCAAGAAAAATGAAAGAACAAAAAATACAATAAAAATTACTGAACCGAATGCATCATAATGTTTATGTCAAAAATGAACAGCACCAGCAACAACTACAACATGAAAGAGGCAAGCCACGGCATGCCAGGAGGCCAGGCCAAGGAGCTCGGCCATCCAGCTCCAGCTGGACAGGCCAAGATGCATTTCCTGTCCCCAGGCGGAGGGCAGTCAGTTGTGGTCTTTGTTCCAAGGAGCAGCAGCCCGGACCGGGCTCCCAGTTAGATGTTGTGGCCCACAGTGAAAGGGATATGTTCAACATGCACCCCACACTACATAATTGTGGTGGTGCTGCTGGTGCTGCTGCTGTTGCTGGGGCAGCATCAAAATTGATTATGAGGCAGCTGGGACTGTGTGTGTGTGTGTGTGGTCGGAGAATCCAACACTACCAGGGAAAAGAACTTAGCTGCCAAGACGGAATAGTGAAGTCTGCTGCCTCAACTGCCTGCATTCGGGTTTATTTTCTCCATAAACTTTTCTGAACGAGCAAAAGCCAGTCTCTTGCAAGGTTTTCTTTCCAATCGACTGGCAGGCCGCTTAAAAGCACCTTCAGACCTTTATGGGAGCTGCAATTAAAGCTTCCCATGTAACCCACACTGACAGTCTGCCTCAACTCAACCGTTGCCGCCACCTTGAATATTTTGTTGCACCTTACCTTGCTGCACACTCGACTGCTAACAGCAGCAACATTATGGCAGCAGTAGGAGCAGAGTGTAGCTTTTAGCTGCTAAAAACGACATCTCATAATTAAGAGTTGCAGGTTGTTTTTTTGATACCCAATGAAAGATTAGCAGCTATGTTGGGTCGCATTGCAGCTCATTTAGCTACGATTTCTATAGTAGAAGCTCTAATGGAGATCGAATAAATCGTATACGCTTTTATTGAATGAAGCGTTTTTTCTGTTCTTTTAGATTGTCCTAGAATAGAATTTGTCTTAAATCCAGGGTATTTTTGTTATCATGGAATAATCTTATAATATTTTAGAAATATTTCCTACCCATAGTAGGAACTCCACAGCCCCTGTGGTGGGTATCAGCTAGTCCACAGCCTCCAACACATCATCATTACTATGTCGCTTTCCGACGCCTGCCATTAGGAAACATCGCAACTGCTCAACAAGCGTGGGGGATGTGCCATCTCCAACCCCACATGGCTGGCCACCAAGTGTCATAGAGAAGTGCGCTAAAACAAAAAAAAAAACATCATTTGGAGCGGCATTTCTGTTCTGTGTATTATTTCAGTGTTTTTCATTTCCTACTCCGGCAAAACGCCGCAAAGCGACCAAGTGCGCACTTCATTCACACTCGATGCGTTCTGCCACTGCCACAGCCATAGCCCGGGGCGACAGTTGCCGTTACAGGTGGAGAATGGACCAAAAAAAATAAATGGAAAAAAAAAAGAAACGACTTCACTCCACTGGCTGGCGGCTGGCAGTCGCTTGTTTTCATGGCAAAATATTTACGATTTGGCATGTAAAGTGGCGTTTCTTGTGCACTTTTCCGGCAAATTCGCACTCCACACTGGATGGGGCAGGATTTAAAAGCCTCCACATCCAGCACCGCTTCGCCTTTGTTTGCACTGCAATCCTTTTAATGCTTCCCTCAAGCGTTTGGATTGTGCCTTTGTCACAGCGGAATATTTGAGGTTTAGCCTCGAAAGTTGATTAAAATATTCGATTCGATTCGATTCCAATTCCACTCCACCATTTGCCATTTGCCTGATTGCACAGATCATGGCAATCATATTTATTTCTATATAAAAAATTCCATCCCATCATCGCTGACATGTCTGCTGAGTCCCGAGGTCCCCGTTGACCGGATACGGCCATGGAGCCATGGGGTGGGAATAGTGTCCTTGGGCTGTCTTGTGCCTCCGCTGTGTCACTGTCCCCGGCGCATTTTTCTCCGGCGCTCGCCTGTCAATTTGTCTTTTCATTTCTCTCTTCTGCTCTGCTCTGTTCTGTTCTGCTTGGTGGTGCTCAGCTCTGCCCCTGCCTCCCCTGCCCATGCCTCCCAGTCTCCCTGACTGCCACTTATTTCCTGTCGCTGCCGTTGAATGCATTTTTAATTGGCTTCAAATTTCCGGCAGCGCCGAGTAAGACGAGACACAGAGAAAATAAAATGAAATTGAATTTTATTATTAAACACTTGGCTGTAGCGAGCAATCAGCTTTGGAATTGAATGTAAAGCTGAGCAAAACGAAACGAAGCCAAGACAGAAATGCAATGTAATGTAATGTAAGTGGTTCAGGAGTCTATTTGATATCCAGTAATTGCCAAGGGACTATCAAAGAAACCTATACAGAAAGCACGGATGGACAGCACAGTGTCTATCATAATTTTTCAAACAGCCTTGCCTGATTTTGTGGGCAGACAAAGTTTCGCAAGCAAAGCAAAATCTCTCAACTTTGCCCGGCAAGGAAAAGTGTTCGCCTGCTCGGCATCCCTCTCGGTCCGATTCTTTAAACTCGCATTTTGTACCACTTTCGGAGCGCTTATTGATTTCAATGATGACCCCAAATTGCTCCAATGAAAGTTGACTACGCAACTGGGGTGGTGGCAGTCCTTTGAACGCCAATTGAAGGAGGTGGCAATGAGCCGCACAGGCGGGGCAGTCGGGACAGGCAGTCAAGGTGAAAACGAGCAGAAGGCCTTGACATTTTGTGCTCTTCTGTCGGATGGCGTATCACGAGTGCTTGCTTCGCCAAGTATTTAATTAAAATGATGCGCAATCATAGGGATACAGACAAACACACACACGCACACGCACGTGTGCACATCCATAGAGAAAACCGTTAATCCATCTGCACTTCTGGTGAATACTGAAATACCTTCGTGCTGCATTTTGCGGCAATAAATTCAGAGCCAACTGCGTGCAATGCTCAAACAAACTACTAACTAACACACACACTGATACTAATATGCATACACTCACACTCACTGGGGCACAGCTGATCTCCTTGGGGGGCCTGTGTCGCCCGACCCGCTCTCTGGTGCCAGCGACGAGGCTCTGCACATTTTTGTTACCAAGATTTTAACTGTCAGCAAGTTGGGCGACTTAATTTGAATTTACGGCACCGCCAGGGGCGTACTCGTTCTGACTCTTTACCACCACACTCTCTTTCTAACTCTCTCTCTCTCTCTTAACCATTTCTCGCTCTCTCTCATTCTCTCCCTCTCTGGGGGAGCCGAGCTATTATTTTTCACAAACAGTATTAAATAGTGAGTGCAGTGGCAGTGGCTGCTGCTGCTGCTTCTTCCACTACTGCTGTTCCTGCGGCTGCTCTCCAGGTTGCAGTTCCGTGTCCAAGTCAACGTGTGTTGGTGCCTGCGGCCCCATGTATCAGTGTGTGCAAGTGGTGTGTTTGTGTGTGTGTGTCGGTTGTAGGTTGTGGGTGACAATAATATTCAAATTCTACTTTGTTGCAGCTCTCTGCACAACGGGCACTGGGCATGGCAGTGACACTTTTACACTCAATATATCTGCCTAGGAAGTCGCCACTCGCCTGGTTACCCCCTAAAGTACACTCAAAGAAAGCAGGCGATACCTGCGACACAATGAAATTTGTCAAATAATTCTTGTAGTTCGATCGGCACTTGGCTATGATCCGACGGAAAGCCGATATGTTCAATTATGTTTCTTATCTACCTCAAAGCACTATATTAATAATAAACCCATGTATTATTAAAGTTATTATTATACCTGCAATTCGTTCTGTGTCTGCTCGTTACAGTCCGAGTAAATATCGGAACACAGTGATGTGAAGTAAAGCGTCAGGTTACGCTGCCTCATCATCCACAACCTCACTTAAAGAGGATTCAGTGGCTAATCTCTACGGGTGAATATATGTACATATGTAATTGAATAATTTCTCAATCAATTTTATTCAATTTAATCATTTGGGCAAAAGTATTTCCAACCCCATAAATTAAATCTATTCTTGTTTCTTTAATTTTTCAAAAATTCGGAAGCAAGTGTGATGTATACGTTGACCACAGCTCGATTTACGTTGTATGCATACCAGTTGGATTGGAAGAGGTATTCCCCATCGGGAAATGGGAGAACTTCAGAGAATTGCGTGTTGACATAGTTGCCTGAAAGCTTATTCACCACAAGATCATGCTGCACGAAACCAAATGTTTTGTCTAAAATGTATCAAATTGGGATTTATTAAATGTAAACCACTTACCTCGAAGGGACAGGTATGATTCATATTCGAGTGCTTGCTAAAAAGACCATGAAACCAAACAAACACTGGGTTTGATTTTGGGTATCTTAATACTTTGCAGGCATCCACGGTAATGTTGTAGAGGAACGGCTTATAACCACTGAATCGCTTGAGCAAAGAAAAGTTTACCTAGAACGAGTGAGACTATAAATACTGGAAAAATACTACAAATTCGCTTTTTAAACATACTTTCACGTTGGTGACGGGAATCTTAAACAAATTAACTTTCAGAGACATGTACTTGTAGCTCCGATTCACCGACTTTAGAAAGCAATACTCAAAATCGCAAAAATCTTTGTCCAATGAAGTGCAATTGATATTAGTATATTCCACTTTAGTAGCGATCTAAAATTAGGTGATAATTTCTTTGATTTTAATGTGGATTGCAAGGATACTCACTCCCCTGACTAGGTAAAGGAACACAATGCATTTAGCTAGGACAATAAACGAGGAGCTCATCGTGAACATCAACGGGAAACTGTGAATGCCAATTTCGTGCTGTTTTGCTATATAGTATGTGCGTTTTGTGGATAAAGCCCAATGGCTAATGGAGCCAGTAATTACTCGAGATAATGTGTATATTTGACATTAAAGCTGCCAATGATCAATTATTTCTCTGGGGCATATGGAAAACCGATTTGTTGCAAGCGATAACAATGAAAATGCCAAAATACCATACGATGTTTAAAACTGTTGCGGATATTGGTCATGGTCTATGAACATTTTTGGTTTAAATGGTTGGCCATTTTGTGTGGATACATATCGAATAGGTATTTAGACAACATACGAGTACTTGGGATACGAGTAAGTCAAGATAAATTTCCTAATTTCCGAACAGATGACTTGTACTTGTACTTAATTTCTTTTCTTGCAGTGTAGTTTTCAAGTCCCGCTTGCGTGTTCATATTTATGTGTCTCCTGATAGCGACGCCCGCTGCAGTCAAAAGTTTTACTTCGTTCACACTTGCATTTGGGCTAGTTCTCTCCTCTTTCTCTCTCTTTCTGTGGGTGTGTGTATGTGTGTGTGTGTGTTTATATGCTAATACTTTAGCGCACATGGCAGGGCGCTATTATCGCGACTGCCACTTGGGCGTCGAACTTCCGTTTCCCTGCTGCTTTTTCTTTTGCCTTCGCCTTCTGCCTTCACCTCTGGAATGGTCTCCTCATGGAGGAGGATCTCCGAGCACTGAGCACTCGATGGCAGCCCAAAAGCATTTGCAATTTCAGTTTGCATTTGAGCTTGAGCGCTCGTCTCTCTCTATCTCTATCTCTCATACTCAGTTCCTCTCTTTCTCTGACTGCCACACTGCTTCTCTCTCTTTCGCATGTTGTAAAATGAATTTTACTTCATTTTGATATGTTTTCCCTGCTGGTTTTAGTGCCGGGCACATAAATACTTGTGGGATGTGTTGGGCGTTCAGTTTGTTTTGCCACTATCGCAATGATAATAAATTTTATTAATCTCGCTGTCACCCAACCACACAGAGACAGAGAGAGAGAGAGAGAGAGGAAAGAGTGAGTGAAATGGATAGCCCCACCCACACTCACGCTGATCAAGTGCTCAACTAGTCGAGAATGCATTTGTAAACGTGGCCGAGGATTCAGTGTCGCTCGGTGGCGCCTTGCAACTTGTTTCCATTTACATCTCGTGGCAGCTGTGGGAGTGGAAATTTATTATATAATTATTGTTGTGCGCAATAATTGTGGGGTATATTTATATCACTTATATATATTCGTGTCCCAATGCTGGGAGTGCTGTATGCTAGTTGCAAGCCCCTTAAAGATGTTAGATACCTTATTTCAGGCTGGGATAGGCCTGTCAGGCCTGTCCAGGGTTCCTCTACAAGAAATTTGTAGATTAGCTGGAACTTAAGGTTCGGGACTGGCCTTGTATGACCGAAAGAGTGGTAGGCAAGGATTACCGAAGAAATGACTCGAGAACTTCTGTTTTGTCTTTTGTTCTGGATTTATTTAATTATTTTTATTCGTGTTACTTGCTTATTTACACATTGATAATTTACTGCCTAGTGTAGTGTCTTGCGTTCAGGCTGATGGACCGTGGCTAGAGCCATGGTTCGTTGGCTCTGTGTATATATCAGTTTGATTATTGCTCCCGACCATCGTGGATGCGCTGACACACCGCTGTTTGTAAACATCCCTTCCCGATAAAAATTTCTTAGATTCTTCTACTTTTAAATTGTACGTTAAATAGCGCACTAAGAAGTGTTTTCTTCAACTTACCTTCATCGCATTTAGGCCCCTTTAAAGCCCAGTGGCCACCTAAATAGTTCACTAAAAGGCGGTCACCGAAAAAAGTCCAAGCCCATGGCCTAAGCAAGGCCCAACCAATGCTCCTAGGAAGCTCCAACCTCAAAGGGATACTCATACATATGGGGCCCATGTCATGGGTAAGAGTATGCATTTGTGTGGGGGCTGTTGGAAACTATATAGAAACTGGCAGAGCTGGCCAATCAAAAATTAATTCAATTTCTTGGTGGCTGGTGGTCGCAGTGAAAGTGCGTCCACATCCTGTAAGGCCTTGTCCGGACTAGGGCAGCGATTAAGGGCCTGCAGCCTGGAACTGGGACCAAAGCCAAGCATCAAATTTGATGATGCCAGTCATGCACGAACCCTTCCGACCATGGCCTGTTCGGCCACGTCCTGTCCTGTTGCTGTACGTTGCTCCGGGAAATGCAGTCTAAAAACCAACAAATGCCGGAAATGCGCCGCGACTGTCTCTGGTGCTGGAGCTGCCTGCAGCTGCCACAAGCGCTGCGATTAAACTTTCTGCATTAAATATTTCGAGGGGGTTTTCGGGTAACGAATTTCGGTATGTTGAGTGCCTGGGGAACAGAATTCGGAACGAGGCGCGGATGTTGTGGCTGCCTTTTTGCCAAATCTAATTGCAAATTTTATGTAGCCACAGACCAGTCCGCCTCCACGGACTCCCACTCGGCAACTCTGTGGAAACAATGTGGCGGCCACTGGAAACTGTCATTTTTTTTCCTTGCTCGCGCTTCCCGTTCAGGCGGCAGTAAATCATGAAATTTATTTAACAACATGCGAGCCAGAAAAAACAGGCAACATAAATTGCAAAAATGTCTGCACTTCGAGTGGCAGTTGCGCCACTGCACAGCACCCACTCCACCCCAGGAGGAATTGTCATTAATTTTGATGTGTTTTTAATTCGGTTTTGTGGTGGCAACGGCAACGACAACGGCAGCCCATTGACAAAGCCTCAAAGAACACGCGGAGTCTCCAGAGAGAGGAGCATTGGAATACTGTTTGGGATTTAATTAAAACTAATGAAAACTCTTGCCCCCAGCCGCAACCCTCCTACCAGCCACACAAGCAGCAGTCAATCCTCCAATTTGTGCCAAACGACAAAGGACAAGAGGCAGAGATGGTTCTTAGGACCTTGGACGGCCCTGGACTGGGTCCGGCACAGGGACCGGCACCGTCACCGACTGCTGCAAAGTGGCACAGGCCGAGCACTTGGTCGGCATTTTCTGAAATCTTTCACAACTGTGGAAGGGAATTCAGACGTACGAGACGGATATGAAGACCGGGGACCGGAGACGAACTTCAGATTCGACCTCCAGGCAGAATGACAGAGAAAAGTTGAAAACACTTTTGCCACAATTGCAAAAACCGAACAAAATGAGCTGCCACCACGCACTCGAGGGCACCTCGGAAATGAGCAATGAAAGTGCGTGGCCAAGTCGGAGAGCATCGTGCAATTACATAACCCCTTCAGTCCGTCAATGCCCGCCCCATCCCCATCTCAGTGTCTTCCAAGGATTAGGGTTAGCGCCAGGGGCCGGGGAAACGAGTGAAAAATCCGAATATCTTTCTGCTTGGGGTGGCTGGAATTACTCACCAAATTAAATTCATTATTGAAATAATGAAATCGAATTGCCAAAATATATCCCAGACCCCATGGAACTTATAGAGAGATTATTTAATGTTAGTCCTTCCCGACATAGCCAAATCTTGATTTGCTGCGAGACTTACTGGTCTTTGGAGGAGGAATGGATTTTGTAACTGTATCAGTCTGTATGGGGATTTCCGAACTAGCAGACTCTGTTCCTGCTGCCATGAGTGACGCAGGCACTCCGATTTGCTGCACAAAGCAATTGGATGTCTCAGCATCTGGCTTAATGCTCACAAGGAAGAAGCAGCCAGTTCCCTCCTCCAACGGCTGGTCCTGCAGTTGCTTCAGCCGCACGAGCAGATCACCAATCTGATTGATGATCCCCATTGACTCTGGGGAGGAGAGCGGTGTCTCGCCGCCGATTCGCCGTTCGTTTAGTGACGTGAAAGTTCTGTCAATGGCGAAGGTGGCCTGCCGGCTGATGCCAGGACGTTCTGACGTTTGAGAACGAAAGTTGCGCATTTCTTCTCCATGTTGTTCCTTCTCCTTCATCGGAAATATGCAGAGTTGCTGCAGCTCCTCAAGAAACCTGGTCTCATCGTCGACATTCTCATTGACCGCGGTCATTGTGCTTGGCAAGTCCAGCTCAGGCGGTGGCTTTGTGTCCTCCAAGCGTTCCAGCAATTGGTCACACTCCGCCAACACCTGGGCCATTCGCTTGGCCTCTATTTGGGCCAATTCTGGATCAGACAGGGGACAGTGTGTCAAAGGCATTGCATCCACAAAAATGAATGGCACGCCGTCGCTGGTAGCCTGGTCCACCTCCTCTGTTCCAGCCAGATTCCGATTCCCCGCATTGTTGCTGCTAACACAGGTCGCATTGGCACTGTTTGATGTGCCGGTTGGGTCCGATGGGGTCCCGCAATCGGAGCCCCGAATTGCCTTACGGCTGCTCTTCTTCTTGTTCATTATGCTGTGAGTATGTGTGCATCAGTGGGTGGATGTGTATGTGCGTTAAGCAAACGATCGGCGGACCGAGCAAATTTGCCAGCGCCTGGCCAAACGCTTTGCCATTCATCGTGATTTGTGTGGCCAGAGCCAAAAACTAATCCCCGATTAGCTGAGCAGTGAGCGAACACTCACCTGAAGGCCGGAAACTTAATGGTGCCGCCGCCTCAGGACTTCGATTGTTTCAGTACCGCAAACAAACAGAAATTTAAGCTCCTCAAAAGTACTCCGGATGAAAAAACAAAATTGAAAAGCAGGAAAGTTTTGCGTACACAAGAATCAGCGCAGGGAAAGCCCCCCCGGTTCGTCTTGGGCACTTGTGGCTGCTTTTCCCAGTGGGCGATGCGCTGCGGTGGTCTGGGCTATGGGATCTGGATCGGAAGGGGCGGAATGGGATCGGGAGTGGAGCACAATCCGTAAACCAAAACTTTATTTTGTGCTGATAAAAACTTAAATGTTGCTTCTGCCCCTTACTCTTACTCTTTTTGTGGCTGTGTTTCTGTTGCTGCCTCTGCCCGTGCCTGGGCTTCTGCCACGCAATCGTAAATGTTTGATATCCCCAAAGGTTAACAATTTCCTGCCGCTGGCCTCTTCCGACCTGCTCGGCTTTTCCTGGCTCAAGTTAGTTTTCTCCTTTTCTTATTCGGTTTAAAAAGAATTTTGCGGTTGGCCAAATGAAACCACAGCGTTGGTGGCTGCCACAAGCAAGTACACAGCGAACACAGAAGGACACGCGTATTGCCGTATGTGCCTGTGCTGCTTGCATGTGTGTGTTTGGCTGTGTGTTTGGTTGTTGGTTATTGCTGGGTTGTGTGGGTCTAAAGTGGAATTTTGAAAATTACTGAACTGCGAATCTCATTTGAGATGTTTTGAAATTCGATAGTATTGCCACTCGTACCTATAGGGACTGACAGATCAGGCAATGCCACATTGATGCACATTAGATTTGTTCCTCGTGAACAAATATTGCATTAGCCCAAAGCAAACAAGCAGTAGGTAAAGAGCGCCGTCATTTGCGATTTCCGCTTCTCTCTTTGGCCTACGATTCGACTTACGATATTCGAGTTTATTACTCTTTGTACTAAACGAGCTTTTGGCTCTCTCTGGCCTAGTCCTGGCAGTCGAGGGCTGAGCCGAGGCAGCCACACGAAGTTGCCACGACGCGGCCAGACTGCCAGACGAGGCACAAACAAATCAAACCTGCCCGTGTCCGTGTCCGTGTCCGTGTCCCTGTTCAGTCGAAATCGGTGCGAGCTGTGGCAAGGACGTGTACGCGGTCGGCGAGTGTCAATCTGCAATCGAATCGAGTTGTGGCTAAAGTTCGTGGCAAAGTTGAGTTGAGCAACTGCTGGTGCTTGGGGGCAAGCAGGCAAGCGAAGGCGTGAAAACACATTTGTGGCGAGTGTAATTTTTTCCCTGCCACCCCTCTACGTGTGCGGGCAATTAAAGTTCCTCGTGGCACCGTCACCAGCACCTCCATCGTACATATATCCCCGTCTGAGTGACTGACTGCTGACTGGTCGCGCAAATTGCTTGTCAGAGCAGAGGGTGCATGCCTCGTGGTGGCATGACATCGAAATGAATGTGCCGCAGGAATACAAAGCTTAAAGTGTTGCATAGCTTGCGTAGTCCCTCCCGTTTAGTTGGTGGTACTAAGTGGAATTATCAACCAAGGTACACAAACATATGTACATATGTAAACCCCATCAAAGGCAAGTGAAATTAATAAATGTAAATGGACTTACACGCACCCACACGTGTGCACAGAGTAAAAAATCTTAATTAAAGCTGAGAGAAAGGGAAAATGTTGAATAAAAAATAAATGCAAATGGCAGGAAGGTCCTGCGAAAGCAGCAGCAACATATGAAGCCAGGGAAATGCCATTCGGTTGACAAAAACAAACCCCACATCCAAGTGGAGAGAAATTCGCATATATATCAAAATTTATGGAAACCCCCTCCAAGCTGAGGCACATTCATGTGGTGGGTAGGGGGTTCTCTTATGGCCTGCTTCTGGTTGTGGCAGCAATTTTATTTATTTGTTTGCTTTACTTACACAGCAGAAACGACAACAACTACAGTATACTCGAATGTACGTATACTATGCCCAGAGGGAAAACTCTAATGAAAACCAACAGCATTTTGTTGGCACTCTCAATTCTGGAATACTCGTATTTTCCATCAAATGCCGAACTTTTGAGGCATCTCTCTGGAAAATTCAAGTGCTGGCAATTAGCCGAGCAGCTTCTCACCCTTAAATCGTGTTTGACTTTCGACAGGCCACTGCCACCCACCCTATGAGGGAGATGGGCCCCCTCCTACTGGCCACATCCCCTGGGGCTGGGTCGCCCATGGCGTGCGGGGGCATTGTGGCCAAACAATGCATATTCTAATATGCTAAATGGTTGGCCATTGTAAGGAACACATCACAACCTGCCCCTGCCCCTGCCCCTGCCCCTGCCACCATACCACAAACTGATATTATGGCCAACAAAGCGAGGGAGTTGGCAAAACAAAAGACACAACGATTCAGTTAAGGTTCGTTTCGAATCGTCATAATTTCAATTAAAATTCAATTGAAAATATATGCAAAGGCAAACAATGCCGCAAATGAAGGGGTTGTGGGTACAGCACAGCCATAAAAGTCAATTAAATAATGAATTCAGCGATATTTATCCGGTAAACAATATACATACATGTATCTTTTGTGTGTGCATAAGCAAAACTCAAAAAAATATCCATTCTCCTTATCCGTTTTCCCTTTTTTGTTATTGATTAACCATTGAGAGGTAATTGACATTTCAATAATTCCATAAATAGTAAAGTAGCTGCCCCGAACCTTACCTAGATTTTTCTCCATTTCCTATTAAGCGATTTCTATTTTTTTCCTTTTGCTTTCAATTTAGTTCACGCCACTTGAGCGAACTTAAATATTTCTTCACACTTTGCCTTGTCGCCATCGTCTTTTGGCAAAAGTTTTCCAATTATATGTCGCCTTTTTTCGCCCAAAACAGTTTTTCCCCAACGCTTTTCATATTTGCTTTTCTTCTCTTTTTTCCTCCTACTCTCTTCCCCTCCCTCACTCGCTCATGTCGCTGGGAAAAGTTTTTATCGGCGCACAGAAAAAATTATGCTGGCATTGCTCTCGTTCATATATGATTGGCGTAGCGGCGGCCCGAAAGTTGTGTCCCCTCCAGAAAAATCTTATCATAAGCAGAGATTTTCCCCAGCAAGAGACACAAATTTTCAGAACTACAGTATTCACTTTTTGGCTGCCAGATCAAATGAAAATCAATTCTGATTTGGGACAAATGTAAGCCGAAAGTCAGGTACATTTTCGCCCTGCACTATGGTTTTGTTCGTCCGGACTTGTTGATATTGTTTTTGCCTTATTTGCATTTGCATTACCATCGCTACCTTCTATCTATGGGTGTAACTGTGGATACTGTCATCCGCATGTTTCGAGACATGGCATACACGTTATTTCACTTTAGTACATTAGGGCAGACTTCCTCTCGCCGGTGCGCTTAATTTCCGGCGCAGTCAACAATACGAATAGGAATCCCTAGGGCGAGCTTGCAGAGTGGGAAAGCCAACTGAGGATTAAGGATTGGTCTTTCTTTTCCCCTTCTCTGTTTTTGTGTTTGCTTCCTGTGCATTAAGAGACAATGTCAGAGAGAGAGAGAAAGAGAGTGAGATAGGTAGGAAAGGATCTCTCATAATGGTTAATGTTGTAGTATTTTGTGATTCCAAATATCTCATCTTTTATGCAATATTTAAAGGTTCCACATTTTGATTAAAGCCCATTGACATCTAAACTTTAGATTCTAAAGCATTGTTTTGTGTAAAGGCAAAAAAACTTTGTCCAATTAGGGACCTGAAGCGGGTACCTTATAATTACATTATAAGCTCTGGTACACTTCCACTTAATCAAATATTAATGCTCTGCAATTTGATTTATTAAAATGCAATTTAATAATTTAAATATTTATGTCCCTTCCATCCAACATACCACATACGGGTGGGGCGGGGGCCAATCAATTTGAGGGGAATCCGCCTCACATGTTAAATTTATTTTGCGCTTCACGCAGCCGTAAAACTTGCCACCGCCTCTGCACCGCACTGTCGCTGTGTGCATATTTGAGAGCCCTCGTATCACTCATACGCACCGTTGCCCCGACCCCAAAGCCCTCTCACGTGGTGCAAACGTAGCAAACAAATCTTCCATGTAACATTTAATTTTTTTTTGACTCACGCGCCAACTTTTGCGGTAAGTCAAGCAAGTCAAGGAGTGGGAGTGGGAGTGGGTGCCCCAAAGGGCAGCTGTGCTGCGGTTGTGAGACTTGAGGAGCGAATGCCGCCGCAGCCACAAAGTTGCCATGGGAATGCGGTGCTTCGAGGGAGATATTGTGTTGTATATACCCAGGGAAAAGGAAAAGGCCATTGAGGGCTCTCAATTTGTGGAACTATTTATAGACCCAGCAATCGTGGACCTTGGTTAACTTGGAACTCGGTTCGTGATGCCCGAAAGCCACTAGGGCTTTCAATTGAATCACTTTTGTTTGCTATTTGTATTTAAAATATTTTGGTTTCAAATTCCACTCGCTTTCATTTTTCTGTGTAAATTGCCTTTCACTTCGCTTTCTGGCGTATTAAGTACTTTTTCATTTCCTTTTCCGCAGTGACTCCCTGGCTCGGTTTCTGTTTTTGTGGCGCTTCGAGAAGGGGAAAGAACAACAAAATTTGTTTGCCATAAAAAATGTTTGCGAGTTACGCGTCTGGGTGACAAAATGTGGATGGTGAATGCTGCTGCCTCAGCCAGCACCCCACCACTGCCACACAATTGCGGCACACCGTGGCTGCCCACTTGCCTTACGCTACTTTGCATGCCGATCCGCTTTGTACTTTCCTCGTTGCCTGTTCTTGTTTTGTTTTTCTTCCTCTTCTCACTCTGCTTTCTTTTTTCCAGCTCTGTGTTCATGTACTTTTTATGTGTCTTGCACCCAAAAAAAAACACCTGGAGTGGGGCGCGGGAGTCACTGTCGAACGGATGGGCGGCACAATTCTGGCATTAAAAATTTAAGTTCTATGTCAATGAATGTCTTCTGCCATGACTTTCTGCCTCTGAATTTTACACGGAGTTCTCGTTTTGAAGTTGATTTAATTAAAGCCCCAACAATTTTGCCCAAAACTGCAGTCGAAATAGCCAAACAAAGCCCAAAAGTAATAGGCCCCATCAAATATGCATGAAGTTGTACGAGCACGGGTGTGCCTAGGCTTGAGCAAATTATGATTTATTTATAATACTCGTAGTTGACTTAGGCCGATCTCAAGCAGAGGGTGGGCCATAAAATGGAGGCAGTCATAAACACTTTGTAGTTGGCTTTAACGTCCCGCATGATAAGTAGTACCATTGCATATATTTTTTGTGTCCCCCTATAAACGCATTTTATCCCCAGCACGTGATATTTTTTAACACATGAGTGCGAATCTTTATTAGTTGAGCACTCTATGGAAAGGCCATCAAAGCGCTGATGGAAACTACATGGAAGCACATCTGTGCGGATGGAATAAAATTTACAACCTCCCCAGAATGAATTTGCATTGTCCATCAAACTGCTCGTATTTATTTCCCCTTTTTTCTGGGGGGTGACATACATATATATATATTTATTTTGGCGAGTTGGCAGCTGCATTTTTACGACCCCCTTTATCAGATCGTTACCGCAACCAACTTAAAAAGGGATATGGTCGTCCCCTCACCCAATCAATTGTCATCGATGTGCTGTGCGATGTCCTAATCCATCAAGCCGCATGGGTCTGATGGAGTGCTTATCTGCTTGACATATAAAAGCCACATGAATTTATTGAGAAAGCCAGAGCACATGAAAATCCCATTAAATATATTGTTTCAAAGAGCATTCATCTGCCAGATAAAGCGACGTCCAGAGGGAGCATCCTCACTTGATTTACTTAGCTCTGGTAAATTCCTCAGTAATTGATATTTAGTGACATTTTTAGAGCTTGGAACCATATTGGATGCGAACAATCAAAACCACATTCATAGCCAAACTATTTGTACATCTTTAATCGCATGTCAGGTCAAACTTATACGGGGACCACAATTTAGCTTTGAGCGCTAATGTAAAATTTATTTTTAATTGGATTAAGTGTCAAACATTATGACTTTGTGCCAGCAATAATTTAGTCTGTTGAATTTTAATGCGATTTTTGGTAATGCAATTTTGCACCTGGTCCGGCCACACCACAGCACACATTCTCTCTGCCCCACTATGCTCCATACCACCGGGCACACAACGTGCTGTGGAAAAGTGGCTTGGGGTTGGGGTTGGACTCGCACCCAGATTCATGTGTCAAATGAAAAATCAATACTATTATATCCGAAATACACAGAGATATCTACTCGTGTAGGGCCATGTAAATAGCTGGTTGACATTCTGACAACACGACAGGCCGTCGGTAGGGGACTTCAAATGTCTCCCCTAATGTTATTAGGTCACTTGCGGCTATATGTTTATTTCTATGTTTTTCTATAAGCGTGTGCGTGTGTGGCTGTACGTATTGTTTGAGTGGAAAATGGAAAGTTGTTGTTGGTTGATGGGAGGAAATTAAATTTTCCATACCACCACAGTTGGGGAAAATTATAATAATTGCTAAAATAATCGATTTGGGGCCTGGCCCTCGTATTGGGTAGTGCATATCAAACAACGTAGTACAAGTGATAGAAAGGGCTCTGTATGTATTCTGTGTATCACAGATACTGCAGAAAGTTGTGTCAACAATCTGAAAGATACACAATACATCCATCCCATCCATGCACACAGATACACGTACACACATGTCAGCACCCGGGACACCAGAGAGACAAACTTCTTGTTTGGGGTTTTGTTTCACAATAATAAAGTGCGGCTGCAGCTTTAATAACTTCTGCCGTCAACAAGAGGTCCAAGAATAACTACCAAGTCCCTGATAGAGACAAAAACCCCAGAAACAGAGAGACGGGGAGAGAGAAATATGAGAAAAGCAGGAAAAGCCAGAGCAAACAGCCAGACTCTGCCAAATGGCAGTGGCAAAAGTTCAACCAGAGAATGGAGCTGCATTCTAATATGATGGGACCGCAACTAGAAAAGTTACCAACCTCCAGAGGGTGGTGGGAATTGGGTGAGGTTAGAGGGCACAGCGGAGCCGAGCCTTCCCACAATGCCAGGAGACGAATTACATTTGTCGCACAATGTTTGCACATATTTAAGCAACTTAAGAATTAGCCAACTTTGCTGGAAAATGCAGCGGAAAAATGCTGGCAGTTGCACAGTCATTGGAAGCAGCAGATCCCCATCCAGTCGCCCGCCTTCTCACTTCCTCTGTCAGTCAGTAGTTCTTTTGGGGCAACATCAATCCGGCAAAACTCTTGAGCAACCCAATTTGAGTTGCCCGCGCTTTGCAATGCAAAATGGCGGCGCTGCGAAAGTTTTTGCTGCATAATCGCAGGCGCAGCACTTTGGGGCAAGCAAAACAAAACTCTAGAAGAACGGAGAGCAAGTTGCTGAGCGGAGGGTGGGAAGAAGGGCACAGGAACAGAAGAGCAAACAAACTTTGCTGGCACTGCGCATAATGAAGCGACAGGGCAGAAGCGGCAGCGGCAGCGCAACAGACAAATTCATCTCCGAGTGTGGACAAAAAGGCAACTGCCAAGGGAGCGGGATCTATACTAGCCAACCCCGAAATAAAGCCGGGGATTGAGCTGGAGTTGGCTTTGCCATAGCATAGCAGCTGGAGTCTGAAAAAAGTTTCCGTTGCCAAATGCGAAAAGAATAAGACGGGACGAGCGTTACAGTTTACTTGGCATTTACATTTCCGTTGCCGCCCGAAAGTTGTTTTCCATTTGCTCTTACTCCTATTTTTTCCTGATGATTACTTCGGCTTCATTTTTCATTACGAAAAAAATTCCAGACCAGGACGAACTGCTGCCAGTCGGAATGCGACTCGTTTGATTTATGCCTATTTTATGAGCCCTTCGACGTTTGAGGGCCACGATACGTGTCCTTGAGCATTGTTTTTTCTGCTACACAAATGTCCATTAGTGGGAGCACACGACTGGGAGTCTGTGCTAGATGGAAAAACAAATTTGGTAGCAGTTTTTTGTGCCAGGGCACCAACACTTCGATCTTCCTCTTTTGGCGAACCATTTTCCCGTTTCTTGGAAGTCATTTTCCTATTCTTTTGAAACCATTTTCCTCCTCCTTTAGAATGTTTATTTATGATTTTTGTATGTTTGTTCTTTTTCTTACCGACCAAATCTTGCGACCAAATGCGTTCGCTTCTGTTCTGATTTCCTCTTTAGCAAATGTTTGCACAGAAATTCTGAATTTAGTTCGATTTTACCATATCCATATGCATAGGTCGTCCTGACCTATGACCTCAGTTGCGGCATGTGGCCGTAACAGCTGTCAACGCCTACGCTACAGTCGTCCTAGACACACACATGCTCGCCCACATATTAACCTTTATTGCTCGGCTTTGGCACCGTTTATTTATAGGTGGTAAAGAAAAAATTCCAGAAAAGGGCAACTAGTTCAATGGAACAACATCTGACGCTGAGTGGAAGTCGGACCGAAATTAATGACAGCATAATGCTGATGGCAATGGGAATGCTACATAATGGGTTCCCATTTCCATTTCCATTTCCATTGGCAGTCTACTAACCAGGAAACAATGGGTACAATCAATAAATAGTCTCTCCATTTCGGTCACAGAAATCATTTGCTGATGACGAAATCGAGGTTAGGAAACGCTTGCAAAAAATAGAAAAAAAATAGAAAAAAATAGATAAAGAAACAATGTCACTTGATTGAGAATTATTGTTGGAACTGCCACAGAAATACGGATAGAGAGGGGACGGGGGCGAAAGACAAATGTTTCATTTGTGCTTTGACCTGAGGAGAAATGGAAATGACAAACTCGACCTTATTAGGGGGAAAATGTCGAACAAATTGAAAAGGAAACTTGATTTGGGTAGAAGTAGAAGCCCTGTAAGATAACCATAAATAAGACAACTTTACCTTTGCTCGTACTTGAACTTTATTAAAACCCATTTGTTTCCCTCGTTCTCCTTGCAGGTTGCACAAGTGGAGCAAAGCCGATTTTAATGAGCTCGTGGCAGAGGCTGCACATGAGCCCAGCACTTGTCCCTGCCAACTATAAATGGCAACAGGCTGGAGGTTTATGCGAAAAGTTGCAGAAAGTAATAAGCAAACAAAACACAAGCCAAGCTAAATCCAAGAAACAATAAGGAAGAGCCATCAAAAGACCAAAAGAAACTAACCGCAGAGAAACGCTTAAATCAGCAAAAGGAAATTCAGGCAGGCAGGGGAAAAGTTTTCCCGGCAAACGGAATTCCATTGGCTGAGCACCAATCCTCATCATCGGCTGGCTTGGTGATTGTTTCGCAAAGGATTACTCGAGTCGTACATATTATGCTGTAAACATGAAATACCCAAACGATACACGAATCATTGTGCTCATTTGCTGTTTGCTGCAAGGTGAGTGCAAAAGCATCCCATACTCATACCCGTATAATAAGTAGGAATGAATGGGGATCCGAGCAGAACAATTTCCAGTTCAGTGGCTGCCACTGGTATTGCCACGGCCACAGTGCCATGCGCGCGTGTCGACACCTTGCCAGTCAATAAAAAGCAAATTGTAACTGCTCGACAAAGTCACTTGTGGCGTTTTAACACCCAAACGCACATATGTATGTAGCCTTCTGTGCGTGTAAAAAAAAAAAGGGAGAATGCCTCACACTAATCCCCTTCGGATGAACACACACATCCTGGCGCCTGCTCGTTTCACTTACGAGTATATCAGTTATTTTTCGTGTGTGCCGCATGCGGAGCGCATACAAATGAGCGAGGCATAGCCAGAGGATGCCATGTCGCCACTTGGGTCAGCCATTTGCGCCTTTCTTTAAATAAAACATGATAATTTTTTTAATAGAATATCCCTGAGCTTTATGTGCAGCACGCTACATATATCCCACCTTTTCGCTCACCTGCTGAGAGATCTGTCAATTTGTGTGTCTGCCAAAGTTAGCTCCATTTCGATTTGCTTACGCATCTGTCAAGTGCAGGCAAAGGAACGTGACCTGACAGACACAGTTATACTGCAGTAAAGCTGCCACATTCACATGTCTATCTATGCATGCACCATCCACCCCATCCATCTTTCCATGCATTCAGCCACCTCCCCGAGGAAATCACTCACTCGTATTAAATGCATTGACGCACGAGCACTGCAGGGGGCATGGCGTAAACTGGGATAGTCGTAGGATGGCTGCATAAATTCCATTTCATTTTGCAAATATGTAATCGCACCCAAAGTGCAGTAGCTGTAGCAGCAGCACACAATGCCACATCGATTTCCGAAGGGCACACCACCCATCCACCATCCACAATCCACCATGCAGCCTGCCACTCTATACCTCCCACGTTGGAGAAACAATAAAAGAAAACTTTCGCTGCATTGGTAAATTGTTTGTTGAACGTGCCACACTTCCCACTCCACTCCACTGCAGTCTCTTCTACTTGCACTTCCACTTCCATGAAACTTGCGCGTGTTCTTGTGTGTTTCATTCAACTTTAAGTGGCTGAAAATGAATCGTCCGTCCAAATATTACGCATACGCCGTGAGTGTGCGGCGACAGTTTACTTGCTGCTTGGCTTCCTCTTTGTCTGTGGCACTGCCATTGTTATCCTTATTTTCAATTACACGCCACTTCTACTCTCTCTCTCCCTCTTGCTCTGTATTCTGCCTTTTTCTGTCCGTTTCCGTATGCGTGTCCTCGCCATCTCTCCCCTGCTGGCACATCACCTGCGGTTATTTGGATTTTAATTTGCTCGTTTCTCGCTCGTCAGTTTCTTGTAGCTGTCGGTGTTGTTGTTGCTGTTGTTGTTGCCGTTGCCGTTGCTCTTGTTCTTTCTATTTTATTCATAAATGTTTTGTTCGCTAACTCAGCACAGCAACAAACACACTTGGATCTCTAAACACAGATACCCAGACACCCACACCCACACCACACACACATGCCTGTCAGGTTCCCTTAGTGTTGTGCTGTCGTTTTGCCTCTGTGTGAGGATTTGCGCCAGATTTGTGTCAACTTGAATACATCACAAGCGCTTGAACAGATTTGCCTGTTGTTGCATGTGTGTATGTTGTTGCAGCTTCTGTGGTGGTTGTTGTTGCTGTTGTTGTTGCTGTTGCAGTTTCTGTTGTTGCGTTGTGGTGGCTGCAAACAAAAAATGCACACGCAATCGAGCAGCGGCAACGGGCCGTATGAGTATTGCGCCTTCTCCCTCTGGCTCTCTGTTGCCTTTGAAAACTGTTGCATACTTTTTTTGCGCGGCTGCCACTCCCGCTGCCTCTGTTGTTGAAGCATTGTTCTTGTTGTTGCCGCGGCAGCCTTGTGCTCGCCATGCCCCTGCTGCCGCGTAGCTGCTGCAAGGATACCCTTTGTTGTTGCTCGGTTGCTGCACAAACTAAGCCAAAACTATCCCAAAGGCTTTTTCATTACAATTTCGCTTAGTTTTTTTCTGCTCAACCCCTTCTGCTGCATTTCTCTCTGGGATTGTTCTGTTTTGCCTTCCACGGCTGAATTTTTTAATATAATTGTTTGCGCACTTATTTGGGGCAAGGCCAAATGGCCCACCATTATGAAGTTCTGCTGATTCCCTACTGGAGTTGAGCCCCGAAGAGTGTTTTTTAAACGCAATTAATAGACCAATGCTAAACGGAACTTAAACTGCCAATGAAACAATAAATATTCATCAGGGATAGAGATAGGGACAGGGCACAGGGCACAAGAACAAAAAAAGGTGCGACTATAACCAAATATCAGAAATTTAATGAAGTCTAGACGATGCAAATGAGGCAACAAGAACAGCCAAGTAGACCTTAATGAGCTGCCTCTCCAAGTGGCTGGCATTTCACTATCCAGGCGCCGTCGTCCTTGTTGTGTCTTTTACTTTTTTGACACTTTTCGGTAACTTTTCCCTGCCATCCTATCTTGCATTTTTGGGGGGGACACAGGTTTTGGGCAACACTTTAACGTCGAATGATTTGCCAGATAGCAAAGTTTGCCAGCCTCCGCCTCCCTGCCAGCCCCTTTACACGCCCTGAAGTGGGGCCACATAATTGCTGCGAAGGCGCAAACTCATTAGTGGTGTAAAGTTAAGCGCCATTCAACCGATCCCTCCTGCTGTGCCCACTGTGCCGCTCAGATTTCCCATCATTGATAGCAACTAAGCTGCTCCAACCGATTTCTGTTGCTTGCTTTATCTTCTAATGGCGGCCTTCATTATGCGCGATTTGGCAGCGCACTGTGGGTCAGTTTTTCCATCGCCCCCACCCAAGTCCCCCTGCTGCCAGCTCCGCCTTTGTTTGTCTTTCTACTTTTCCGTCCTTCGGTTCGTTTCGTTCTTTTCCCTTCCCCTACTCTACTTTCGTTTCGGTTCCGTTTCGTTACGTTTCGTTCTGTTTGCCAATTTTATCGAATTATGCTAAACAGCCCTCCCACAAAATTGGTGGTGGGTGGGTCAGAGAACGGTGCCCGAGGACTTATTTAACCTAGAGGTAAGCTGCTAGGTAACCTCTGGTCGTGTGGGTGGTTGGATTGGGAATGGATTGGGGGTGGAGGCCTGGCCTGTTCAAATATGCGTTAATGAGCGAAATTATCATGCATACTAAATGATATTCTAAGGCCTGCCGCCGCCTCCGCCTCCGTCTCTGCTCCAGCTCATGCATATTCAATTTACATCAAGTACCCCGCGCTGCTTTGCGGATACTTTGCATAATAATTTAAACATGCAACTTTATTTTAGTTCAAGGCACAGCCGGGAACAGTCAGGAGGAGCTGGACAGAAAGGCAGACATCGAGATAGCTCGAACTTTTGTTCTCTAACATTCGTTTCCATTGCCCGAGGGCACAGTGGGTAAAAACAGTTTTATACTCGAGTAATTTAATTACAATTTGTTAGCTTTCACTTCCCACAATACTCGCAGGTGAAAGCTATTAGGAGAGAACATTTTATACATATTCTCTAGGAGGAAGTCACCAATTTTGCTGTGAATTTTAGGATAATTAGTCCGTCATCCCGTGGCCTACATATTCAAACTAAATGGTGCTCCTCTCCGTTTCCATCCGAATGAATACCATCTAAGGCTTCCTTTGGTAGAACTGCATTTGGGTAAAGCATAAAGCATTGACATATCCTTTCAAATGGGACTCCAGTTGGGTTTCCATTTCCCTGTAATTTAATTTCGTATTTGAATGTAGGCTTTTGTCTGTCAGTGGGTGGCCATCAATGCAATGGGTGGGCTGGCGGTGGGTAGGGCGAGTGGAGCTGAAATTCTTTGATAATACCCCCCTGCATACCCGAAAGGCAATTTTAATCAGCTCTCATGCAACTTTCACCCATTGTGTGTGTGTGGATGCCGCTAGCTGCTTGCCACCAGGCAGAGCCCCGGCATTGCTTTGTCTCTCTTTTCCTGGGCTGGTGCCAGCCTCCATTTGGCTCATGCTGCTCTGATGGGACTTTGCTGTTTTTTAATTAACATTAAGATACTTTGGTTTGTAGCCAAAATGACATGTGTTTGCTGCAGCTTCTGTTGTCTCGGCTCCTGCTTTGTCTTGCCGCCTATCAAGGCGATCGCACACAGAGACTGAGACTGAGCCCGACTTTTGTTGTGCCAGCCAGTCGCAAGGCAGGAAAGCGGCTTAATTTCATTAAGAATCCTATTTGTTGCTTTCGGCTGACTGACATCACCGCTGACAGGGCACGCCCACGCACCTGGACGACGCACCTTGACTCGTTCATCAAAGTCGCGCTGTGGCTGTCATAAAAATTGGCCAATTAAATAACGCGTGTCGCCATTAAGACCCCTGCAGAGTTCCGAAATTCTTTGCTAATTAATGGGCAAATGTAATTACTTCAAATGAATGTCTAGAACTTTGAGAGGAAATGAAATTTGACTGAAAATGCTCTGGCTTTCAGGAATGCATTTAAATGTTTCTTAATCACAAAATTGATGGAAGATTGCCGAAAGTTAGATAAATCAAAATTGTTTACAAGACTCCCAATAGGACTCAGACCGCACACACACAGAACCACAATCACTCTGCCAATACATTCGACATTTCAATCCGTTTCTACTGGCCCCCGGGAGTTCGGAAAAGTTGTGCAGCTGCATTGGAAAAGTTTTGTTCGCCAAGAGCCAGCTCTGGGACTGTCAATCTGTTTAATCCAATTCAATTGCTGATGTCTTTAAGCGGCTTGTGGAGTTCTTTCAGCTACAGTTCCAGCCAAAGCTGCCAATGGCCAATTAGCTGACAGCTCTGCTCCTAATGGTCAGCCATTTCTGTCCAGATATTCAAATATTTATGACGACTGGCAGGACTGTTAGCTGTTAGCTAGAATTCTAATTTAACGCTGAGTGAACAGCACCGCGCTTACTCAAAATAAACCACTAAACGACGTATTTATTCAGTGGAATGGCAAGTGACAGCAGGGATGCGGATAACAGCCAATATCCTGTGGGCGGTGGTGTGATGTCGATGTCCTTACCCGGAATGGCAGCTCATAATTTGTGCCCTCGCCGTGGCTCTGTTGCGCTGTAATTTTACAAAGGATTAAGCCCGATTACGAACTCATTTATTAATATTTACGAGCCGCTCGACACAGGATAACAGATAGCCATGTCGCGTGGTGTCATGTCGTGGCTCCCCCTTTGCTGCGGGGCTGGGTCTACTCATAAATAAGCAATTGACGATCTAGCCTTTGGTACTTTTTAATTAAAACAATAATTGTGTGTCCCGGCCAAGAGGCCAAGGGGGCTGGGGCTGAGTACAAGCTACAGCACACTATATATAGTGGCCTTTTCTAGAGGACAAATCAATTATGCAAATTTCTCCTTCAGCAGGAGCCAGAGCGGGCAGGCGGAAAATCTGCGCCATCAACGGAAAAAGACTCGACTTGACTTGACACGGAAAACGTTGGAAATATTTTAATTTTCCTCTGCTGCTGTTATGGCTGGTGTAATCCCCCTGGAGGCCAGCGCTCGCTGGCCTCCGATGCGCCCTTTTCTTATGCAAATATGTGCCCCATATCCTTGGGCGCCTTGGGAGCTTATTGATTTTTGGGGCGCTGATTTCTATATTCCCCGTATTTATCCTTGTGCTTATCTTTGCCGTCCGTCCTCAGGTCTGGCCGTGGGCCTGCGCATGATCAAGGTCTCCATTCCCGCCTATAAGCTGCGGGGCGAGTCCGCCTTCCTCGAGTGCCAGTACGAGCTGAACCGCACCCACCACCTGGGCCTCGGCGGCCATGGAGTGCAGACCCACTCGGATCACAACTACGGCCGCAACCACGACCACGACCGCCCGTCTCACGCCGGAGACTTCCACTACCCGGATGGGGATGGGGATGGGGTGGACGACGAACGGCCGTCGCATCGTGGTCGCATGCACCAGGGCCAGCGTCAGCATGGGCAGCGCCAGAGGCAACGTGACCGCGAGCCGATCGCCATGGGGCAGTACCGCAACCCGCCGCCACTGACTCCGCCCGAGAAATCGCCCTACGGCCACAGCGTGTATAGGGGCAGTGCCGCCTCCGGGTACCTGGGCGCCCAAGTAGGGGCCAGCACCCACAGCGGCGGCAGCATCAGTTCCAACGGGGGCTCCATGGGCTACATGCCAGAATTCGACCGAGCGGACAGCTTCGGCGACAGCGCCGAGGAGGAGGATGAGGATGAGGAGGAGCAGGCCGAGGAGGGCGAGGCGCTGTACGCCATCAAGTGGTACAAGGACAACGAGGAGTTCTATCGCTATGTGCCAAAGGCCCGACCCCCCAAGACCAGCTACCGCGTGGATGGAGTCCGTGTCATTGTGAGTATCACACCCAAAATGATTATGTTTGTCCCGGCTGATTGTTTCCATTGCAGGAGGAGCTCTCCGATGCCAGTCGCGTGCTGCTGCGAGGCCTCACCCTCAACTCCACCGGCCTCTACCGCTGCGAAGTCTCCGCGGAGGCGCCAAACTTCTCATCCGTGCAGGGCGAGGGCCGCATGGATATTGTTTGTAAGTAGCCGAAAATTTCAATCAATTCCGAAGCACGTTCTGCATTATTTTGTTGCACCACGCAGGCAAAACAAAAACCGAGCAAATGTTTGTTCCAAAAATTTCCTTTCAATTACAATTAGGACAAAGGCAAATATTGAAAGGACAAATAGGGTGTACCCTCAAGTGGGTGCGAGATGATACTCGTAGGATGTATTCAGATTTAAAATCTATACCCCTCAGCCCGCTCCATTCCCTCAGGCAGAGTTTGTTTGCTCATTTATCTGGCTGCATGCAGATGCATGTCGATTATTATTCATAGCTATCGAAAGCACATCGAATACATCTCACTCCCCTCTCTGAGCAGCAAACACCACAATAATTGAATTCATAAATAAAAATATGCCTTCCACCATACAATACAATTTTTATTTGGAATCGTATGCTCGAATCGTTTAAATATAAGTTAAAATTAATGAAAACCATATTTGAAAATCACTTTGGTATTATTTTCATAGTTTAATTTGAAGCACTTACCCAAAATGTTTTTATTACGGGAAAACTCTGACCTTCATTCGAATTATTCTGCCACCCATTTAATATTATTGTTTTTGGGGATAAGCTTTGGCGATTTTAATTTGAATATTTAAACTGTGGTCCGTTTTCAATGGCAAATCCCACACAGAACTCTCCTGGACCCACATCCACTTTCAGCTTGTATGAATCCTAGAATCGGATGGAGTACATTTTTGCAGCTTCGTCCTCATACTGGCCCTGGCTTTGGTCGCCTAATGCGACTGAAGAGAGGGACCGCTGTTTGTTTTGGGGGTTTTTAGGGAATGCTTTTAAAAAGCCATTCATAAGCTTTAGTTGCGCAACAGCATATTTCTGTAATCCAAGCCCAGTCTCCCTCTCTCTCTCTCTCTGTTTTTTAACGGCTTACACTGGCGCTAAACTTTTGCTGCTCCAACGCTGTTTTCCCTCCTCTTGTTGCAGTATTTTTTCCCGTATTTGTATTTACTGTAAACCAAATGGCCAGCAGCAAAAAGAGAATATATAAAAATGGTGAAAGCCTCGGCCTCGGGCTGGTGGAATATCAACATGGCAGTGGTTGGGGCCAAGCGATTTATAAGTTAAAATGCCATTTTAATGGATATTTCCGCAGCCTGGCCGCTTACTCGCACAACATATTTTGTGTAGTCCTCGTATATAGAGAGGGAGGACGAGGACCTTCCCCATTGCTTTATCTGTGTGTTTTATGTTCTATTTGAGCAGCGAAAAAATATTTATTTGTATATCCCATTGGAATCGGCAGTACAGTACCCGTACCCTCCCCGTCCGGCACCGCTGGATGTGTGCACGGCAAATATTTGCCGGGCAAAGCAAACCAACAAAAAAAATTGTTAATAAATTACTCGACCAAAAGGGCGGGCCAAAAGCGAAAGCCGCAGCAAATATTTATTGAAGATTCTTTGTGGGGACTTTGGTAAGGGAACCTAGTCCAGTATGGAAGATTATATTAAGTGAATATCGCAATGTTTTATGTGAATCAGTGCTGGATCAGATTTCAGTTCGTATATTTCATTTGCTATGGGTTTGACGGAGAATCTGCTATAAACAATTTAAACATATATCTGAGGCGAGTTTCATTGGGGAATATATGTAAAATTAAAAAATATAACAATATAAAATATTTAAAGAGGAGGCCTGTTCATATTTCTGTTTATGGTAATCAACAATCAAGCATTTATATATTCGATACCATTATATTTATTTCAGTTCTCCCACGCGATGGTCCGCACATCAGGGGCCAGCAGTATCAGTATCAAATTGGCGAATATCTATATTTAAATTGCACGTCGGGGAAATCGCATCCGGCCTCGCATCTGCAGTGGTTTGTCAATGAGCAGCCGGTGAGTTTGTTAACACCAAATTTATTCCACCTGCCACCCCTTTTGCCCATTTCAACCATTCCACCCTCCATTTTTACATACAACAAATAAAACAGAACAACATTTACCCTTTTTTTTATCGGCCGTGCACCTAAACGGTCTTTCACCTCCCCCCCTCGCTAATCAAGACCCTTCGGCAGTGGGGAATGGGAATCGGTGAAAAAGAAATGTCGGAATTATGCATACAGTAAATATTTGAGCCTCTAACAACGCGGCAGACAACGACCCCCGGGGGCGGACCGGATCCGGGCTGGACTCCATCCGAATTCCGGGGGAAAGGCTCAGCTGCCGAGCAGGTTTTTGAAATTATTTCATGAACAAAAATCATGTTCCCTCGTATATATGTATGTATAGTATATTCGGGGTTCTCCATCGCCATGGTGCTCGTCGAGCCCTCGCTTTTGGCTTTGGCATGTTTTATGGCCGAATGTTGGGGGCTTAGGTGTGGAAGGTGTGGGTGCAGTGCGGGATGGCTGGGCCATCCATCTGGCCGAAAGCTCGTTACATGTCTGCCATAGCCGTAGCCGGAACAGAGAATATACTGGTAGGGAGACTGAGAGGGTAGCGCACTGCATTTTATCGTCGACGTTGACTACATGGCACTCAAATTGTGTGAATCGAGGCGTTAAGGTACGAGTTAGTTCATTGTACCATGCTACCTCTCTCACTCTCACCCACTCTCTCTTGCAACCCCCTCTATCTTTCTCTCCCTTTCTGGTGGATACCATCCCCCTGAATGAACCTACCCCACAGCAGCTCTCGTGCTCCTTTGTATAAATACGAGAAAAATCAATAAGTGCGATTAGGCACGTTTCCCGGTTTATTTGCCTTCCAACAATGGCAGCTCGCCGCCGGTTCGTCCTGCCCACCACAACACCCTTCTCAGCCGTCAAATAAATAAAATGTAGAGTAGAGAACAATGAAATTGTTGGACGTTTATTTAATAACATTTGTCATGCAGTCAGGCAACCTCACTCCAATAACAGCTTCAATTGTCCAGCATATCGTATGCTTGTTCCCCTGCCAGTCATCTCTGCAATTTACAATAAAAATGTCCATCAGAATGAGGAAAATATTCTTGCTATTCACCAGAAAACTTATACGTACGTAATGCCTGGGCATGGGTACTGGTCAGGCCACAAACTGCGTAGAAATACATTTTGGTGTAGGTTGCTTGGAATGCGAAAGGCATTTTGAGGGGCCCCCATTTTGTAGCATGTTTCTGTATATTCCTGGCTGCCATGACAGCTGGCGGCATTTGCAGCCAGCCTGCTTGTTGTGTCAGCAGAGGCCGGACCAGGACCTCCACACTTTTAATTTATGCTTTTAAAATTTCCATTTTAAATTCAGACGTTTTGTATCCGGCTCCTGCAATGAGGTCCCATAAAGAAAGGCCAACCAATCGGCTAACAAATGGCAACAATTTCGCTGGCAAAGTGTTGCTCCCCGCCCACCATTCAATTCGTATTCGAATTCCCAGTCCGATTACACTCCCAGAGCCCACAATCCCGCAACCCAGAGCGCAGAGCCGAGAACCCAATTTCATAAGAAAATCGAAAAAGGGAAGGAAAAGGAAAAGTTCAAGTTATTTATTTGAGCATTTCACATTTTTTATCAGCTCTGCACATTTCTCTTATTTATGGCAAATGATTTTATTTCTTTTCGGGCAAAGCTTAAGTGCGCACCTCCACCCCTACGTGGGGGGCTCCACTTCCGACCCTCGGGAAGGCAGTGCACTCTGCTGACAGCAGCAAACACTGAAAGGGAGGAATTATCAAGCTCTTGTAATTGTAACCTTCAGCTCAGACTCCCCGTCTCAGGATCCCCAACTCCAAGATGGGAATACAAAAGCGTCCCCTTAAGCATTTGCCAGACATGGGCCAGACACGCCCCCAGCTCGTGGCTGTTGCTCATACACAGTGTGTGTCAACCACTGGGTTGGAACCCCTTGATAGAAGGAAACTCCCTCCAGTCTGCAGTTCCTTGAGCTGCGGATGCAGAACATTTAATTTCACCTCTCAGACCTTCCCCATTTAAAACTCTCTTGTTCCGTGCCATTGCAGATCCTGGACGAGCATTACCTGTACAAATACAACGATATCGTGCACAAACACGGGCTAATCACCTCGACGCTGGGCCTGCAGCTGCCGCTGGAGTCGCGCCACTTCCACGACGGCGACATGCGCGTCAAGTGTCTGGCCAGCATATCCCCGGTTCTGTGGAAGGGCGGCAAGGAGAGCGTACTCCAGCGGCGGCCGGGCATCATTGACAATCGGGAGGCCATGCTCTTGGGTGAGTGAACTTTGAACACGACAACTGTCAGCACTCGACTAATTCAATTCAATTGCTTTCTATCTCTGTGTGGGTGTGTCTCTGTGCATGTTTCTCTGTGTGTTTATCTATGTGTGTGGCTGTGTAGTCAGAAGTGCAGCTGGTCATTCGCAGAACAGTCTACTGCGGTCCCTAACCATCACCATCATTCTGGCACGCGCGTGTCAGTGGCTACTCGGCTCGGAGCTCACCTAAGCTGAGCGACCAGAAGAGGCACGACCCCTGCCCGACCAGACTCGTTTCAATTAACATGAATTCATTTTCAATTCAATTCAATTCAATTGCAATTGCAGAGCATAAATGGTGATTTTGTATACTTTAAGTGTAATATCCTTAGTTGTTAAGAGCAAACCACATGAGATCAGATCAGATCAGATAGGACAGACAGGGGCACGGACACTGGAGCACTGGAGCACTGGATCACTGGATCACCAATCAAAAGGCAACAAATTGGGTAAATGTGTTATAGCATGTAAAAATCATTAAGAGAGAAACCAGTTACATAGTATTAAAGGCAGGGGAATCCATACACACAGACTCGTGCATGGATGGTGGTGGCCCACCACCTTGGAACATGGCATGGCCCATGGCAGTTCTGCAATGGCAGAACCAGAGGCAAGTATACGGCAGAGCGGAATTCAATTAGCAAAATTGTTGAGCAACTGAATTCACATCCGGAATATCATGCATCCACTTCAGACTATTTCACTCCACCCCAATCCCGCCCAGCCCTGGGCTCGTTGTGCGTAATTTCTGTGTAAATAATTCAATGGGAGGACTAAAGTCCAAGGCAAACTCCAAGCTCTTGTCTAATAATGTCTCATTGGCATCAGTTTCGAATGGGAGCTGGAACTTTGCCATAACAGATGCTAAAACTAGATAATTCCTAAAACAAAATGAGAAACGAAAGCTGGAGAGTGCAGCGACATTTTTGTTTTTCGGTATTTCAGTCTATTTATTCTGTTATTCTGGCCATTGAAGAGAATTTTAGTTTGTATTTAGTTTTGTAATTGCTTTAACAGAATAGAATAGAACAGAACAGAAGAGAACTGTTAATATGCATGAGTTGAACTTGCTTTGAAGAATTGTCAAAAACTAACGTGCACATTTCCATTGCAAGACCCTTTGAAGTGCAGCTCCCTGAATAAATATGAACACTGTATAAAAGAGACAATGGATATTACCATATCTAATTATATATACATACATACATACAAACTCGTACACACATACATATATATGTAGTATATGCATAAGAACCTCTGTTTAACTAGAATTGTAAGCCATCTGTTTAAGTTGTAGTAGCTCTATCGAGGCGAACTATCGTTTGAGAATTCCATTGACTTGTACGTAGTATTACCAAAAAGAAGATGAATACTTTGAAAGGCTCCCCCCATATATAACTACTATATGTATTAGATTATATGTATATGTATACAATAAATGAAGAATGACGAGACCCATGACCCGACACCCGAGACCCCCATCTCCCCAGAGTGTTTAAACAAATATAAATGTGAAAGCAAACAATGAGTTGTCTTTTATTTTTTTTATTTTTGTGTGTTGATTTTTATACGGGTGCGGTGCGGATACGGATACGGAAATGCTATCTGCAGGCAGAAACACGCACGCGGGCCATACAACAGACATTAACACCTGCAAGACCCAAGGCGGCAGCACTTCCCTCTCGCACTCTCACTCTCACTCTGTTTGGCCAAAAGGTGTTAAAATCGTGGTTGCCTCTTGCAACGAAAACAAAGGAGACACAAAAAATTATATATATGTATGTAAGTGTGGCACATAAAAGCGCGCAAAGTTAAAATAACACGTACAAATTTTGTATGCAAACAAACCGCAGAGCCCTCACACCCATATACAGACACATTCACACGTGCCCACAATACATATACCCAAGCACAGCCACGGACACTTTTACAGGGGCACGCACGGGATGGCCGCAAATGAAAATATTGCGTGCAGCCTTTTAGGCGCTCTTGCTGGAAACTCTTCTTGTTTCGCTTTTTTATTTGAGCCGGCTTCTGCTTCTGCTTCAGCTGCTGCTGCTGCCACTGTGGCGACTCATGCTCTTGTTCTTCCTTTGGCCAACATTTTGATGGCATACTAAACTTTATGCGAGGCACACATAAATAGAAATGCGCGCAAAAAACTTTCACAAAGCAAAGGCAAAAATAAAACAAGAGAGTTTTTTTTTTTTTGCTGTGATGGTCAGAGGTGAGGATAAAGTGAGGCTGATGGGTGAGGGTATGGCTGGAGCTAGAACACACGCAAACGCCATAAGGCAGCCGGAATTCATGCGTGGCCAGCGGCAGTTTCCACAGGCAGTCCGCCTCACTATTTACTTTATGTTGAGGCCCCACAAGTCCTAACCTCACTCAACCACCCACACGCAACCACCTGGACCCCCACACCCTACACCCGCTGAAGCTAGTGGACGGACTGGACCCATCTAATCTGGTACTGCACTCTGGCCAGTTTGGGCAAAGATTTATGTGCGCCTTGCATTGCATAAGCGGCGCCATTTAAATGTCTGGACCCCCAAACCTCTGCCCATCTCCATCATATGTTTGGGTTTGACCGGAAGTGGGCGTGCCTGGCCCCACTAGGCGGAAATGAGAGCAAGGGGGTGGAAACAAAAAATTTATGACCAGCGATTGCATAGCTGATAAATTTAGTTTGCACTCAACTGGGCGCGGCCACCAAGAGAGAGGAGAGGGAGAGCCTCCCAGCGAGATGGTGTTGGAAATTATGACGCGTCAATTGGTGGGTGGTTTGGCAGACACCACCAACACCCCCCCTCCACAGAGAGAGAGAGAGAGAGGTGCGTGCGGAAGTGGCTGACTAAATTGCAGCGGGGCAAGAACAACAGTTGCTTTTGATTTAAGTTGCATTAAATTAGCCTCCACACAGAGGGCTCTGATTAATGAGTGCCGGTGAAGTTTCTGACAGCAAAACGGAGCTGCCTCTTGCGCTGTGGAGGGGGCACTTGGGCGGGCAGGCCAACATTTAATCAGAGGGAGCGCTGAAAGAGAATGATCAGTGGGCACTTTGGCTGATTGAAATTTATGGCCCGAAGATCCCCGAGATTTTTTTCCAGATTGATGAAGCCCATTAAGCGGACAGCGGATAGAGTAATCCCATCGGAATTATGCAATTCTGTTGACCTGACTTTCTGGGATAATAATGCAGAAGCATAGCACTTGACTTTTCGCAACCTTTTAAGTGCCCCGCCCTGCTCCCCGGGAGCGCTGCATACATGATATGGGTCTTAACACAAGCGACACAAAAAAAACAGCACTGACCCAGCAGCATCATGCATAATTTATGGGGCAGCCACTTGCGCTACACTCAATGCCCGTTAAAGGCAAATCAAAATGCACTTTATTGCACAACGAAATGCAACAAAATAATATGCCATTCACATCGTTTTCTCGTCGATTGAAATGGTGAAATGAAATTGCGAAATGGGTGGAAAAAGAAGAGACGAGGGCAGGGCAGGCGCAAGAGCAAGAGCTGAGTTGACCACTTTGGCCATTTGCATAATATTGATTCCATTTGCCAGCTTCAATGCCGTGGAACACAGCACGTAATGCCAGTTCGAGTGCTCCACATACACCCACGCCACGCATATACACAACCGTTCACTCCATCCCATTCCCGATGTGGACTATACAAATAAATTTCAGTGAGCTGTAACCGAATGAATTGAGTAAATGGAAATCACATGAAGCCGCCGCAGCTCCTGGGCATAAGCATATGAAAGTCATGAGAGCCAGCACATTCAGAGGCGCACTCGCAATTTTGGATGAAGCTATTTGAATTATGCAAATTAAGACATAGCCCCAGCACATCAGTACAGTTTGGTCTGATGAACTGCAGCAGACAGAGCCAGAGCCAGAGCCAGTGCCAGTGCCAGACCTGCTCCTCCTCATTCTCCTCCTGAAACAGGCAGTCCCATTAGAAAAACGCATTTAGTCGATGTTCGGCAATTAAGATCCCTCCCGTACGAGTACGAAAAACGATAAATGCTAAAATGAGAAATGTCCGAAATGGAAGAGGATTTCAATGAAGCCGCCAAGCCAGTGGCTCCGTAATGATATTTCACCCGGATGCCAATGCCAATGACGAGGCCGATGCCGATGCCATGCCAGCTGCTTCGAAATTGTTCACAATCAAGTTGGGCACTGGCCAGTGGCCACTGGCCTCAGATTCAGACAGGACTGCTCTGTGCCGCAGGATGTGCAGCCTGGCCTCGCTGTGCATGTGTCACCCTGGCATGATGATCTTGCTGTGCCGAAATGACACTCCCACTGGTGGCATTTGCATGCAAAACCGGCTTGTTACGTTATGAATACTCGTACCAGAGCAACGAAGAGGAGGCAAGGAGGCGAGACCAGGCCAGGACCATCGACCATCGACCAATGCTGCAGTGCTGCAGTGGTGTGTGTATTTACGGCCTAAATTAGCGGTCAAATGATGCACTTTGTGCTGGAAACTCGAACATGTCCATTTGACTGGCAGTGGAGCAGTAGCAGCAGCAGTACAGGGAGCCACACTGCCACTGACAGCACGCCTCGCGGATATTAAGCCTTTGATTGATGGCCGCGAAATGTGGTAATAGTTTTCGGCCTGCTCCTACTCCAGCAGGCAGAGGCCTTGTCACTTAGCTGTTCTGCCAGATGCTGGAAAGCTTCCTTGGGCATATGCTATGGGGGGAGAGAGGGACAGAGTTCCAATTAGCTGAGCACCCTGTGTGGCACCCTATGGCTGTGGCTGTGCCTGCACAAAGGCATTCACATAAAGTGGTTACAAGTATGCAGCAATTAGCATTTAACGAGCACCACATGCCAACCACAATGGCACGACACGGCACAGGACAGGAAAGGACAGCGGAGTCTCTGCTATTGCTGCAGCAGGGTGTCCTGTCGACATAATAATATACATACGAAAACAAGCACTACCGACTCCTCCCACAAACACACACACATGCACACAACCAAACAAAAAACATCGACGGCAACAGGAAAACAGAAAATACGAAGTGAACAATGTCATCGACAAAACACAGCAGCCCAACGCCATTCCCTGACCAGGAACCTCTTTTGTTTTCCTATTCCCTATTTTTGGAAGCCAACATTTCACGCCCCAAGCCACGCCCCGACTACCACTAGCCCCCCACCCGCCTCGAAAAACTCCTGATTACTTAACTAAATATGGCAGCTTATGGCGGGACACGACATGACCACTAAACTCTCTGATTTACACGATTTGCATGTACAGGAGACGCCTGCGGATTACAGGGGTAATTAACTTACCCCGAAGCATTCGCAGCAGAACTATCGGCTAGCAGCTGCCCAACCGTCATTGCGAACGAACCTAATGAAAGTGGAGCACCTGTTTAGGACGAGAAACAGAAATGGTAACGTAAATCATGGGGCCATTGGCGACATTAACTGCGTTCAAAAACAGGTACCCCCCGTTGATGCAGTTGGGGACAATGGCCCAAGCAATAAGTGGGAATTTTAAGGCAAAACATTAGACTGTAAGCCCAAAACAGACTGCTGGGAATGCAAACGCTGCAAAAGATTTGTTCTCCTTTCTAGCTTCCCCCGCCTAAGCCAGGCACAGATTCCCCGAATATTCTATGCCATCAAACAGTCGTTAAGTTGGCTCTAACACAAAGAAGAAAAACTTTCCTTTGTTTTATACTCTGAGGAGTTTTCTTAAAGGCCGAGTTCATTAGCATGTCCCTTCGCCAATACTTTTCGTGCAACACTTCAAGGCACAGACAGGCCAATGGTGGATCTATGGTCTTATCGGAAAATTCTTATCTGGGCTACATAAATTCCTGACTCGACTTGGGCGTCGGGAAAGTTTCTTGAGGTTTGCTGCATGGGGCAACCGGCTGTGGGGCCGCTAATTAAGACACGCAAAGTGCGGCTGTAAGACAAATGGTTCCATAGCACGTAAGCGGCGCGTCAATCTTGGCCATGGGGATTCGTGGTGGTACCCCCAAATGTCGCCCCAAGGCTCAGACACTTTTCTCTCAGACTCTCAGACATGTTTTATTTTCGAAAACTTTTGCCCCCTTCTTCCAACCTCTGCAGTCATTCGACGCCTCATAAAAAATTTCAATGAAGTGATTTATAAAAGAAGAGAAAAGCCGCCCTCTCAGACCAAAAATATGCTAATGTGCCTCCGTTAATCAGCGTCCACTGTCCCCGAGATGAACAGGGTTTGATAAGGCCGAGCTTTCATATTGCCAATGGTATTCATTTGGCCATCATTGGGGGCTGGCCGGTGGTCAGCGGCTTATTAGGCAGCCTGTTATTTTGCACACACCAAGTAGCCAGCAATTTTTGTTGGCCCAAACATAATGTCTTCATAGGCCTTCTCCTTCATTGCTTCTTTTCTTTTTTTTTTTTGTATTTTTTTGCGTGCCTAAAGTTGCACATTAAATTTTAATGCCATATTTTATGCTTTCAGAATCTACATAAATTTATTCTAGCCACAGAATGTGTGTATTTGTGTGTGGTTTGTGTGTATGTGTATGTGTGTCGGGCCTAATCAAATCAAAAGAGTGACGGACCCACAAGCTCTTCGCTCCACAGTGCCCCTGCAGTCCAGCCATGAATTGCTAAACAGACATGCAAAGTTCTCTGCTCGAATTGCCGGAGGTTTGACTCAAGAGTGGAGCCCAAGGAAAAGTCTCCCCACCACTACAAACAATCACTCATGTTTGTGTGTGCTTAGATGTGGTTAGAAAAATTGCAGGCCACGTTGCGCATACGACGCGTTGCTTGGCAGAGGGCCAAAGAGCCAAACAACAAGCAAAGCTACAAAACGGAGAAAAAAGTCAAGCTATGGGAGTGGATAATTTGCACACCCTACCAAATCAATAATTTCTATGACACTCGAATGATTAGTCAAACAGGTTTGTTTTAATTTTCTTTAGCTAATCCTAGAAGGTATTTTTATTATTATTTATTTATTTATTTATTATTCGATATTGGCAGCTCCGTTTGTACACTAAAACAGTGCACCCTTTGCAAGGGTATGGCACTGTAGTCAGGCTATTGGGTCACAACAAGCACAGCAACAACCAAAATAGGAACCAGAACCCTTGCCATTGCCATTGCTTCGGCTATAGCTTTTGGTTTTGGCTTTCGAGTTGGCCCATTGTTGTTTTTCTTCCGCTTTTTTTTCTGGTCTCCCTCTTGGCGGAAGGCGTTCCCAGAAAGGCGCATGTATAATTAGAGCTATGAAGCATGTCCGGTGAAGTTTGGCATTTAAATGTGGCAACAAAAGCAGCAACAACAGCAGCAGCTGGAGCACAGAGGTAGCAGGATCGCCATTTTACCATTACCAACTTTGAAATTGGACAAAGCACAACAAAAAAAGGGGAAGAGACTGTATACTGTTGCCCAGATATATTTTATAATGCCACAAACATGCACGACTACAACTATACATGAGACTTTGTGTGCATTTCGTTTAGTTTACGTACTGCTCCTCCACATGCAAACAGGACACGGATTCAGATTCAGATCCAGCCAAACCCGAAGCCGAACCCAAGCCCCCATCCAAGCCCCAGACCAGACCAGACAGTCCCCGGGTCTGGCAGCAGGAACTTTGTGTGCAACTTTATCTTTTGATTTATACAATAATAAACAGAAATGTGCACAAAAGTTCTTTGTACTTATTCTGCTGGCAAAGCAGCAGTAGCAGCAGCAGGAGTAGGAGGAGTAGGAATAAGAGCAGAAGCAGCAGAAGAGCTGCAAAGTTAAATCGGGATATGTTTACACGAGCAGTTGACTCTTGCTAATTGGAAGCAACGTCAAAGGAACTACCCTCGGATCGCTTTCCAGCCAATTGTCAAGGCTTATTACAGGGGCTTATTGCAGCAACTTTCGCCTTGGACAGAGAGTCAAAATATGCGATTACAATGGGCACTCGTACTCCTATTCAGAGTGCTATTCGGTCTGCGTGGATCGATTTTCAATTGTAGGCAACTCAACGAGTTGTAAGTGGCCGACACCCACCCTCGCACACAAATGTGTGCCCAATAACCCATTAAATGCAACCAAATGCAATGGAACACGCAACCATCTCTGCCTCCATACCCTGTCCCCTGTTCTCTGTTCCCTGTCCCAAAGCAACCTGCAACCAGCACCATGTGGCATGGCGTCAATGTGGTGCACATTAAGCTTAACACCGCTTAAATGCGAGTGGCGCAGAGCTTTAAGGCGCTGCCTGTAATGGCTGCCACGGACGAGCATTCATTCCGTATTCGCTGGGGGTGCCGCGTAATAATGTTAAATGTCAGGTGCAATGCAGCTGCAGCCGGAGACGGAGCCGAAGCCGAAGCCAGAGTCGTAGCCGGAGCTGTCCCTGTCCCAGTCCCTATCCCACCAGCAGTTGCAGTCGTAATCGAAGTGGAAATGCAAGTCAAAGCCAGCGCCAGAGCTGGAGTCGAAGCGCACCAGCAGGCACTAATTAAGTTGCCCGGGAGCCGCGTAACTGCCATAAAATATGCGCAGTGGGGAGTTCGAATTTGGATCCGGATTCAGATCGGTTTGTCGGCCCCGCCACCGTAGCAGCCGTAGCAGCCGTAGCAGACACTCACTGCACATAGTTGGTGCACCTTCGCGGTGCAGAATGTACTTTTACGATATTTTATGGCATTGGGCTAAGCGAAGTCGACTCGAGTCAAGAAGTTCTCCATTTGTTTTCAGGCTTAAATTTACACAAAACATGCAACTAAAGACTGTGGGAAAGACAGAGCTCCTCAAGGAGGTGGAGCTTCAAACGGAAATGCAGGAGTACGTAGACAAATGTCTTACTCAGTCAGAGGAACACACACTCCAGACCATACCTCGATAAGTCAGTCCATTGCCATGCATGGCCTGCCCCAACAGCTCAACGTTTGAGAATGCTTTGCAAGAGTTTCCACTTGAACCAAAAACAAAAAATAAATAAATGTAGGCTAATCCTATAATATAACCAGCCGCAGTAAATTAAATTTATGTATTCGTCTCTTTGGGGTCCTCTAGCTCTCTCGTCTCTAAACTGGGAACAGGAGCTTTAGCCCTAGAAGTTCCTTTGGGTCGAAGAAGACTGTCGAAACCTGCCAAAGGGGCCTCAATGATTAGGTAAAAGAAATACGCCATCAAAACGGTGAATCCAAAATCAGACCAAAACTTAAGCATCTGCAAAAATTGATTTAAGGTAACTTTCAAGACCACTCGTCTGTCTTCGTTCTCAAAGATAACCTACCATACTGTAGTCGGAGAAGTACGTATTGGTTCTTGAGTTTTTGGTGTTTACCTCCACCAAGAACATGTGCCAGATGTATACGGAATACGAGAGTCTCGAGAGAGGCTGCCACAATGGCGAGGATAGGAAACTGTTGGCCAGACCGCCATGGCCCTGCATGCAGGCGAAGACGACCCAACAAAGGGCCAATGGCCAGCCCACTCGGGTGAGTGTGTAGTAGAGAGACTCCTCGAGGGTGGACAGAGGTGGAGCACTCCACTGGGCAGCAGGATACAATGCAAAGATCGATGTGAAGATCATGGCAAGGCTAAGCACCCATCCAGACCACACGGCAATGCGGCTTAACTGGAACTTCTTCCCCCGATTGAGGTGCAAGAAGTACCCGAAGAGAAATCCAATCAGCCAAGGAGCAGCATGCCGGTGGGTGGCAAAGTAGAGTTTTTTATTCGCGGAACCATCACCGGTGCTATTCCTGAAAAGAAGAAAGTTGCTATAAAAGGCAAGTGAGAATCTCTTATGGAACTTACTTCAGAAGCATCGAGTACTTGTTGATCATCATGGTGGCAAAGAGGCAGGACGAGAGCAGTAGCACAAGCACCACAATGCCCGCGGCTGCCTTCTTGCCCCACTTATACAGAGCAATCAGCAGAAGCGGAGAAATGATGTATAGCTGCATATCCACGGCCAAGTACCAGGAATGGGAAATGCACTGAAAGTTCATTCAGAGTTGGTCAAAATTGTCAACGAAGAATAAATGGATGTGCTCTAGTTACAATATTCGATGTGGCATAGTTCTGGACGAACAGCAAAGTCCAATACCAATCGCTCTCACATGCGGCAGTGCCACTGTATCCACCGCTGAAGAGCGGCCCGCCTGCAACCACAGGCATGAGCTTCGTGTAGACCAGAATAGCCATTGACAGGACGGGAGCGATGCGTATAAGTCGATGGAGATACATCAACGGAGCATTCAGACTACCATTGGATCTGCCCCCAAGCTAGAAATTCGCAATGATCCAAGGAGTATGAGACTTTCAGATACTTACTTCTCCATGGAGCGCAGAGCTATCATCGCCACTAGTAGGCCGCCAAGAAAGAAAAAGGAGTCCACCGAGAAAACGCCGTGCAAAATAAAACTACTGAACGGTTCCTCAGCCCACTAGAAAATTTAACAAATTCATGTTCATTCATGGGCAGATAAGAGATAAGATGAACATACCGAAATCACATGAACAAAATTAATGTTGGGAGAATACACCGAGAACAGGTAGTCATGGGAAAAAACCACCCAGGCGATGGACAAACATCGAATTCCATTCAGGCAGTCGATCACATTCGAATTCGATTTGCTCTCTACGACGCGAAAGAGAGCGCGGGAACTGATGCGAGCAGAACAGATCTTGGCCACCACAGGAAGTCGATCTGAAAGCAATTATTTCTAAACTTTTAAAATGGATTGTTACTTGAAGATACTTACCAGGATCCTGACAAAAGAAGTAGTCGTACAGGGTGCTCAACACCACGACAGAACCCATCAGGCCAAGTATCACACTGCAATCCAAAACAAAAGGAAGTAAATAGTATTAAGCCCATAGGCTAAGGCACAACTTACACTGTGAATATAGTCATGCCATCCCATGGAATAGACTCACTTGTCTGGCAGCTGGTCTCGCTGATTTTAATGCTTGTGCTGCTCGAGTTGAGCAGTTTCTGCATAAATTGACCCACAAACGTATCCATATGAGCGGCAGAGCAAGACGCCGGAAAGCAGGATCCAATCTTAGCTGGCATTCGTCTTAATGCTTCAATCTGAGTTCCAAGTATTTCGTCCAATGATACGGTGAGAAAACAGTACTTTCCATTAATGCTGTGACCTTGGGTGATGACCTTGCTTATCCTAAGACACTCATCGAAGTTGCCCAAGTCATAGAAGTTGCCGTACAGTAGACCCGAGGGAATGGAGCCCCAAGCGTCGATCACTGCTCACAAAGTGCATGAAAGTTAATTCCCACTCGTTTGGTTTTCAGTTAAGTTATTCACTCACTCTTCACTGCCCACAATTGTCCATCAGTGACAGCCTGCATGAACTGAGCCATATCCGCGAGACACAACAGATCCTCTTGACTGGGTATTCGGGAGTGGAATATGTCCAATTCTGTGAGAGATGCATTGCGGAAGTGTTCAGCAAACTCGACTCTCAGAGAGCGCAGCCCCATCAGACGCTCGTAGTCCTGTAGGACACTCCCGTCCTTCAGTTGGGCCTTGGCTGCACTGACGATTATCAGTCCACTGACCAACAGAGTGCCTAAACCGTTCACCATGGTAACACAAATTCGATTGAAGGTGTGGGACAAACTATCAGTAATTTTAAATGGCAAAAGACTCAAGCCTAATCTGCGATAAGCTTTTTAAGTTGAATAGTTGATTAAAAAAAGCCTTGTCACAGGCACCGCTGGTCAGACTGGTAATAAATAAAAGTTCAGGAGAAACTCCCTAATAGTATTTAATCAGTTAAAATTCTAGGTAGACGGAACGATGTTTTGTTGTCACTGCTTATCATTTTTAGCTAATCGTTATATTAGTGACTAGCAAGGGATTTTGCTGACAGCGACTGACTCGCCCAAAGCTATACAAATTTTAACCTTTGATTGCAGAATAAATACATACAAATATCTACTCTTTAATTTGTATACGTTAATATTGGCAGGCTTTGAGATTAGTGTGCCACATGTGTGCCTGATAATCGAAAATCGCCAATCAGTTGTGATTCATTTGTTGCATGGCGCCAAATATTATTCCCGGCTACTTTTATATGAATCATAAAAATAATACTACCCATTAGTAGTATCAGTTTTAATCAGAATCAGTTTTAAAATTTCTTTGCTCTTGACTTCCTTGATATACCATTTCTTGGGTACTTAAGCGTGTCTCGGTTTCATTTTCACTTGATGAATCACAATGTGGCGCTAAAGCAGTAAATAAATAATGCATTACTCAGAGCTCTCCTATTTGGAAGCGCTTCAAAGACTGCTATCTTGTCATTAGCCTTATCGTACTATCAAATGTTATGAACATCTATTGTCTATAGATACCCAAACAATTTATGAAATTCTTAAGTCCTCACATACTAACAACAAAGACTTATTGTACTTAATCTAAAGCTGGGCAGTGTCAACCGATGGGGCATTTACTTCCGTCACTTCAGGTTCCTCCTGCTTCCTGGTTTCGATGGCATTCAGCTGCTTCTGATGGACATCGACCAAAGCTTCCTTTGGTTCGATGGCAGCTGATGTCTGGACAACAGTCTTTGCCCGGGGAACAAGGAGACTGTCGAATCCGGCTAAAGGAGCCTCAATTATAATGTATAACACATACGACATCAAGAGAGTGAACCCAAAGTCACACCAGAAATTCAGCATCTGAAGGAAATCAATAATGTCAGTTAAAGATAAGCAATCTCGTTCCATCAACCACACCACAAGAAACGAAACCTACCAAATTGTAGTTCGAGAAATATGTATTCGTTCGAACGTTTCTACTGTTTACTTCCTGTATGAAAAGGTGCCAGATGTACACGGAATAGGAGAGTCTCGAGAGTGGCTGCCATAAAGGAGAGGATAGAAAGCTGTCTGCCAGACCACCATAGCCTTGCATGCAGGCAAACACGATCCAACACAGAGCTAGTGGCCACGCCACTCGGGTGAGTGTGTAGTAGAAAGACTCCTCGAGGGTGGACAGAGGTGGAGCACTCCACTGGGCAGCAGGATACAATGCAAAGATCGATGTGAAGACCATGGCAAGGCTAAGCACCCATCCAGACCACACGGCAATCTGGCTTAACTGGAACTTCTTCCCCCGATTGAGGTGCAAGAAGTACCCGAAGAGAAATCCAATGAGCCAAGGAGCCGCATGCGTGTGTGTGGCCAAGTACAGTTTCTGACCGGCATTTCCTTTCATTCCGTTCCTGCAATTTAATGTCGTCAAAAAATACTTCAAAGACAAGCAGAGAAATTAAGAACCGACTTAATGAGCATCGAGTAGTTGTTGACCATCATTGTGGCAAAGAGGCAGGACGAGACGAGAAGCACCAGCACCGCAATGCCAGCGGCTGCCTTCTTGCCCCACTTATACAGAGCAATCAGCAGGAGCGGAGAGATTAGGTATAGTTGCATGTCCACGGCCAAGTACCAAGAATGATCCAGGCACTATAACAAATAATAGTAAAATTGTAAAGAATAAAAGATCCATGACTTACAATATTTGTTGTTGCATAATTCTGAATGAACAGCAGCGTCCAGAACCAGCCCTTTTCACAGGCGGCTTTGCCATGAAATCCACCTTTGAAAATAGGTCCCCCAGAAATAACTGGCATCAGCTTGATGTAAACTAAAATTGCCACTGCCAAGATCGGGATAATGCGTATAAAGCGATGCAGATACATCAACGGCACATTCAGCTTTCCCTTGGATCTGTCAGAAAGTTGGCGATAAGTATTTATATATTCAAAACAGTTCAAACACTCACTTGTCCATTGAGCGGAGGGCAACCATTGCCACTAGCAGGCCACCAATAAAGAAAAATGAATCCACCGAGAAAAATCCGTGCACAATAAAGCTGGAAAAGGGCTGCACGGCCCACTAGAACATAAAGAAAGAAAATTTAAAATCATTTGTGTTTATATACTAATGCTGCCACTTACCGAAACCATTTTGAAAGTATTTATGTTCGGAGAAATTAGTGAGTAAACGTATTCATGGCTAAAAATCACCCAGATCAAGGATACGCAGCGAATTCCATGTAGGCAACTGATCACGTTTGGATTCGATTTGCTGTCCACAACGCGAAAGATAGCGCGGGAACTGGCACGTGCAGAGAATATCTTTACGACCGTAGGAAGGCCCTCACTCTTATCTTTAGAACAGAAGTAGTCGTAGAGCGTGCAGAGGGCCACACCAGAGCCCATCAAGCCAAGAAGCACACTAAAAACCAGAATATGAGTAAACAACAATTGATATGAAACGGTTTTACTTACACTGTGAAAATGGTCATGCCATCCCATGGAATAGACTCATTTGTCTGGCAGCTGGTCTCGCTGAATTTTATGCTTGTGCTGCTCGAGTTGAACAGTTGCTGCATTAATTGACCCACAAACGTATCCATATGAGCGGCAGAGCAGGACGCCGGAAAGCAAGATCCAATCCTTAGTGATGTGGATCCTAACGCCGTCAACTGATTTGTAGTACCAATGGGTACGATGAGAAAACAGTACTTTCCTCTTATTGTGTGAGCTTGGGTGATCTGCTTGCTGATCTTGACGCATTCATCGAAGTTACCTAGATGGAAGCTATTGCCGTACAGTAGACCCGAGGGAATGGAGCCCCAAGCGTCGATCACTGCTCACAAAGAGCATGAAAGTTAATTCTCACTCGTTTGGTTTTCAAATAAGTTATTCACTCACTCTTCAGTGCCCACAATTGTCCACCAGTCAGAGCCTGCATGAACTGAGCCATGTCCGCGAGACACAACAGATCCTCTTGACTGGGTATTCGGGAGTTGAATAGATCCAAGTCCGTGAGGGACTCATTGCGAAAGTGCTCGGCAAACTCGACTCCCAGAGAGCGCAGCCCCATCAGGCGCTGGTAGTCCTGTAAGACATCTTGCTCCTTCGGCTCTGTAGCACTGACGATTACCAGTCCGCAGACAAACAGAGTGCCTAAAACGTTCACCATGCTAAAACCTTTTCAATTGATGGTTTTTTACCATCTGGCAGTGATTTTATACGAAAGCTTTTAAGACAATCTGTCGATAACACTATCTAGCAGTGAGTCAAGCCTCGAGTCGATTATTAAAACGATTATTTTGAGTAGGTACTCAGACTGGCATACCCAGCAAAATGGTTAGTTCAGACGAACATCACCGATAAGCAGAAATCAGTCTAAATTCTTCGCAGTCAGAAGCACACATCTCGTTTATTTATACTATTCCCAGGTAATCGTTTAATTTATTGATTGTTGATGGATAACACTGGTCAGTTTTAATACGAGCAACTCAGCAATACTCAGCAACTCAAATTGTTAAATTAGCAAAGTTGTAAAAATTCACATACAATTTGTAGGAACGCTCTATCGAATCGTGACTTGTCTATCTATGCCCAATATCATTGGACTTTAGAGGCTTATTTTTATACCCGTACTCAAAAAGAGTTAAGGGGTATATTAGATTTGTGGTAAAAGTGAAGGAAACGTTTCGGACCCCATAAAGTATATACAACGAAAGAAAAAAGCCCTGAAATTTTAATATTTTCACTTAGATTTTAATATTTATGCACTTGATTTTCATCCAAGAGTGGTTGTATTAAAATGGAATATTTTTCACTTACGTTTTGATATTAATATGAAAATATTTAAATTTAATATATTTTATATTTAAGTTGAATATATTTCATATTTAAATTTAATATGTTTCATATTTAAAGTAATATGTTTCATATTTAAATTTAATATGTTTAATATTTAAATCTAATATGTCTCATATATAATTTTAAAATATTTTATGCTCAAATTTAATATGTTTCATATTTATATTGAGTATATTTCATTTTTAAACTAATTTGTTATTATTTTTCCTACGCGGACTACATTTCAAGTCCTCATGGTGTGAAATTCACACTGTGAATTGGTTAAAGTTTTCAACTTGAAATAATCGCAATATGAGTAGAACTGCATTGGTTGTGATTATGCCCCTGCGCAAAAATAATTTAACTTGGTATTCAAGGCTGCAGCAGCGCGAACCAGTTAAGAATTCGAGGGACATAAAAAAAATAATATAAACATATTTAAAATAAATACAAAAAGTATTTAATTTCATTTAATATGGAATATTTAAAATAAAAAGGTTTCCTTTTGATTTTAAAACAAAAATTTTGAAATCAAGTCAAAATAATATTCAATTTAAATATGAAACATAATAAAACTACAAATTTAATATCTTATATTTATTTTAAAGTTTTTTGTATTAAGATTAAATATTACCGTATTAAAAAAGCCATTTTAATACAATTATGTTTGAATCAAAGTGAATTCTATTAAATTTTAGTATGTTTTTATTTAAAAATCACATTTTAAATTCAAATATGAATGTAGTTATTTTTACTATGCCTTTTGTTCTATCAGTGTATATCAGCATCATTAGCCGAGTCGATATAGCCATGTCCGTCTGTCTGTCCGTCCGTCCGTCCCGATGAGCGCCTAGTTCTCAGAGACTATAAGAGCTGGGGCAACCAAATTTAGTTTCCAGACTCATATGATATCACACGGCTACAAGTGAATTTCTAAATTTCGCCCCGCCCCCTTCCGACCATACAAAAGACGAAAATCTGTGGCAGCCACAATTTAAAAGTTACGATAAAACCCAAAACCAAGCCAGATCCGGTCATTATTATAGCCAGAATAAAGAAATTAATTTTTAGTCGCTAATTATTCTCTTCTCGCTCGCACACACTCTGCCCTTTGCGGAGAATATGTAGAATCTATATTGTAGATGTATAATAGGCAGGGCCAAAATTTGACCAAAAAATTATACAATTTTTTTCAAATTTTTAGTTTAATGTTCTGGGCTTGCTACCACGAAAAGAAAATACAAATTTTTGGTTAAATATACATTAAAACAAAATTGATTTCGTCGGTTTTTTCAAATAATATTGAAACTTAGAAACTAGTTCATATTGATAATAAGGTGTTTTTATTTTATTTTTATAGCTACTGTTAAAGAATTGGTGAAAATCAGGAAGTTCAGCTGAGGTTGATATATTTAGTTAACTAGTTCGCAAAAACTTTTGCAGGTTTATTACTGCCAATAACTGATTATATATGCAATAGATTTCACCAATTATCCAACTCATTCAGCAAACATGTTTTTTTTAATTTTTTGGTTAAAATTTTTTGCAAAATTCGGTAGCAACCTCTAAAAAATATAAAAAAAAATTTAAAAAATTAACATGTAAATTACTATTAAATCCAAGGTAACAAAACTAAGGGGTTTCCCGTTTAAATTTCGAAAAAAAAATTTTGGCCCAGCCTAATGTATAATCTACATTTTAGATGTTTAATCGACATTGTAGATGTAGATGTAGATAACTGCTGTAGAAAGAAAATGTAATGTACATTTTTTTTTAATTTTTTATAAATCATAAGCTAAAAAAAATGTATATACTGACTGACTGAGTACGAGTATAAAAGTAGAGTCGCGTCCACAGAAGCGACTCACACGTTCCTTCTCGTTTTATATTTTATTCACAAAAGAATATTATATAATCAAACATTTCTTTTAGATTTAATAATATATGCGATAATAAATATAAATATCATATATAAATAAAGAAAAGTCAAGAGACGATTCGGAAGCGCCAACCAACGTTATATAAGTTGAATTTGTGAGTAGATAGCCGTGTAAGTGTTCACACTTAATACTCATCGCATTTGGTCGACTCATTTGGAAGCGCTTTAAGGCTTTAAGCCCCTCTGAAGGGGCTTTAAAGTCCTAATTTATAAAGCATACATTGTAAACATTTCTTTTTAAGGTGAAAAGTGATTTAATATACGTATTCTGTAAGTAAAACTGTAAGTATAAGCACAGTAAAACATATAAGTATTAACATTTATTATTACTATTCTCAGGCACTCGCTGTAGCTTCATCCTTATGCACTTCGGGCTCATCCTGATTCCTTCCATCATTCACATGATCCTGCTGGACATCGATTGAAGATTGTGTTTGTTCTCTTGAAGCAAAGGGCTGCAAAATACTCTTCCTCCGGGGTCGTAGAAGACTATCGAATCCCGCCATAGGAGCCTCAATGATAATGTAGAGCACATACGCCATCAATAGAGTGAACCCAAAATCGGACCAGAAATTCCGCATCTAAAAAATTGTTATTTTTCTTGCGTCTCAACTAGTGCGGAGACAAAACTTACCACATCGTAGTCCGAGAAATAGGTATTGGTTCGAGCGTTTCTACTGTTTACTTCCTGTATGAACATGTGCCAGATGTACACGGAATACGAGAGTCTCGAGAGTGGCTGCCACAAAGGAGAGGATAGGAAGCTGTCTGCCAGACCACCATAGCCCTGCATGCAGGCGAAGACGATCCAGCAAAGGGCCAATGGCCAGCCCACTCGGGTGAGTGTGTAGTAGAGAGACTCCTCGAGGGTGGACAGAGGTGGAGCACTCAACTTGGCAAAAGGATACATGGCAAAGATCGATGTGAAGATCATGGCAAGGCTAAGCACCCATCCAGACCACACGGCAATGCGGCTTAACTGGAACTTCTTCCCCCGATTGAGGTGCAAGAAGTACCCGAAGAGAAATCCAATCAGCCACGGCGCCGCATGCGTGTGTGTGGCCGAGTAGACTTTCTTACTGGCATCTTCTTTTGTTAAAACCCTGAAAAATATGTGACTTAAAATAACTTCAAAGAGAAATTTAAAAATCGTGGACCGACTTGGCGAGCATTGTGAACTCGTTGATCATCATTGTGGTAAAGAGGCAGGACGAGACGAGAAGCACCAGCACCACAATGCCAGCGGCTGCCTTCTTGCCCCACTTATACAGAGCAATCAGCAGGAGCGGAGATATTAGGTATAGTTGCATGTCCACGGCCAAGTACCAAGAATGATCCAGGCACTATAACAAATAATAGTAAAATTTTAAAGAATAAAAGATCTATGACTTACAATATTTGTTGTTGCATAATTCTGAATGAACAGCAGCGTCCAGAACCAGCCCTTTTTACAGGCCTCTTTGCCATGGTACTCCCTATAAGTTAACGGTCCGTCTGTAATAACAGTTATCAGATTCATATAGACAAGAATGGCCACTGCCAAGATCGGGACAATGCGTATGAAGCGATGCAGATACATCAACGGCACATTCAGCTTTCCCTTGGATCTGTCAGAAAGTTGGCGATAAGTATTTATATATTCAAAACAGTTCAAACACTTACTTGTCCATTGAGCGGAGGGCAACCATTGCCACTAGCAGGCCACCAATAAAGAAAAATGAATCCACCGAGAAATATGCGTACAGAATAAAGTTAGCGAAGGGTTCCACGGCCCACTGAAAAATTAACAAACGCAATTAGAGAATATGACGAAGTACAATAATGAGTTCACTAACCGAAATCACATTTAGAGTATTTATATTCGGAGATCCCAATGTATAGCCGTATTCATGTCCAAAAACCACCCAGATGAGGGACATGCAGCGAATTCCATCAAGGCAACTGATAATATTCGGATTCGATTTGTTGTCTACAATGCGGAAGATGGCGCGGGAACTGGCCCGAGCAGAGAAAATCTTCACAAACACAGGAAGGCTGCCTGAAAGGCAAACATCGAGCTATATCAGGCTATTAATTATTCAGTTCTTTTAGTTACTTACTCTGATCCTGGCACAGAAAGTAGTCATACAGGGTGCACAATAGCACGATAGAACCCATCAAGCCAAGAAGCACACTGCAGTCCAGAAAATGAGTAAATCATAATTGATTATGATACGATTTAACTTACACTGTGAAAATGGTCATGCCATCCCAAGCTTTCGATTCACTTGTCTGGCAGCTGGTCTCGCGGATTTGTATGCTTGTGCTATTCGAGTTGAACAGTTTCTGCACTAATTGGCCCAGAAACGCATCCATGAGTGCGGCTGAGCAGGACGCCGGGAAGCATGATCCGATCCTCATTGCGTTGGTTAATAACGCCACACTTTGAGGCAGGGAGCCAACGGACACCTTGAGAAAACAGTACTTTCCATTTATGCTGTGACTACTGGTGATCTCCTTGCTGATCCTGACGCATTCATCGAAATTGCCAAAATTGAAAATGTTTCCTTCCAGCAGTCCCGAGGGTATGGAGCCCCAAGCGTCGATCACTGCTCACAAAGAGCATGAAAGTTAATTCCCACTCGTTTGGTTTTTAGCTTAGTTATTCACTTACTCTTCAGTGCCCACAATTGTCCACCAGTCAGAGCCTGCATGAACTGAGCCATGTCCGCGAGACACAACAGATCCTCTTGACTGGGTATTCGGGAGATGAATAGATCCAATTCCGTGAGGGACTCATTGCGAAAGTGCTCGGCAAACTCGACTCCCAGAGAGCGCAGCCCCATCAGACGCTGGTAATTCCGAGGGACATCCACGTCTTTCAGTTGAGCGGCACTGACGAGCATCAGGCCGCAGACAAACAGAGTGCCAATAACGTTCGCCATACTAATACGTATTCGATTGATGGCCATTCACCATTTGCCACTGAATTTATACGAAAGTTTTAAAGACAATCTGACGATAATACTATCTAGAACAATGTCAGCCTTCCAGCCGATTATACAAATCAGTAAAAAGATTGTAAGCCTTGCGGGGAACCGCTTTAATTCCGACGAATGTCCCCAAAAATAAGCAATCAGTATAAATTCTAGGTACTCGCATTACCCCATCTTTTTCACAAAAAGGAATGTGTATTTTTCCTCCTGAGCAACTGAACTCTTTATCATATATGTATGCAGATTCCATGGGATCGACAGGGTTGAAGGAGTAGCATGGGCTGGTTTATGCTCGAAGTTTTTATTTTAAATACATTTTATCTACAGTAGCAAACAAAATACAGTAATCAATAAAATTGTCCAGGGACTGACAATATTATGCATTTTAAAGTAATCAAATAGTTTTTAATTTACACTTCAAATTTTATGATTAGAGTGCCGTAAATAAAATGAATTACTCATCGCGTAGCCATTGGGAACCTCTACAAGAGATAAAACCTCAGATAAGCCATTTGAGTGTAATAATTTAAGTTTCAAATGCTGTAAAAATAACTGTGCTTTGAACTGTATTACTATTGTGTTATTTATGTATAAAAAAATTAAACGTACTAGTAATTATATTTGTAACTGTTCTGAGACAGTCGCTGTGACTGTAGTTTCCTTCACTTCAAGATCATCTTTCTTTCCTTTTTCATTGTCGTTCAACTGATCCTGTGGGTCATCATACGAAGATTGAATTGGTTCACTAGGAGCTGGGGGCTCCACACTAGTCTTTTCGCGGCGACGTAAAAGACTATCGAGTCCACCCAAAGGAGCCTCAATTATAATGTAGAGCACGTACGCCATCAATAGAGAGAACCCGAAGTCGGACCAGAAAGTCTGCATCTGAAATATTAGAATATTCTTTGGTTTTAATCAACTACTTTTAAGTCAACTACTACAAAACTTACCACAGTGTAGTCCGAGTAGTAGGTATTCGTCCGGCTAATTCTGCTGTTTGCTTCCTCGACGAACATATGCCATATGTATACAGAATACGAGATCCTGGACAGAGGCTGCCACAATGGCGAGGACAGAAAACTGTTTGCAAGACCGCCATGGCCCTGCATGCAGGCGAACACAATCCAACACAGGGCTAGTGGCCAGGCCAGTCTTGTAAGCGTGTAGTAGAGAGACTCCTCCAGAATTGACGGTAGTGGGGCCCTCCATTTGGCCGCAGGATACATGGCAAAGATCGATGTGAAGATCATGGCAAGGCTAAGCACCCATCCAGACCACACGGCAATCTGGCTTAGCTGGAACCGCTTACCCCGATTCAGGTGAAGGAAGTATCCGAAGAGAAATCCAATCAACCAAGGCGCCGCATGCGTGTGTGTGGCCATATACAGTTTTCTACTGGCTTCTCCATTGAATCCGGTCCTTCGATTAAAATTAATTGAAAAATTAAGAGCATAAACATGGTGGTGGACTGGACCTACTTGATGAGCATTGAATAGTTGTTGATCATCATGGTGGCAAAGAGGCAGGACGAGAGCAGTAGCACAAGCACCACAATCCCCGCGGCTGCCTTCTTGCCCCACTTATACAGAGAAATCAGCAGGAGTGGAGAGATGATGTATAGCTGCATATCCACGGCCAAGTACCAGGAATGACCGAGGCACTGAAACAGAAAATCGTACTAATCGAAACGAAAGAATATCAGTGACTTACAAAATCGCTTGTTGCATAATTCTGCACGAACAGGAGCGTCCAAAACCAACCGCTTTCACAGGCGGCCTTGTTAAGGTGATCGCCATATGCGAGCGGTCCGTCCGTGATAACTGTCATCAGATTCATGTAGACAAGAATGGCCACTGCCAAGATCGGGACAATGCGTATGAAGCGATGCAGATACATCAACGGCACATTCAGCTTTCCCTTGGATCTGTCAGAAAGTTGGCGATAAGTATTTATATATTCAAAACAGTTCAAACACTTACTTGTCCATTGAGCGGAGGGCAACCATTGCCACTAGCAGGCCACCAATAAAGAAAAATGAATCCACCGAGAAATATCCGTGCAGCACAAAACTAGCAAAGGGTTCCACGGCCCACTAGAAAATTAGCAACCAAAAATGAATAGTCATGATTACTTTGGTAAATAAAATACTAAAATAGTAGCTTACGTAAAACATATGGATGCTATTTATATTCGGAGATGCCAGGGCAAATCCGTATTCATGTCCAAAAACCACCCAGATGAGTGACATGCAGCGGATTCCATCAAGGCAGCTGATAATATTCGGATTCGATTTGCTATCTACAACGCGGAAGATAGCGCGGGAACTGGCCCGTGCCGAGAAAATCTTCACTACCGTAGGAAGGCCCTCACTCTGATCCTGAGAACAGAAGTAGTCGTAAAGCGTGCAGAGGGCCACGATAGAACCCATCAAGCCAAGAAGCACACTGCAATCCAGAATATGATTAAATAAAGAGTATGGGACCCTTGCCTCAGGGCACAACTTACACTGTGAAAATGGTCATGCCATCCCAGGGTTTCGATTCACTTGTCTGGCAAGTAGCCTCTTTGATATTCATACTTAAGCTGCTCACGTTGAACAGTTTCTGCACTAATTGGCCCAGAAAGGCATCCATATGTGCGGCAGAGCACGAAGCCGGAAAGCACGATCCGATCTGGAGTGCATTGGATGCGATGGGTACATTGATAAAACAGTACTTTCCATTTATGCTGTGACTACTGGTGATCTCCTTGCTGATCTTGACGCACTCATCGAAATTGCCAAGATCCATGACATTGCCGTACAGCAGTCCCGAGGGAATGGAGCCCCAAGCGTCGATCACTGCTCACAAAGTGCATGAAAGTTAATTCCCACTCGATTGGTTTTCAGTTAAGTTATTCACTCACTCTTCAGTGCCCACAATTTTCCGCCAGTCAGAGCCTGCATAAACTGAGCCATGTCCGCGAGACACAACAGATCCTCTTGACTGGGTATTCGGGAGTTGAATAGATCCAATTCCGTGAGCGATTCATTGCGGAAATGTCCGGCAAACTCGGCTCCCAGCGATCGCAACCCCTTCAGACGCTCGTAGTCCGGTGGGAAATTTCCGTCTCTCAGTTTTGCGGCACCAACGAGTACAAGGCCACATACAAACAGAGTGCCTAAAACGTTCACCATGCTAATAGTTTTTCGATTGGTTTCGTTTGACCATCGGCCAGTGATTTTATACAAAAGTTTTGAAGGCAATCGAGCGATAATCGCTATCTTGGAGTGTGTCAGTCCTCAAGCCGATTATAAAAACGATTTTCCTGGTTAATCGGATACTCTCCTACTTATTTTCCCTTGTTTTATTTGGTTGTCGTCTGATATAGAACAAAATTCTTTGAAAGCGAATAGTACCTTGATTATTAGCTGTTCCAGACTTTCGGCTGACGATTAAATTGGGAAGGGTATACACATGTGTGATTAAACACAATTATTTTCATATAACATGAAATATGATTAGATGGTCGGCTAGATAATGTATTACTCACCGCCTCGTCATTTGGAAGCTCCTCAAGAGTTCTAATCTCAAGTGGATTCAGAGCCCTTGTTTATAAACATGTCTTTTTGGTAAATATGCATTGAAAATTATGATAATTCTACTGTTTTCACATATGGGTACAACGTATACAACGTACAACGTATGTATGTAGTAATCCGATCGCAGGGATGAGTATCTACTGGATATAATAGGGGAATCTTCACGGTGTTCTCTGTTCTATATAACCAAGAGCTCGCTCTTCGATTTAATGAAGCTCGAAAGTTAGACTCGTAGTCTCCGTCCCACGGTTGTGTTTTACCGACGAATACCAATTCACAGACAACCGACTTCAAGTGATTTTATACGACTAAAGCACAATCTTGTGTTAAGTGCTATCTATAAATTTGGACTGAAGCAATAACTTTTAGATTTGAGGCGAATATCAGCGATATGGAGGAAGCAGTCTAATTTTTCGGTAGTCGGAAGCACCCATCTTTTAATCAGTTTTTTGTTATTGAGTGCCAATAAACCTATCTAAAATGTCAATATATTATTTCTTTTTATACCCGTACTCAAAAAAGAGTTAAGGGGTATATTAGATTTGTGGTAAAAGTGGATGTGTGTAACGCAGAGAAGGAAACGTTTCCGACCCCATAAAGTATATATATTCTTGATCAGCATCAATAGCCGAGTCGATATAGCCATGTCTGTCTGTCCGTCTGTCTGTCTGTCCGTCTTGTTGAGCGCCTAGATCTCAGAGACTATTAGAGCTAAGGCAACCAAATTTGGTTTCCAGGCTCATGTGATATCAAACTGCTACAAGTGTATTTCAAAATTTCGCCCCACCCGGGTGGGTGGGGGTGCACCCCCTTCCGCCACTAAAAAGGACGAAAATCTTTGGCAAGCACATTTTTAAAGATGCGATAAAACTAAAAACGCAGTATCGTAGAGAATGCCCATATCTACCAGATTGCCGAATCTGAATCAGATCGGATCATAATTATAGCCAGAATGAAGTAATTAATTTTCTGTTGGTTCTTCCGCCCCCTCCTGACAGAGACCCACTACCTATCTCTTTCTCGCTCGCACACTCTTCCGCTTTCAGTGCGCGAACAACCCCTAGCGGAGGAGGTGTAGAATCTAAATGGAACATGTACAATCTACATGTTAGATGTAGAATATACATTGTAGATGTAGATATCAGATGTAGCAAAAAAATGTAAAATGTATAATTTTTTTTTAAAAAAAAAAAAAAAAAAAAAAGGGAGAGGGGCCCCCAAAGGGCTTATTCTCAAATTTTAAAAAATCATATGCTCAAAAATGTATATGCTGACTGAGTACGGGTATAAGTAGAGTCGCGTCCCCAGAAGCGACTCGCACGTTCCTTCTCGTTTTTTTTTTTTGTAATTGTTGGACCAATCAGAGCTTTGACACAATTTTTAGATTTATTTAACCGCAAGTTGGTAAATTCTGATTGACAAGACAATAACCAACTAACACTGGGCTTTGATGGTCATTGCAGTTTGTGTTTAGATCTGTTTCAGACATGTTCATACATTTTGCTGAAGATCGGCTAAATTAAGGCGAATTCATGAACTCATTTGCTAGTACCCTTAAAAATTCAAACAGGCGACTCTTTCTTCTTTACCTTCTGGTGAGTACTTTAAATGCTCGCAGCTGGAACGCGACCTAAACCTATTATATATTTTTTGCCAATAATTTTCAAAGCATTAGCTCATCATCAATTTGCTCGCTTGTGAAATTGGCAGCAATCACGTTATGCGCACCCGGACTCGCCCCCACAAAAACCGAGAAAAACCACAGGGAAAACACATACTCGGAGAAAAACACACAGCCGGGCATACACACCCACACACCTACGGCAACCTATACTTGAACACATTTGCTTAATTTTCGAAATGAGTTCGCATGACTTACAGCCACCCCGACGCCATACCACCCGATATCCTGTATCCCGTATCCTTTATGGCTCGCTTTTCCTTTGCCTTCGTCTGTGAGTCATTCGTTTGCTTTCTCGTTGATTAAATGCGGAAATTGTTTGACTTTAGTTAGGCGCATGCAATTAATTAAATTAGAGCACCCGAAAACCCATCAAACGAAAAACATTCCATAAAAGAGTGCTTAAAGTGTACCGACAACATGGGACAAAGTAAACCCGTTTGAGATCCGATTTCCATGGAGTTATTGAAATTGAATTATCATTTTGTTTCCACGCCTCGGCAGGGGGCAGAAGGCAGGACCTGGACCCATCTCCATTTTATGCAAATTTCAATTTATGCCGCAGCACAATCCCAGCCAGCTCCTTGGGCCCGGGGTTTACGACTTTATTCCATGACAGTTTGTCGTTTATGTTGGTCGAGTAAAGGAGGGGAGAAAGTGTAACACGCCACTGCTCCTCAACTTCCATAATGAGGCAATGGCGTTTTTTCATCATATTTTATAGGACCAAGGAGCCATTCATCATGTATCGCGCATATAACAAAAGGCATATGAAACACTTTTACTCCAATCCCCAACCAAACCGTGGGGCTGGCACGTGCCATAAAACGCGGCGCGGCATTGCCAATAAAGCCTGAGATACGCTCAGCGCGATAATAAAAATGCTAATGGCCATTAAGAGGCGAATTTGAATTGAAAATCCCTACAAAATTAATAGAAATAACGTAACGTAACGTGGTTTTACTTAATTGGACATGTCGACCGTGTAAATGCATAATTAAATTACTTAAACTTTAACTAAATCAAATGCAGGCACAGGCACACACGCCCAAAGTGAAATATTCGCTTAAATAGTTCATTAGAAGCCATTCATTTGTTTAAACGCCTGGGAAAAGTGCGCGTTTTACATAATTGAATGCAGCACATATTGTAGCCCTGTCCGTCCGTAGATTAAATTACTGTAATTGGCTAGAAATGCTATTTAATGTTTATATAGCCAAAATTACATGTAATTATATCATCCTTAAAAAAACGGCTATAATGGCGAATAAAATGCAATAATAAAAAAAGGATAATTTACATTATATAATTTGCGCCATTATCATCCCCTACCTTGGCTTTAGACAGGGTTTAAGCAATAACAACAGACAGGCATTTTCACACCCAGGCAGCTTCGCATGTCTTAATTAATTAATTATTAATTAAGAATATATTCTAAATGGATCCCAAGTAATCGAACAATTCATTAAAATTAAATAAATTAAGTGCATACATATTTGTACCTACATACATTTGTACATATGTACATGTATGTACATATTAGATATAAAATTTAAACCTTCACACTAAAATATAACAAAAAGGCAATTAAAACATAAACTAAAAGAACAAAAAAAAATATATATTTGTTATAAAAATGATAAAAAAAGATTTGTCAGAAGTGGGATTCGAACCCACGCCCTCAGAGAGGACCAGAACGCTCATGTAAACGACCCCTCTGCGAAGGGCAAGACTGTTGAATCTTGAGTCTGGCGCCTTAGACCGCTCGGCCATCCTGACACGTTGCAGTCGGTATGGATAAACAGTGTGTAAAGCTCAAGTAGGGGATGATAATGTCGCAAATAACAATAACAACAAAAACAATGATGATGATGATGTGGAGTTTCTGGCAGAGAAGCAATAACAGCAAACAGGCATTTTCACACCCAAGCAGCGTCGCATGTCTGGCAGCTATTTATAGATTCTCTCCATCTCCCTTCCACCCTCCTTCCATCTTTTGGACTCATTCCAAAAGCTCGCGTGTGTGCTTTGGTTCGAAAGCAAGTGCATACTTTTAGGCTCAACTAATGGGAAATCAAATGCAGCTGAAAGTTGATCGAATCTCTCGAAATCTGGCTCTGTAATTACTTGCCATTTTGGGAGATGACTTTTCCTTTACATTAATCCAGGCCAGCCCAGAGGCTGATGAGGGAGCGGAGTGTATTGCCGGCAGACAAAGAGCAACTTTGGACGAGTCAATTCAATTTCAATTTATCAAATGCTTCAGCAATTTCTCTAATTGAATTTCGTTTCATTTGGCGGAGCATAATTTATAAAATATAACATTTCAATGCCGGCCAGGACAAAGGGCGTCCTTCAGCGAAATCCCGCCTCTTATTGATGCCATTCACTCAGCCCCAAGGAGCGCCCGGCTCTAATCTATTGTAAGGATGCCGAGAACTGGCAGCCATTCGCCGGAACGTAATCATTTTGAGCGCATTCCGATAAGTTTGCTTATAAATCACAAATGTCCGACGGCCAGGATAGAGCAGAGCCCCGGAGGAGCTGTAGCTGTGGCTGTAGCGCCCAAAAGGATGCCCTTGGCCGAAGGCTTTTAAATCGATGAGCACATCGCAGAATTGACAATAATATTTTTAAAATAATTTTATTATTTCATTCAGACGGGCATTCATGCAGACACACAAGGAAAGGAAGGAGAACGGTCCGTCCATGTCCGTCAGCATCGATGGAGCTGCCTGGGAGTCGGTCATGCGTGAATGTAAACGCAGCTTGAGCCCACTCGAGGGGCAATAATACAAATTTGAACATTTCTTTCTCCTCTTTAATTAAACGAACAAAACTGAAATCTAATTATGTTTGTCTTTCCATCCCCATCCGCATCCTCATCCGCATTCAAAAGGATTCCTCTCTACGAACGGGGCCACCGCTGGTCGTACTGCCCGATGACGTAGGTCAGTTTCTTGATGGCCAGCTCCACCTGCTCGTCCTCCACCTGGTGGTAGAGCACCACTCGGGCAAAGGCCCAGTCCCGAGCACTGGCCTTCAGGATGATCCCAGAGCCGTCCTTGGCCGTAACACCAGTCGCCAGCTCCTGGGGCTCGACCTGAGCCAGGCGTTCGGCAAACTCAGTGGCCGTCAGCTCAGATCGCTTGATCTCAATCAAGAGAATGTTGCTCTGAACTGTGTCCAGATCCACTGTGACATTGGGGCTCTGAAGTTGATATATGGCTGATGGAACAGTTTGTTAGTGAATGGAATGAAATACTGTACCGCAGTAGATGTGTAGTTACCATTTGCGATTCGCTTTGTCCGCTCATGATCCTTGCCGAGCAGCGGAACCACCTCCTCTAGAGCCACGAGGCCAGCAGCAGCCAGTATGCCAGCCTGTCGCATGCCCCCACCCAAAGCCTTGCGCAGACGTCGGGCTCTACGAGAAATCAGAAACGGGGACACAGAGAAAGGATTAGCTGGCATCGAAGAGGATTGCAGAGAGAGGAAACCCACTGTGAAATGAACCGCTGGGAGCCGACGAGCACAGAGCCCACCGGTGCGGACAAGCCCTTGCTGAAGCAAATGGAAACCGAATCAAAGTCCTGGCAGATGCGCGCCACACTGACGCCCAAGGCGGCAGCTGCATTGAACACCCGGGCCCCGTCCATGTGTAGGGCGATGGGTGCACAGCCCACTCCAGGCTGGCGCAAGAGATTGGCCAGCTCGTCGAGGAAGGCCAGAGGAATCACCTTGCCGCCGCAGATGTTGTGCGTGTTCTCTACCACCACCAGAGAGGTGATGGGCTCGTGGTAGTCGTCGTGACGGATCCGGCGTCGCAGCTCCGTGAGGCTGAAGGTGCCATCGGGCTCGTTCTTGAGCGTAGCTAATTGCACGCCAGCCAGGTGTGAGGCTCCGCCTAAATGTGATTAATGAATACACACAGTCAATGTTTGTTCCCTGCTCCTTTGCGGTATCCAGGTCTCACCTTGCTCGTAGAGAAAGACGTGCGATAAATCGCCGACAAGGGCCTCCGTGCCGCGCTTGTGGCAATGAACCATAACTGTGGGGATTACAAAGAGATGCTCGAATATTCACTTAGTCTGCGAGGGGCGGTAATTGAACTGTCTTAAATATTCATGCACAAACCCACAAAACAATTCATTCAAGCGCCTATATACAAATGAAGATTTGTGCTGCCTTATACGTAAGTGAATATACAAAAATAAAAGGACCTGCAGCTGTAAACTTGGATTCTAGCTTCCACTATTACGATACCACTAAAAGCCAACCTGAAGTCCATAAAGATATGAAAAGCGTTCACCAAGTGTGAATAGCACCTCAAGGCAATTCTATAGGAGAGGACTCCTAGAGAGGAAAGCATTTTGCGCTGCATACTTAATGAACGGCCCTCGTGAAAAATTAGCACAATCGTAAGTCTCAGTGCATTCTCTTTGAATGAAATGCAAATTTCAAATTCCATTAGAAATATTAATTTGAGCGGACGCATAAATTTCCAGGAGGCACTCCCAGTCCTGAGGCTACTCCTGTTCCCCATCCCCATCTCCTGCTGGTGCTGGTGCTGCTGCTCCTTCGGACCCTCTCCACTTTTTAGATATACCTTCGGTTGACTGTGGCACACGTCCACGTCTAATATTAAAGTCTATAAAAATTAATGTTATGTTTATGGGCGCCCTTAACCTTTACGATAATGTACCTGATGCATGATATGAGCTCTGCTTTCTTGTTTCTCCCTCTCCTTGGATTTCTTTTTCTTGTTTGCCTCATTTCTGTTGCTGCCCCTGGCTTTTGTAATCCGAAACTGGCCGCACTTTAAACTAATAAACATAAGCGACTCCCACCCGTCCATGCCCATGTCCATGTCCATTCCATGGGGAGGCTGGCAATGTGCTGACCTGAGCCGTGTTATTTATGTGCATGTCTTGCCACTCACTTGCCAGCAGATTTCCCATGGTGCCGCTGGGCACAAAGAGCCCGGCCTCCTTGCCAAAAATGGTCGCTGTCTTCGCCTCCAGTTCGTTGATGGTTGGGTCCTCCCCATAGACATCATCCCCGACGATGGCCGAGGCCATGCGGGCCCTCATCTCAGCCGTGGGCAGGCTGACGGTGTCCGAGCGTAGGTCCACAATGGAGGGGGACGACATTTTCTAATGTGAATTGTGGACGGAAGTGGATTAGGTGTGGCATTTGCATAAGTTGTGCTATGCTAACTCGCTTTGTTTATGGTGTGTATTTCGAGACGAAAGAGTATGCATACATACATATGTACATGCATTCAACATGAAAGGAAGTCTGGCTTCTATAGCTGAAGCTTTGGATACCCTTACGGATCATACGATCATCCAATTCTTGATCATATTTAACTATACTATATAAATATATATATAAATATAAAACTGCACATTTTAAAGATGTTTTCACAAAGATTGATTAGCAGAAAGAATGGACTGTCCAAAGTTTCAGAACGTTCACTTAAAATCTACCCAAAATCTTAATACCCTGTGCTTAGGGCAATAGATCAGACCACGTCAGTTGCATTGCCATAATTTGATATTCATTTGCATCATTCAATTGATTAGCCCCGTGTCTGATGTGGTCTTGGCTGACAGGCCATTTGAGCACACACTTATGGACAGGCAGCACCACTTGAACACTGATTTGCGATTATATAACCTTCAGCAATAATATTTATGCTCGAACACTTGACACTTGTCTTTGTAATTCAATTATAACACCGACGTATTCAATTTGTAAAGACAACAAAAAAACATAATTGAATTAACAAACTATAAATAAAAAGAACTCACATCAGAAATTAGTTGATAAGGCGGTGAATGCGAGAAAAAATTAAACAACGTGCTCGCACGAGTAACAAAAAAAAAGTGACCGACCCCCCAACAGCTGCCGGCATTGAGTTTGGCTCCCCCGTTGAGAGCCTCCAGAAGAGAACAGAGCATTATTGGAGAGCGAGCGCCATAAAAGATTTACTGTACACGATTGAGCGGCGATCGACGAGCAAGAGAGCAAGAGAGTGAAAGCTCTCTCCAGACACGTTTTTACACTGCGCAGCAAAGCTGGAAGACTAACTGCCAAAGCTCGTTTCCACTGAAATATATTTAAAGGCTAAGAAATAACGAAAACACTGTACATTTTCTTTGGTACTTTTTTTTTATTAATTATTTCTGAAATTGTCACTAAAATTGTTACTAATTCTAACACAATTTTCTGTATTTTTCCCTCTATTGGTTTTTCTTCACTCTCTTCACAATGTGTCTCCGGGCCAACAAAACAATTTCTGCAGATCTGTCTCTCTCTGCAACCACATCATAAGGTACAATTCAAAGATGTTACAATAATAAAAATAACAAATGTAACTTAGTTATATACTCGGTAATCATAATTAGTTTTTTAACAGTAGTGTAGTGTGTGTTCTTTTGTTTTGTTTCCCACATGGTGAAGTACATACATGATTTTCGCTGGAACTAATTGGACTAACTAAGAAGAGGGACCCGGGAAGGCGGTATGGCCCCACACACCGGATCCGGATAAAGCTACGCCTGATATCGATCATAAAGTTATGTTAACTTACCAACTAAATTTGCAACAACTTTTCTTAAGAATTGTGTGGGAGGGGATGGTTTTCAATGGGGCTGGTGTAGGGGCTGGCAATTTGCATACGCGATAAGTGTATGCACATCAAAGTTGTGTGTGTGTAAAATGTATGAAAAAATTATAAATAAATATTTAGAAAATAGTTTCATTTTTCCGTTTCCGTTTTAGTTTCAGTTTCAGTTTTAGTTTTCTTTTTTATGTTTATAGTCTTTTGAAGAAGTTTCATTCCTGCGAACGCCGGCAAAGTGTTCAGCAGTGTTCAGTTTTCATTTGCTTTAGTTTTACTCTTGCCTTCAAGTTAGTTTGTGTACTTTGGGCACCCACTGAGGGGCTGGTGTGTACTGGTAGGGGTTGGGACTCAATTCACTGCCAAATCACTGTAAACTACTCTCCGAACGGGTCACTCCACTACTCGCTGGCTGGCCCACTTTGTCGGTTGCTCCACAAAACAAAACACGGGTTGGAAAATCATATCAACTAACATTAGAGTGAATTAATTTCTGGCCTTGGCTCTTGCTGGGTTATGATTTCTGGCATCTGGCTTCTGGCTTTTTGGTATGTGCAGACAGAGCGACAAGGAGATATTTCACTTAGGACGCTGATCTTTTACAAAGATCGATTGCCACGAACTTTAACTCTAAATTCCGTTTCCGTTTCTGTTTCTGTTACATCATTGGACAACACACAGGACACGCAACTAATAGCTAGGGGTTTAAGCTAATGCTCTAGGATGCTTTTGTTGGTTCTGCCTCGCGCTCCATGCCTAGCGCTATGAGGACAGGTCATTCTCGGAGGCGTCCACCTCACCGGGGGGATTCCTCTTTATGCAATCCCGTATGCTCTGCAAGATGATGCCCGTGCGCCGATCGAGGGCATCCAGATGGGGCTGCCAGAGCACCGGATTCACCGGATCGTTGCTCAGCGAATCGCTCATCAGCTGTGACAGCGTCTTGGGACCATTGTGGAACCTTCGAAATAATCGAAAAATCGAACAGTTCAGGGTGTCAGTATTGGGTCGGGGGGTTTGACTCTCTCTTAGGGTATACTCACTCAATCAGCCTGATCAGCGTTGACTTGCGGATCACACAGCACTGCAGGACGGGCGCCAGAATGGAGAGCTCGTCGTGGAAGGGACGACCAAAGCCACGTCCATGGTCCAAGTGCAGGGGAAACGTCTCATTGCCGTAGACTCTGTAATGCAAGTGAAAGGTCCCAGACCGAATTAAAGTGGATGCAGCACTCAGAATCCCCATCAGCCTCCGCCTGGCAGATATCCCGGATAATTGCCTGGCAATATGTGGGGAAAGTGCCAGAGTCAGACGCAATCACCGCACGGATGCTCGGATTGGATTGGCTCAGTCATGTGTGAGCAGGGTGAGCAGTGCGGAAGGGTGAAAGGGTGCCGGCGATGACATCGCCATAAGCCCAACAAACGTTTTTGCATAACAAACAATTTAGTAGCAGCCAAGTCACCTGGCACATGGCATGGTCCTGGTCCAGGTGCCTGGTCCTAGTGCTGGCCTGTTCCCGGCCACATCCCGGAGCCAGCATCGATGATGTGCGGCTGTGGGAGCGGCGGCTTACGAGGCTGAGATGTTTTGTAACCTTTTGCCAGACGGGTTGGGAAATATCTTTCCGTGGCACTGCCTTCTCCTGGACCTGCTCTGGATGTTGTTCCTGCGGCCATGGCCGTAGCTGTGGCTGTTGCTGTTGCTGTGCCTGTTTGGCATGCAGGTGCTGGCATATCCCTGGCAAATGCATGCGCTTAGGCGGTCGCATATGAGGCGTATACGTAACGTGCTAAAAGCAGCCAGAGCAAATGCCGTTGCCATAGCCAGACAGTGGGAGGCAGTGAGGCAGGAAGCCAACGGAGCCATGTGTGCGGAAATAAACCGATCGCATTAGTTGCCATGCCAAGGACAGCCATGTGCACATATCCAGCTAAGCCCCAACTCCCCCCAACAGATACCCGCCCACCATTTACTCACTTGAAAGTCTCATAATGATGACGATCCATGTTGCCAGTGAGGAAATCAAAGACGGCCATGTCCATGATGTCGTACAGTCGCCTGCCCTCGTCATAGGGTGGGATATCACGGACCTAAGTGGGTTTTTGGGGTGAAAATCAAATGCAAAATTAAGTTGCATCCAAAGGCAGAGAAATTTCCAAACGAGGGGGAGTGCAAGAGAGGAAAATGGAACTCTACTTGGCCAGAGATGTCTTAATTAAGTCAAATCCGTGTCCGGGTCGGACCACAATAAAAACATTTGCATTTCAATCGAGTTTAAATGCAAATTAAATAAAAGTAACCGCAACGGAAGGAGCTCCTCAGAGCTCCTCAGAGTCCGGAATGGAGGACACTCCCTAGCTGAATGTCCATTCTCTTTTTTACCCCCCTCAAACGAGCAATACATACCAGGGCACAATAATTGGCATCTGTCTCCCACTGAGCCTTCTTCCGCTTGTGATAGGAGCGTCGCCAAGGATGCCGCCAGAGCTGTGGAACGAGCAGAACAGAAAAGAAATGCAACATAAAATCAATTTCCATTCCGAAACAGAGTGCGACTACGGAATCGGGGCAGACAGTCCTGTCTTAGCACGAGCCATTCGGTTAAAATGTAAGAATATTAATATCGCATTTTGCTTCATGGATGCTCGCTCGTTTTCTCTTTGGCGAATTCTTACAACTGCAGCGAAATTAATTTTGCTTAAATTAAATTATTTGCCGGCCAGAAGAAGGGCAATAAAAGTTACTCTCCCGCTTGACTTTTCCTCCTCTGTGCGGGGCGTCCACCGCAACTTACCTTCCGACCCTGGACAGGCCAAGGGGTAGATTTTTATGTGGAATAACAAGAACGACAACAACGCGATGGAGGAACAGGAACAGCAACAGAAACAGGAACAAGAACAGGAACGGGAGCGGGAGACGACGCAGAAGCAGCAAGAACAAAAATTATATAAAATATATATAAAGAAATTAAAAAACAACGTTTGGGGCGAGCGAGGAAGCGAGAAAAAAAGTGCATAATAAAAGCTCAGCGCGTTGGGCGTTTTATGCAGAGTGGGCGTGACCATAGTGTGTAATGACCGGAAGCCTCGTGGGGGGGTTAACGGTCTCAGAATGCAGCAGCAGCAGCAATAGCAAGCGGTGCAAAGCAAAACCAAGCCCCCGCCACACATACACTATGAAAACTGCTGGAAAAGCGGGAAAAGCAACAAATTCCAACAAAAAGCATAAGAGGCAGAAGCAAACATAAAGCACAAAAGTGAGCTAAGTTAACGGTGGAATGGTGACAGCAATGGAATGGAATGGGCGAAGGTATGAGAAAAGGCGAGGTGCAGGGAAATCCGCCGTCTTTTAGGGTAATTTTTTGTTTTTGCATAGAATGCAACGCTTTACCCTTCCCTTGCCTTGCCGTGTCTTACCTTCATCATCCCACCGCCACAGTTCAGCTCCCAAAAAAAGCATAAATCAAGAAAAATTAAATTCTATAAGGATAGCGGTGGGATGGCAGCGCTAGATACGGATGGAAGCAACGGAATGCGGCAAATGTGAGGAAAGCAATTTGCAATTTTTGTTAGAAGCGCGTTAAATGCCCTTGATAAATGCTCGGAACCTGAGAAACCACCGCAAGAAAGATACTTAAAGATGGATGGTAGAATGGGGAATGACTTTAAGTAATGGTCATTTTAGTAATGGGGCATTCTCTATGAAAAATGGGTCTCGAAAATGTATAATGCGGTATGAATTTGATATGCTTCCAAATAGTGTCACATTAACTGCTGAAAGACGAATTTACACGCGGGAAATTGTTCAGTAATTCTCTATGAAAATGATCACCGAATGATTCTTGGAAGTAAACCAACTGATGTAATAGTATATCCGTAGTCCATGTAAATGCTTTCATATTAAACAAAATCACTCATGCAAATGTATTACTTAATATGTTAATTGATTAATGTGTCTGTCAGACCAGTTTATACCTGACACATGTAAAAAATGATAATGACGTGAAACAGAATATATTTTTACTTGTTTCGTACGGCCAATTTGCTAAACTATTTGTTAAAGCTATAAAGCTATTTTTTTTTGCAAATAAACAAAAGGTGAAATGGTTTGAAGTGAAGCTATGCATTACAACAGTCTGCTTGGTTTCAAGCAAACAACAACAACAAAGTGAGAACCACAATATTTCATAGCTGACTTCAGTTTTTACTATACTGTTCATTTTTTCCCCACTTATACATGAGAACATCTACCTACTCTTTGCACCTCAAGTGCTCCACCCATATTGATTCTTCACTCATTTGAAATATTTTTTTTCTCCACAACCAACCCTTTCGGGCAATTCTCAAAGCATTTAACAAGCGTGCAAATCAAATTTGCAACTTAATTAAAATTCTGTTCTTCTACAAAAAAATGTTCTCGTTGTTTACTTCTAACCAACTTGTGCCCTCAGGGTGATGGGAAACACGAACAGAGCAAACAGTGAAAAGGGGGAAACAGAAACGGTTACGGATACGGATACGGAAACAAAGAATGGCACAAGGAAGAGAAGGCTGCAGGAGGAGTAAAAAATGGAGGGAAAAGAAAAATGATCTCTTGTGCATAATTTACAGTTTCGCCTTACGCCAAATCTCAAGTATACACTTAACCATTTTCTACTTGTAAACTGTTTTGAGAGCGAGCCGCAAAAAAAGGGGGAAAATAAAGAGAATTATTCCTTTGAGGCTCGGGGCAAGGATACTAAAAAAAAATCCATAAAACAGACTAAAAATAAAAAGCCTCTGCTAGGGCATATCTGTGGGAAAGACCTGTTTGTGGGGATGAACCCTTTTTATAGCCTTGGAGACGGTGACTGTGATAGAGACGGAGTCCGGCATAGGCTTTAATTTTTCGGTAATTTGCATTTAAAAGCATTCCTTTTTCCTCCCTAATCTGCTTCGTTTTGATGAAGTGGACTCTAGAATTTATTAATGTCAGAGAGATGGAGATCCAGACGCAGACCGAGTCTGAGGCCGAGTACTGCATTTATACATTTCATTTTACGCTCTACCAGACGCTCTAGAACTGATACAATATTTTGCTCTTAATTCAACAGCCAAATGAATGAATGAAATTGCCGAGTGGTTCCGGCAAAGGATGGGGAACGGATAGGGATCGGAGCGGTAAACGAGTCGCACAAACAAACAAAGGAAGCAAAAAAAAACAAGTATAAACAAAATTATGTAAATTAAAAGAGAGTTTCTCCTCTTTGCTGTAGAAGCATTGAAGGTAATTTTTTTAAAATACCTCCTCTTTCCCTCTCTATAAGTGAGCAGTTTTTTATGCTTTGAGCCCCCTAATTGGGTCACTCACCAGCGGGTTGGGTTGGGTCGGTTTTGATTTGGTTTGGCTGGTTTGGGGGGTCCGAGTGCTTAGGTAGTTCTAGGAATCGGAGCCAATCTGATGCCCCATGGCTTACCTGTTGCTGGCCACAATATACTACATTCTGAGTAAATAAAGTGATTTGTTATTTGGCCTGGCCAAGCGAACGAAATTAGTAATGAAAGCGGGCGAACCACAGCACATAAATTGTAATCTGGCGCAGTGCTGAGCGCTGGCCGTGCATTAATCAAAAACCACTTAGCCCGGCCTGGGGCTGTGGCTGTGGCTGTGGGTCTGGTCGAGGTCCTCATGACTACGACGGCCATGAGAGACATGAGGGAGATAGATCCAAGCGAAGCAAGCCCCATGCGTGCTGGATGTGGTTGTGTGGGATGGCATGGCGTGGGATTATGGAGAATACCTTGCGATTTCCCGACTCAAAGTTGGGCAGAAAGGCGGCAAAGGAGCCCTCGAGTAGGTCCGGGTTCCCGCAGATGGCATGCGAGGTGTCACAATAGTAGGAGCACTTGCCATGGAAGCATAAATTCAGCGACGGCGAAACAAAGAAGGTCTTCAATAAATTCTCCTCGGCCAGTTGATAAATTTCGGTCGTAATGTTCAGTGTACGTCCCGCCACAGGCATGGCACGCCGGAATCCCAGTATCCTGCAACCACAGACAGAGAAGAGACCGGTTAATAAAATGGACAGAAAAATACAAAAAAAAAAAAATAAAATAAAACGTAGAGAAACCACTCCGTAATGGCGGAGACACACAGCAAGCAAGAAGTATCTCGGAGTGTGAAGCGAAATGCGTAATCAAAAATAAAGAAAACAAAAAGATTCCGTGGCAACAAGAGAAAGAACAATCGGTTGAATATTTCCTTATTTACCACAACAATTGAGTTAATTGATTGCACGTGGCAGCCAAATCTGACAGATACTTTTGCAGAGTCCATGGCAACCCTATCTGACAGTAGCGATTGCGTAGTCCATTGCTTTGCTCATCAATTTTCAGCTGCTTAAACCAAACTTTAATCCGATTGATTGGAAAACAGAAAATAGATTTCAAATCCAATTACTGCATAAATCTTTAGACATATTTCTCGTCTCTCCCGTCTGCCTCGTAATTGGGTCAAAGTTTTTCGCCCACAAAATAATATCGCAAAATGGGGGAATGTTTATTGTCTGGGGGTCAATGGGTGTGGGGAAAGTGCGATAAATTTATATCTTCCAGGAGTCGCTCCAGAAGTTGGGGCGCACTCCATTAGTGGGCTGACAGCCCAAGCTGAGCTCAAAGTTTGCCTTTGCAAAGGGGCCAACTCTGGAGGATTGGCTCTCGACCATCGATGGGAATGTGGGGGAATGGTGGCAATGCGGGGGGCTTGCCTGCGTGTGGCAGCCACAACAATTACACAAGTTATGACGCCTTATCTGAATTCAAAAATGCCTCAGCGGGGAGCTCTACTCCGACCAAGCTTGGACAGGGGCCCCGAACTGGCAATTAACCTCGCTGTCAAAGTTTTGTCAAACGCAAGCAGCTGCTAACTATGCAGACAATTTGGAATCTAAATTACGGGGGAACATGTCAGTCATTCGCCATACACTGGCCTGCCCATGGACTTGGCCAAGTTAATTAGCCATGAAAGGGTCGCCTCGTAGTCGGAGTCAGTGTCGGGATCACTGCGATGTCCAAAGTTATGTGCCCACATAATTTACATGCGTTGGCGCCATATCCTTTTTTTCCCCACCTACACCCACATTCACTCTCACTCTCTCTCTCTCTCTCTCTGTTGGCTTGAAAAATATTCTTAAATATCATTTAATGGCGCCATTTGGCCCCCGTCCTTATTTCCTTGTGTGCGTGTGTGTGTCCGTGCGAGAGGGTAAATGTATAAACATTTTTTATTTTATGCGACGGCCCATCATAAATAATGAACATAAATTGACTGCGGTCTGACCTCAGCATGTGTCCGTGGACGGAGTGTGTATGTGTGTGTGTGTGTGTGGGACAGGATTATTGGGCGGCCTTCTAATCGCAGAAGGTCAGGCATCCTTGTGGCTTTCAAATTGCCAAAAAGTATCATAAATTTGAATGCCGAATGTAGGCCCAGGGAATGATCTGGCTAACATTGCCGACAAATTGGTTAATTTGATTGCTTTGTCAGGTACCAGAAAAACAGAAAAAAAAAACTCTTTCAGCCAGCAAAAAGTCATAAATGTGTAAAGGAACTCAAAGGCAATTCCCATTGCCGGATAAACTTTAGTAATCCAACGGAATGCCAGAATGAATATTGAACCGTAATATGCTGGGATATTTTTAAAATTAAATTTGAAACTGTTTTTCAGACCACAAGACCCACCCCCCACAATTGATTCCCTTCAGATACAGTTTATGTTTACCTAATTGAATATTTCAAATTGATTTCGATTTAAATTTTGGTTTTTTTCTGTATTTTCTGTTGCTCTCCTGCTGATGTTGTGGTGGCATTTCATGAAATTTTCAGCATAAATATTTGCGTATAATTGAAAATTAAATGAAAAATAAATACTCGTGCTGCCAGTATGCCAGACATTTACAGCGGATGCGGATCGATTGGTTTATGCTGAACAAATTGCCACAAAAAATGCATTCCAGCATTCCTGTGGGTAGACGAGTACGTGGAAGGGAACGGAAACGGGAATGCAAACGGGAATGGGACTCACCTGTCCAAGTGGAAGGCAGCAATCTCGGCGTTGTGTCGCTCATAGTCCGTGAAGTAGAAATGATTGGGAAGCGTTTGCTGGTCCCTGGGAAACCTGTGGAAATGTAAATCAGACAGGTGAGAAAGGTAGCAGGTGGCAGGTGGCAGGGAAAAGGGCAGCATGCCACAGAGTGAATTGAATAGAAACTGCGGGCGTCTGTCACCAGCTTAATGCATTTGCGTGGCTGGCCACTTTTGAGTTCGGTGCAGGAAGAGGAGCAGAGGTGTGTGGCAGCAGAGCACCTGCAGTGCCATGTGCCAGCTTAATTACTTACACGAGCCCCACACGAAGCGGGGACTGCAATTAAAAAGAAAATATTTAAAAAAAAAACGGGCACCAATTCATTTAAATTGCAAATGAATGGCATTAAAAGGACACTTTGCACTTTGGCAGCTGCTCCAGGTCCTGCGCCACATCCACCTTCAGCTCCAGCTCCGCATTCAGCTCCCAGCTCCCAGGTCCTGTCGCAGGGTTGTGGGTTGCCAATGGAGAGACACCTTGACCAAGGCAACGCGTTTAAATCTCATTAAAAAGTGCATAAATGTTTTAAATTTGCTCACAGCTTGAAGGGGCCACCGCAAAACGTCGGAATTTCCATCGACATGCAGGCCGCTGGGAAAGTCAGCGAAAATGTGCGGGGATTTTTATATACTCGTAAAATGGGCAAAGTATTGTCGACAAGTGGGCAAAAGTTGCATTCATTATGGGACAGGGACGCGGACATGGACACGGACAGGAGACAAATGCATTAAGCGGTGGATGCGTTGAAGAGTCGATGGCAAGCAGTCATCGCCACGGCCAGGCTGTACTTACCGCATCGGCTTCATTAAGGCCTTGATATCGTTCGGGTATTCAATGATCAATTTCAGCTGGGTGCCGCCCTCCTTTTGCACTGCAAAAAGAGAGAGAGGGGAAAAATGAATCGAGTGGAGAAATGAATGTAAATTAATCAGGCACTCGAAATTAATTGAAGCAAAAACCGAAACCGAGAGAAACTCATGAAATATTCCCAATTCAATGACTCTGCGTTGTGCAATCGGCTTTGAAACTGCTGCCAAACCAGAACCCCCAAAACACAAAACACACTTGACTTATTACCAATTAAATTTCATCTGAAAAGGCTACAAAAAACCATAAATATTTCTTATACGCAACCACACAAAGGATCCCCAAACCACTGGGGGTTTCCGCTCTGTTTTTGCATGTGAAGTCAACTGAATGCATTGGCCATTACAATAATAGACAGTAGGGGCTTATTGGCCACGTTTCGGACTCGGGGACGCTGGCTAGCCAAAAACGAGAAAATTAAACCGCATTTCATTTGAATTTAAACAGAAAACAAAGGCCGAAGAGTGAGGAGCGCTGCACAGCGGCGATAATTCTACTTTACTTATGAGTTATGACTCGAAAGTTGCTCCCCAGCCATGTCCGGGATGCGAATGTGTGTTAGAAGAAATTATTTGTATGCGTATGCGTGATAAATGCTTGCCAGCGCCGGAAAGAGCCCTTGCAGTGGCAAAGTTGCAACAATTATGCCACCAAAGTGTCATTGTTGCACTGTGTATGGCATCCCTCTCTCTATCTCTCTCTTATTATCCCCCCTAGCTGCAAATGAGTTTTCTTTTTGTTGCTGGGAGACGCTGCTGTTAAAAGTTTATTATTAATAAATTAAGACTTTAATGAAGGCGCTGGTAAAACTTTCAAATGGAAATAGTTTCGCAGCAGCACCTCAATAATCCAGCGGCTCGAGGCATTCCCCTCCATAATTGAGTTAAATGTGCAAGCAGCGGACCCACTCCAAGGAGCCCCCCAGCCCCCAGCCAGGACACATCTAATCCCACAGGCAGAGGCCAACAAACTTTGCAAGTTTAAAAGTACGACTACGACTACGAGTATTTATGACTTTACAAGCCCACAATTGCAGAAAAGGAAGGATATGTCTTACCAACATGCTGTATTGGCAGCTTGATCATGTCACGTAGCACCGCATCCACCAGAGTGTCCTGTTCGCCGTACAGCTCCTTCTTCGTGATGCGCAATTGGAAGCGCTCCAAATTGCTGGCATTGGCACTGCAGGAGGAACAGAACAGAAACAAAATGTTGGAAATGTAAGTAAAAATCGAGCATTGAAGCCCTAAGCCAGCTGTCGTTTCAAAGGCACAAAAAGGAAACCGTCGGGACAATCGGGGAGGGATTCCGTTTGGGTTTGGGGTTTGGGGTTATTGGTGGAGCAACTGTCTTCAGTTCGGGCTTTGCTTTCGTTCGATTCAGTTTTATTTGGCTTGGTCTGGCTCCCTCATAAGTATGCCATGCTCTGGGGCTGCATATCAAGATTTCTCACATTGATTTGTCAAAGCAATGCACATACAGAGACATACAGAGAGAGAGAGAGCAGGAAAAGTGTTCATTCCATCTTTCCCTTCTGTCTGTGTGTCTGTCTGTCATGACAATTTGGTTTGCAAATGCCAAGGCACCACCCATATCAGCCGTAATCTTTTGGTACTGCCCTGCATTTTTCCTACCGCCTGGCAATTGCCAGAAACTATCTTTTCCTCGACGATTATGCTTTGGTCTCGTTTTTGACATGTGCCGCTCACATGGCAAATGCTTTTGTCTTAAGTCCTTGCTTGCATTTACTACTCGTTGTATGATTTCCGATTCCGATTCAGATTCAGTTCAATTTGTGCTGGTCGAGCACAAAAACCGATTGCAAAAATGTAAGCTGCAAAATGTTCAAACCAAACGAAAGCAAGGCAAAGCAAAGCAAAGCAACGTCCTCAATTCCCAATTCCAGCTGTTTCCCTTCTCCCTCTCTATGTTAACTTTTGGCAGTGGCTTTCCCTGTTGCACTGCAGACAACAAATTATCCCAGCAGTCATGACAAATTGAAATGCAAAACTTTCCACTGAAATCTAGCTGATGTTTCTGCTGCTGCTGCTACTGCTGCTGCTGCTACTGCTGCTACTGCTACTTCTGTGCTGGTTGCCCCGGCACTTGGCCAAAAATGATGGCGCATGATGCTGTGGAATGAGAAATGATTTCTGCTGCTCCATTGTACGCCAAGCTTATCACGATAATGAAGTCATATCCGGGACTGCTGTCCGCTGTCCGCTGTCCCCTTGGCTGTTCTCAATGGCATCCACATAACTCATTCTTTCGCCCCCTTTCCGCTCCGTGCTCTGACGCTTGCCTCCTGGACTCCTTTCTCTCTCTATCATAATTTGCCCGTTGACGTCTGTGTGGGACGCTTTACGCGTTCTATGCTGCCTTTGCCATCGCCTCTGCCTTTAACTCTCACTCAGAGTCCCTTGGCCGTCTTGATATAACCTTTTGTTCGGCCGGAAGGAAACAAATGTCTAGCTGGCAACCTTCTTGCGCACGGAATGACTTTCAATATCTCAACGTTTTATGGAAACGGTGACAGCATCCGGACTCTGTCCTTTGCTTAGCAATGAGCGGTGCTTTAAAGCCATCTCTAGCTCTGGTACCAGAATAATTGCCACCAGAGCCAGTCGGCAATTATCATGAGCTGTGGCAGCCGCAAAGCGAGGAATTGACAAGGGTTTCTTTGGTTTGGTGGCAGGCTCTTCGCTCTGGTAAGTGTCATCGAAAGGGGTAAAAGCAGTGGCAGGAACACATGCTTCATTCGTGCCACAAAGTATGCTTCATAAGGTTGCCATGGCAAAGTCAAAGTCCTGGTTATGTTTCATTTGTCAACTGTGGTGGCAAGCCAACAGCAGCAGCAGCAGCAGGAGCAACAGCAGCAGGAGCACAAGGAAATAAAAGGAAGATAGAGATAGAGCAGCAGAAACTGGAGAAGCAACGGAAAAATTCACCATAAAAGCAGGATGAGGAGTCGGAGGAGTCGCCTCCCTAGAACCTGCGTAATTGATGAAGCCTCCCGCTGTGGACATTGACTAAGCACTGGACCCTGTCCACACAATCCCATGGCCTGTGGTCAGAAGCGGTTCGGCTTGAATGTTTTACCAATAGCTTGGGGGTTCTTCTGCCCTCCCCCTAGGGACCATTTCAAGCTGTTGCACTTTGGGGTTTCGGTGCTCAAAGGAAAACTCACAAAAGAGCAAAAAAAAATCCATATGGGATACCAAATCCAAAATTCAAATCCCTTTTGTAATTGAGTCACGTAAATCAGTTGCAGCGGCCGCCAGTCAACAAAAACCCAAAATCGCATTACAAGCGAAAGTAAAAGGGACAGCGTCAGAGGGAGGGAGGGAGAGAGAAAGAGATATGTGTGCACAAGAGTGAGACAGAGATGTGGCACGTGACACGTGGCTCCAAGTGCACACAAACCCACGTATACTCTCTCTCTCTGTCTCTAGCATACACGCAAAATGCAGACAACCGCAGTGACAGCAACGCAACGCAAGCGGCTAACAAACCACCTCCCCCCCGCCCGCTTCCACTTGTCTAAAGCCCGCGCAAAAGTTTGTTATGCAAAAGCGTTGACAACTCAACGACGTTGACAACGACGACAAAAATAATAAAAAATGAAAACCAAACGAAACGAAACGACGAGCAGAGCAGAGCAAAAAAAATATACGAAGAGTATACTAAATGTAATTGAAAAAGGGATTTTCATATAATTGGTCGTGCCACCCCCTACAACACACCCGTTTGGCAGTTGCACGTTCCTGGCGGTTACTTGCGTCAAGAGTTTACTTTGAGTTATGTTTAGCGGAAATTAAATTTAAATGTCAGCGAAGGCCGGGACGGTGGGCAGGCGGCCATCTTTGAATGACGCCCACTAATCAGCTTAATTGCGCACGGTTTGACGATCCGACAGGATGACAGGCAGACGAGCAAAGTCCAGAGTCCAGAGGAGAGCCACAGCCAGAAATAAGTAAAGTTTACTTACAGTACAGCCAGTTCAAAGAACTTTAAACGCTAAACAAATATCTTCTGATGATATCTCCGTCGAGTTTTTCGCGCCACAGATAAAAAAATATTAATTAATGCAATATTAAATTTCAATTGCCACCGGATTCGGACGGATACCGCGGAAAACATTCCAAAGTCCAGGGAAAACTTGCGCTGGATTATGACTGGTCGAGTGACTGGCTTTCACTGGATATATATTGCTGCGGCCGCTACCCGCCTACCATTGTTGTCGGTGTTATCCCTAGTGCTATGCCCAAGACCAGGGCTAGGGCTAGGGAGGAGCAAGGAGCAGGGCGCTGGGGTACTATAATAACAGCTGTCAGCCGGCATGTCCTGGCCTTTGCTTAAGCCTCGCAGTGGCGTACTCGCGAGCACACTCCCGCAACCCGCAATTATTTTCCCATAAGAAAATGTCAGTAAAGTTTTCCGTGCGCACTTTCCCACTGGCAGCTGCGACCAGGACGAAGCCGCAGCAGCCACAAAAGTGCTCCTCAGATAGACAGAGACGGAGCGGCAGCCGCCAGGAGACAGCGGGAGAAGAGAATGGGCGAATGGGAAGGCAAAACTTTGTGCGTGTGAAATTTTGCGACCGCGAAGACCAAAGAAGGGACGGACCAGGATTGCAGCAAGGCTCACACAACGGACAGTTTGGCAGAGAGTTGAAGGAGGAGAGGTTGGTGGCAGGCACAGAGGTAGAGGAAGCAAAGAGGCAAAGGAGTCGGGCACAAGAAAGTGAAATTAAACTTATATTGTAGCTGGGATAAAACTTCGGCGGCAAGAGCGCGAACATTAAAACCAATGACAGCCAACCGACTGCAGCTGGGATCCCAAGAACAAGAAGTGGGGGGCACGAGCACGGGCACTGCTGCTTCTTCCTCTGCTGCTGCTCTTCCTGGAGTATCCTTGAGATGTCAGCAAGCTCTCAGTGTCTTACACACTCGTCGACACCGAGCACAGTCGTTTATTGCTAAGCGCATTCCTCTGCCCCATTCCCCATTCCCTATGCCGAATCCGAATCCGACTTGGTATTCGCATCCTGCTCGACAGCTGCTAAAACTTCTTGTAGTTCTCCTTTTTTTTGCCGGGTGTAATTCGCTTGAAATAAGATTTCTTCTGTGGCAGCTCAACGCGGTCGCAATTGCAGGCTAATTAAAAATTTGTCATACTAATTAAACGCAAGCCGCAGAAGGATGCGGCCAGCACCGACCCCAGGACTTTCGCTGAATCAGTGGCAATGTCACTGTGGCTGTGTGGCACCCTGGCATCATCAGTGGCAGTGGCAGCAGCAGTGCCACCAACTTTCCGTAATTATATCCCAGCTAATGTTGGACAGGCTTTTGTAGTCACTGTGTACCTGGGACTCCTCATCCTGGGGCTAATATTTCATCGTGTAATTTTAGGCACATTTGCATTATGCCACATTTTTTCACTGCCGCTCGGTTGGGTGCATTCTCATGGAGCATTCTCATAAAGATGGAGATGGAGACGGATCTACCTGCGGTGCATTGTATGCACTGCGGCACTCGGCCAAAAAAAAAAGCGCTGACTGAGCGCGAACAGAAACACGAACCGCTAAGCGAAAGAGGCCAACTCTGTGAGAAGGGGAAATTAGATAAAAGACAACGTCAAGCATATATGGGGGCTCTCGGCGCACATCTGCTCACAGAGCGACAGTATTTTAATGAGATATAGTATCTCTGGCGACGAGCGACAGGTGACACGAGCCTCAGCCCTCAGTCTCTGCCAGATATGCCTTGATCCAATTTGCAGCCCACATGGATATTTCTCCCCGAAATAACAAAAAAGTTAGCCTGAAATATCTGAGGCTAAAGATTCAAATACATTGCAGCTTAGAGTTAATTTCTATCTCAAGAATGAACTTGATTGAATGTCGGAACAGGATTGCCTTCTCTTGGCCTATAATTCAAATCAAATCTTAGTCCCAGCAAGTCATTCAAATAGCAGGGAATACACCTGCAATATCTACACTTCAAAAGCTTCTACGACGAGTATCCTGGAAAGAGTGTCTCAAAGTCTCTTATGTCCCACAAGTTATCCTTTCGCTTCCTTTTTCTACCCACGAACATTTACTGGAAGCAATTTCGCTTGTTAATGAAATTTGCATTTGAGCTACGTGAGGAAGACCAAACACACACAACACAAAAAAAAAGTGTAGCAAACTTTCTGGCTTGGTTTTCGGTGATGTGCTATAAATTAGAAAATCAAGCATTTTATGCTAATGCCGACGCCCCCACTTAAACGGAGAGAGCTCGGCAACCCTGGCAACCAGACAACCCCCCACCATCCACTCGGAACACCAAAAACAACGAGTCCGTGGTGGTGCACGGAGCAGGAGGATGCGGAACAAGAACAGCAACAAACTGTTCAGTTTGACAAGTTTTTGCCACTTTGCATTTTCCCCTTTTTCGATTTTCTACTCCCCTCGCTTTTCACCCCTGCTTTTCTCTTCACTTTTCTCCATTCGTTTTTTTTTTTTGTTGCAACTTTAGCCAACTAGTGAAGCAAATGAAATTACTCATACGCTACGTATTCAATTTTGATAAAAACTGCCAAAACGATTTCGAGCGAACAGAAGCTTCAACATTGCTTCTTCGAGTGTCTGTTCATTGTGAGCGGGAAAAGCAAAAGGAAAATAAGGAGAAACCTTTACTCGTAAAAAAATAACGAGTAACGAAAAGCGTCGGTGGAGGGGGAATGAGGGTTGGATACCGAAACGAAGATGGAGAAAACTAAGCTGATTACCGAGCAGGAAAATCAAATGAAAACTCGGCGAAATAAATTTCATTGCAGACTCAAGTGTGTGTGGAAGGGTCTGGGGGTATGGGGCTGCAAATCCACATTGATTTCTTTATTGCAGTTTTATTTGATTGTATTTCCTTGTCAAATTACGCATACGCCGTGTTGAGACAAGGCAAACTCTCATCAGCGTTATCGGTGGGCGACATCTCCTAGACTCTGCTGCCCCCGGCAACAACAGCAACAATCAGGCAACACTTACCCGAAACAGATAGAGACATATAGATATACAGAATGGGTTCCCGGGAATGAGAATGGGCTCGAGGATGAAGACCGAAAGCAGCGTATAGCGTAGAGCGTAGAGCAAATGTCTAAAGCGTAAATGTGTCACGTAAATGGAGCGTAAATTTCAATAAAAATCATTTCAATTCCGTTGAAGACCCAAAAGTGGCGCAACTGCTGGTTGCACACCCAACCCGCTTTCAGTTGACACTCCCTCTATCAATTACCACGTGCCTGGTGGCTGCTAAAGTGGCCCAAGGACTCGGGCCGGCATTATGTCCTTCCGCTTAGGGGAAATTGAATTTTCTTCGTCTTTTTTTGTACGGACCTTCTCAGTCGTCGGAGCAAGTAGACCGCTCCTTCACACTCACCTGACTTTGCGATGCAGCATCTCGGCCAGGGTGGGATTATCCAGGGACACATCCGGTGCATTGTCCACAATGACGTGGGAGTACTCGTCACTGAGCAGCAGCTTCTGCAGATCCACATACCGATCGTGCGGAGTCGGATTGCGGGTGGTGAGCATGGACCCAGTGCCGGGTCCGGCAGCGCCTCCAGACCCTCCAGCCGCTGCCGCTGCCGCTGCAGCCGCATCCTGGCCACTGGTTACGCCTCCGCTCTGACTGGCAGCCGCTGCCGCTGCCTGAGTGGATGCCTCCTTGGAGCCAGATGAGTTGCTGTCAAGAGAGAGAGAGCGGAAAGAAGGATGGTTAAAAGTCGGCTTAAAATAGTGGCATAATTAGCTGCGGTGGGGTAGGGTTCAAGCGGCGGCTGAGGCGCACTCCACAATGGTCTTCGGGCTCTTGTTGCTAATTGCAACTGCCAAGTGGCTGGTGCTGATGCTGATGCTGAGGCTAAGACTGAGGCTGGCTTTAAGTGGCAGCTAGCAGCAAGCAGCAAGAAGCAGCTACGTAAACGTAAGTGCCCCCTGGCTAAGCAACCAAAGACACGCACTTGCAGGTAAGTTGAAACTTTGTCAGCCCCGACTTTTAGTTGCATTTATCTAAGAAGAACACACTCTCCCACACACAGATGCACAGATGCACAGATACACAGACACACTAGCAAACTTGACTGCAATAAACTGAAATTGCAGGCACTTCAATGTCTGGCCCTGCAACATCACCTCCCCCAGCCCGTGTACATTTAGGGCAGGGTCTCAGCTTGCGGCACAGTGGTGCGAAGTGCGACATTTGCTAGATAATTCCATTAGGAAATATGCCCCCGCCCCGCCAACGACTACGATATGGCAGACCATTCCTTCAAACTCTCGGATTCTGTTGAATTTGCTACACTGTGTGGCACACAGCATTGGTAATCATCTGCAGTTTAGTCGGCGCCTTCTTCAGACAAAAAGAGTGCTCGAGAAATGAATTAAAGTTTTCAAAATTCGTTGGCAGCCTTGACTCTTGGCTTTAACCACCGCTCGTTAGGATGTGGCAAAGTGCGGGTGGAGTGGTTATGGGGGAATTATGAAATTATTCTAGCAGTTGTGTGACCATTAAAATGAATGTCAGATTCTGCTGGCAAACGGCCTCTTCACATGTACCAAATGCACATCATTAGACTGGAAGCAGTGGCACAGAGAAAATCTGCCTAAAAACATAAGTACTTTCTATTTCGGCAAATTGTCGTTTTCAATTTATAATTGTTGCACAAGTTTTCTTTTTTTTTTTGTGGCAGGTGATACTTTCCTCTGAACCTCAGAGCCTCCCCCCACCTGTCTCACGCCTGTCTTATCTGTCACCCCGACAGGTGTGTGTGCACCTGTGTGCGAAGCATCCGATGGATGCAAAACTTTTTCAATTAACATTTTGCCAGCCAAAGTCTGAGCCAAGACTGACACGAGGATGGGTTGCGTTGTGTTGCTGCTCTTAACAAATTCCCCAGCGATTTAGACAATATTATCCGGCAAGCCGCTTTCACTGTGCCTCCGGGCCTGATACGAATTTTCCCCCATAACGAGTTTGTGCAGATTTCACGCATTTTATTGGAAACCGCATAATGCCACTTTATGTGCTAATAAGTATTAAAGTCTCCCTTTGTGTACACACTTATGAAGTGAAGTGAAGTGAAGTGCCACCCCAGCCAGCAGGCATTCCTTCCTTCCTTCCGCATTTGTGCCTGTCTCCCGCCCCCAAACAAAATTGATTCCACATGCTACCTCAACCGCTGCGCTTGCCACACGGCCCCTCCTGACAAAAGCAATGACAATACATACACGGACCGGGGCCGGGCCGTGTTTCGTCCTCCGTTTTGGGGGGCATTACGCTGTTCGCCGTTCGCTGCACGCCGCGATCGATGGTGGCGTGCACTTAATTACACTCTGGCGAAACTTTGCTCATTAAACTGTCACATGATGTGCGTAATGCTGCCCACATAAGCTGCCCCTGTGATGTGGTTAATTAAACAGTCAACTGCCACTGTTACAGCCATGAAGCGGAAGTGGGGAAGGAGGTGACTATCAGATGAATACGTACGATACCAGCTGCGATTGACAACAACAGGATCAAATGCAGTTCAAAGTTTATGCAAGTCAGGGGACGGGGGTGGATTCTAGTCGGAGATGCTTTGACTGGTGTATTGATAACTCAACTGGGTCCAAATTAAGATATAATGGACGGCCTTGGCACTAGTAACTTGAGCTGCAGTAATTCACAAAGAAAGGACCAATGAATGTCTGAAACGGAGCTATAAACTGTACACTATTAATGGAATTTGTAAGACTCTTTGGCTCTTCTTAGCTGAGATAGGGTTGGAAAAATAACTGCCAGGGGTCTTAAATTTGTTTCTGCTTGAAAATCCTCAAAATTTAATAGTATTATTATTAGTGGGAAATACATTAAAACATATTTTCCAAAGGGAAACTATAAAATTTATTGCATCGCTACAGCAACTCCCATTGATACCCCTTAAAAAATACACAAACTTCCCTTGTTGCCCTCAAAGACAACGGGAAATATTTAAGGCATTGCCAAGACGATGCTACAGTTTACCGTTTTTTAATGAAATAATTAAAAAATGATGAGGCTGGCAGACGAGAGAGGGATAGCGGTAGCTGAAGGGGAGGGAGCCTCTGACGACGAAGCTGGGCAAACATTTGATGCTTAAATAGAATTTATTACGCTTCACAGCCACGTTGCACGACTCAGTGCATGGAGGCATCATAATTTTGCATTTGCCATGGCGCATAAGTAGATAGCGGCAGCAACAGGGCCCTGGGACCTGGGAGCCGTAACCCCTGGCACGGGACACAGGGGCAGGGATACCAGCAGCTGGTAGAAGCTAAGAGCGGAGGAGGAATCTCTGAGACACGAAGCTCGGCAAATATGGCAGTTGTTTTTTGCTGAAGACGATGCGCAGGCGGAGGCGGGCGACTTATGAATTAATTAAATATTTACTGGCTAAACATTGCCGTTATATGTATGTTCCCGGCCCATGCTGTCAGGTAGAGTCCGGGATGGAACGAAACTCTACCAAACGGTATAGGGTATGGTGTATGGCTATGGGTTTGGGACCATTGGTTGCACCTGGAGGCCTGGACCGAGGGACCAACGGAAGGTCTTCACAGTTTCCCTTGCGCCTTGCTGCGTCATTTTGATGTTTTATTACTTGACTTCCGCCGGCCGCAGCAAAATGGCGCCGCAACAAAACCGCCTCATTACCACCCCCGCACGCAACGCAATGCGGGGATGGGGATGGGCAAAGAAAAGAAAAGAATAAGGTGTGTAAAATGAAACCGACTTGGCCCGGTCGTCGTTTGTGTATATATTCTATGGAAAGGCATTAACGTGCCGGGCTACGGGCCGCTCCTGCTGCTTTTCTAACTCCTTCGCCTCCTTCTCGCACTCGCGCACCTTGTTGTAGTTTCCAAGAAGTTACCTGCTGTTCCCCGGCCCACCTGGTCTGCCTCTTGGGTTTATGTTTTGCAGCAAATTACGTTTTAATGCCAGGCGAACCAAGTTTTATTGCAACTTTTGTTGCATTTCTGCTAAATTGAATTATGTACACTGCCGTGTTCCATTCCATTCCCTGCCGTGTGGCAGTGGTGGCGCAGCGAAGAAAGAATCAGAGGGGCTGGGCCATGGCTGCAGGGAATGCTTGGCGAAGTCAATGGCCCGACCACGACCACCGACCCCATTCGCGATTTGTGCATAATTTTTAATCCCCTTGAATGGGCAAAGACGCGATGGCGTGGTCCGAGCGACCTGCAATAAATCTTGGCACTTCAGGGGTTTCCCGTTGGCGTTCAAAGTTCACGATAACAACGATAAGTCGATTACTGGCAAAGTCTTTTCAAATGTTCATCGAGAACTAGTAGGGTTTCTGGAATTCTTTCACTTCATTCCTTTTATTCAGTTGATTCTCGACTGTACTCCAAATTTCTATTCCATCGATTTTATTATTAATAAATTTACTGGAGACACTGAAATGGGAATTTTAATCCATAAATTCACGGAATTTCCCACAAATTGTGGACATAATCTTTAATCATGGATGGAACCAAAGGAAATTTTTATTTTTCCCCGAAATTGTTAAACTTTGGATACTGCAAACTGACTCTTATGCCAGAAACTGCTCCTACCATGCATCCATGGCCATGGATCAAATTCAAAACTGATTCCACGAACAGGCAAATTCCGACCCTGATTCGGGGCTGTAAATGGTTTAGCACTCACCTTTTCTGCAGGAATTTGCGCTTGAACTCGTGCAGCATTCCGCCGGCTCCCGCTGCGGTGGCATCGTAATCATTGGTATTGCCGTAGCGGATCTTCTGGTGCTGCTGCTGCAGCAAGTGGCGATTGGCCACACCAAAGTCCATCTGCACATCGACGATGAGCAGGAGGGTGAGCAGCACCAGTGTGGCCCCCAGGCTGATGAAAAGCCGCTCCTTCAGCTTCATAGTACGCAGGACGGCCATGATGGGATTTGTGGGGCAGCTGTTGCTGCTGCTTTCCTTTTGATTCAGAGTACCGACTATTGCTATGGCAGCCTTTTGATTGTTCCAATCGCTGGCCCCGAAACTATTACGCAGCCTCGACAACCAGCCCAGGCTTTTTCCAGCAGCTAATCCTAAAGCTGCGGCTGGTACTGCGACCGGTGGTGCCTCACTGCCAGAGGCGTCTGCGGTGCGTGGGGTGCGCACTAGGCGCCGCCTGATAATCACACGTCGTCGTGGCGATACCTGCTCCGGCTCTGAATCTGGCTGCGAGTCTGGCTCTAGCTCTTGTGGCTGTAACTTCTGGTCAAGAGCTCGCTCTCGCGGCTCGGACTGCTCTAGGGTGTCATGCGAGTATCGGCGGCCGAGGGCATCAACTGAAGCGGAAGCCCCAACAACGGTTCCCCAGCTATTGGCTCCGCTCTTGTTATGCTTATGCAAATTGGTTACGCCTATTTGTTCAGCTGATAACTGGCCGACAAGCGGGCGGGTGCTCGACTGGGGGCTATCGTATACTCCGATATCAGTGTAGTGGTTCGAGCTGTTGTTGCTCCAATATGCCGACTGTTGTTGAACCTCTTCCTGTGGTTCTGCCTGCTGTTGTTGTTGTTGTTCTTGTTCTTGTTGCAGTTGCAAATGCTGCCTATATCGGAATCGCTGCAATCGCTCTGCTAGCGGCGTGGACTGAGCTGTCTCTGTCGCTGTGCGATGGCTGTAAAGAGAACAACAGCAAACATTTTTATTAGAGAACCCAATGGAAAGGCAAGAAATGCTGAAGGGGCGGGCAGTTAGTGCTGAGAGGAGCGCCGCGAGAGAGAGAGAGCGCCATCCGCTCTGTTCTCTCTGTTCGAAATGCAATCAAAATTTCGTTCGTTAAACAAATTATGGCCAATGCGATTCCAAATGATTCCGAATCAGTGAACAAACAAAAAGAAATAGGAAGAAAGAAGCCAAATTTAGTAGAGATGGCCAACACACACACACACACACACAGACAAGCACTCTGCGCATACCCATCAATTAGATGGGTGGCTATGTTTTGGCAGGGTGTGCGCTACATCCATGAAATCAAAGCTAAACATTTTGAAATCCTTTTCACAAGCGGCTAAAATATGAGGCCACTTCAAATGTTTGCAACTTTATGAGAATGTTACTCTGCTTTCTCTTTCTCTACCACCCCCCACCCCTGTCACTGCCTTCCTCTCTGTCTAACCATAAAAAAAACATGAAAAATATGAACCGTCCGGACGTTTTGCAGTTCGTATTTTTTGCGTCTGTTTATTCATAAAGCGGCGTCAACGACGACGGCAGCGGCGTCATGGCATCCGCCATGTTGACTGCCACCGGAAATGCGACAGCAGCCATTTTTTCCTAGCTACTGTTATCGTTTGCCGCTGCCACTGCCACTGCCACTGCTGCTGCTGTTGTTGGGACTGCCATCATGTTGCCGGTTGTAGGTTGTAGTACTATTTTATTGTCTCCATTTTTATTGTTCATGTTTTTTGCTGCCTGCAACTGGTGAATGGTGTAACGGTAACTGGCCTGCACGCTGCACGGTGCACGAGCATATTTTTCATGCTACTCGACTCGTTTCGAGTCCCCCCCTTCCCCTACCCCTACCCGTTACCGGTTAGTCCAAATTTTGAATTGTAACTATAACAGGAAGGACTGGCGCTGTCCTCTTGCCACAGGACCGAGAGGCCAGGCCGTTCTCTGTTTAGAGCCGGTGGCAGAGTTAACGAAGCTTGTGGCAGCCCCCGGTTGCCCCACACACACACACACACACACATGCAGAAGAGTCAACATTGGTTATTTAAGCCGCCTGACGACCAAAAATTTGTTGGTCACTTGCGTTGCGTTTTCCCTGGCTATGTCTCTCTTTCAAAGAGCATTAAATGCTGCAAACATATTCAGAAAGCCCCCTTTGATTGACAGGCAGACACTTGCACAATCAATAGAGGGGAAGGGCCGAGTCTGGGGCCGCTTTCTGCTAACGTTTCACATGGGTAGAACTTGCACTTGCTCCACAAAATTAAATGTCAGATTCTGCAGTTTTGTATGCAAAATTGCTGATTAGAGCAGGCAACCAGACAGACAGACAGACACACAGGCAGAGATATCAGATAGATACGAGTAGATAGATACTCGCACATGAAATGACAGAGAGGCGGCAATAAAATGGCAAGCAAAAGGCAGCAGCAGCTGAATATGTCTGAGAAAGAGCCACGTCAATCAAATCACATATCATGCCAATTTTCTATGCAGGTCTCTGCCCTTCAGGGTACTCCCCCGCCCCCAAAATGTTTGACTCGTATCCATGACGAGATGATTTGACAGTCAAACAGCAGAGACTGGAGCTGTTCTTGGGGCTGGGGTGATGACATAGGCATGTCAGAAAGGGTTTCACAGATGTCTGGCAACAGGCCGGCCAGAGAGTGTTGCCAACATCAATAGCCGGTCCACTGCACGGCACATACAGTACGTAATCCAGCGCGACGCAGGAGGAGGAGGTGAGTAACGTAACACAGGTCTCTGTCTCCATATCAGTCGGCGAGGAGGTGATAAGAGCTGGCAGCAGCAACAATGCCACGGCAACAGCAACAGCAATAGCAATTGCTGTCGTCGCACATTCGATGTTGCTGCTGTTGTTTTTGCCGGCTGATAAAATTGCTGCGTTGCATTAAATTAAGCTCATGCGGTGTGTTTAAATGCCGCACTGTCGCCTGGCAGAGGGTCTTGTCTCTGGAAGTCAAGTACGAGGAGGAAGACCGACAGACAGACAGACAGACGCAGAAGCAGAAGACCGAGCAACAGATACGAATACTACGAATACTCGTACATACAACAGCAATGGCATCGTTTTAATGCAATTGCTGACAACAGCAACAGCGGCAATAGCACCAGCTCCGCTGCTACAGTGAGTGACAGCAATTTCCTTTCCCATTTGCGCTTTGTTTTTATTAATCAGACATACAGCAAAAGCAAAACGAAAGAAAGAAAGAAAGAATAAAATCAAGCGAGAGATGTACTTAAATCAGCTGAAGGGCAAAAGAGTGCAACGCAATGCCAGAGCAGAGGGAACGAGTGACAAAAGTGCACGGGAATGTCTATAAAAAGTTTTCCATATCATTAATTAAAGTTAAGAATTCAGTCAAATTAATGTCGGCTCTCAGAAGGAGAAGAGCGAAGATAAATATCGGGAGAGAACTATTCTTTTGGTATACGAATCTCTGGCGTTCCATACAGACCATTTCTACTGTGATATTATAATCAATGAAAATACCAATGAACTACTATAGCTTTCGCTGGAGAATAATAACTTCCTAAAGTTCATTGATGGGTTAAGTCCGGAAACATAGCTGCCTGCCGTAAAATATATCTTAAGTAGAGCATATCTAGTCGCGGGTTATCGCCACAATCACTGGGCCATAAATCAAATTCACTTTCAATCAAAGTTGACAAATGCCTTTCCGCTACCTTTCTCCCGCTCAATTAGCCCTCGCCAAAAGTCAATGAACTGCATTGGGAAAAGTAGCTTATTGTCTAGCACTTGAATCGGCTCCCCTCTCTGTCTCTCTTTATTCATTGATATGCTATGCATGATTGGGTTTTGGGATTTCCTCGACTTGCCTCCCTAATTGTGTTCCCAACAGTAAATGCAACGCGTAACCCGCCTCGAACTCAACGCAATGCAATGTGATTCGACTTGTGCTCAACTTGGATCCATTCAAATCAAATCAGTGATTGTGCAACATCTGGAAATGACACGCTTAATGCATTTTCCCCCCCGCTCAGCACTCGGCTCTGCTCTGCTCTGCTCGGTTTGGCGACCCTGTTACTGGTTTCGCTTTTTCTGGGGGCCACGCATCGATGCAGTCCGAGAATGTGGCTGTCCATCGCCGACAAAAGACTCGACTTATTGATCGGTTACGCTAGCTGTTGCCATGTCCTGGTAACACTATTAGAGCGGTTTGCACTTGAGTTGTCAACAGAAAAGCGATAAAGCAGGGCTAGACTAAAGAGTCGAATCGATGGGTACCCTTGCAAGCAATAGCTTATTTTCTTCTTCTTCCTTACGATCGGTCACTCCTCTGACAGTAATATGACGTTTGCCCAATCGAATTTTAGAAGAACATATACTTTAAAGGGTTGTAAAACCGTAACCAACGTCTCAATCGAATCGTAGTACTCTGTGCTAGAGCATAAAACAAATTAGATGAGCACCAGAGCAGGCAACACAGCACCCCCTATATCACGTGGTTTGCCTTCTCGACCCCCAATCGACCAAGCAATCACACCAGCTGCAATTCGATATGCAAATGATTGGCAAACTGTTGCAGTTGCAGAGCCAGTGGCAGCGAATCGCATGGAGTGTCAAGGTTAGTTTGGCTTAAATATTTGGTTCATTTACATGGCAGCATCGGCATCCAATCCTATGCGGATTTCATTCCATTTGCGCGTTTGTCCTGCATTGCCGTTTCAGATCCCTCTCTCTCTCCCTCTGTGGGACAATCGAAGCGCAAAACTTAAGCAAATTGCCTGCGTTAGGAATGGAAGGAAGGCACAGAAGAAAGTCGGGCTAAATGCAGTTGTGTTAGTAGGGAGCCTTTGCTGCTGCTTTGCTGGCTTTTGCTTTTGCTTTGTGCTCTGGCCCTTTTGTCAATTTACCTTTGGCTGTGCAAACTTTCGCGCTGCTCCCACTGGTCCCTCGCACTGGTCCCTCGCACTGGTCCCTCGGCGGCTGCCACTGTTGCTGTTGCTGTTGCTGCTGCAGGTCCAGCAGCAGCAGCTTATCATCATCATCGTCTTGGGGAGCATAAGCAGAAAAGGAAGCTGTGGAAACAGTGGCGAATCTTCCCTGCTTCTCTTGGCTCTGAGACTGGCTCTGCAATGTTGTTCTCAGGTGATTCAATGCCAGCGATTTCTCAGCAGATTTGCCCCAGGTCATTTCATTACCAAAGTCAACAGCAATGTCCTGTTGCAGCTCCATCTCCAGCTCCTGCCCCTGCTCCTGCTGCTTTTGCTCGTTGTTAATAAAATTTTCCAGCTGGCTCGTTGACTTCCAGTTTTTGTGTCCACCATCGTGGGACTGGTACTGGGACTGGGACTGTGACTGGTATGGGGACAAGTAGGGTGTAGGAGCTGCAGAAGTAAACGGAGTCTGCTTCATTGCCAATTCAAATGCGCTCGGATGCCAGCCATTGTTGTCCCTCCCCGGAATAGAGATGCCAGCAGCTACCGGCAGCTCGTCATGGCCTGCATTGTCCTGGCCGTGGACGTTGACGCCATTGCATTGTTTCACTGCTGATTGATTCGCAGTCATTGCCAATTGATTTATGCCCAAGGCGACCGAGCCGCTGCTCCCCATCCGCTGCCGCCGCATGCGGGGCCCATCGCTCTGGCAATCATTGTAGCCATCATAGTCATTCCCATAGCCGTCAAGGCTGCCATTCCCATTGGTTTTCCTGGCCAGCTGCCCGGTGGAGACTCCTCGCAGTGAGTCCTTCTCCAGGCTGGCTCTCTGGAGGGACACGCTGCTCTGGCTCCGTTGGCGCTGCTCCTTCCGCTTGGCCAACTGTGCCGGCGATGGGGCGAAGAGGTTCCGTATGTTGGCATGGCGCTGGCTGACATCGATTTCGCTGCCACTTGGCTTAACCTACAGATTGATTCAGATAATTGTACGAGTACGACTACGACTAAGTGGGGGGGAAAACAACTCTTGCCTCCGACAACGAATCGGTTTTAAGGGCCAAGAAAAATCATGCTCAAGGAATGCATCAAACAAACTTCGTTTTTTTTCGTTATTTTTTTTGTGGGTTAGTAGAAGGCAACAAACGAACGCTGGAAGAATGAAATGGAACCAAACAGTTGTTATCTTAATGCTAAGCCAACAATAATTTAAGCCATCAACTCAACGCGAAAAAAACTCAACGAAGTGCACAGGTCCAGGGAGAAAAAAGGAAGGACAATGGCTCTTTCATAATCGGATGAAAACAATTCTGGAGTGCTACTTACACTCATCCTCGAGGCGAGTGACATTGAAGGAAGTGCAGAACTGAGATGGACAGGAGAGAGCCAACTAGACAGGAGAGCTGCTTCCGGGCCGACCAGTGAGGGTCATCAAGTGGATGAGACGGTTGGATGGATGGTTGCTTGCTGGATGCCGATGGAGAGGTTTTCCACTTTTCTTTTCTTCGGCGAGTTTCCTCAAAGCTGGATCAGTCTATTCATGTGTGTGTGTGTGTGTTAAAGCGGACTACCACACACACACAGAAATCAGCAAAAGAGGGACACAAAAAAAGAGTAGCACCGAGTGGAAGAGACATGAATAGAAAGAGAGAGAGACAGAGAGCATGAAAATTTGAAACGTTAGACAGATTAGCATAAGCGGATAATTCGGAAAAACACACACACACACTGAGCAATGGCTACGGAATTTCCAAGCAGCAGCGAACGAAGCAGGAAAAGCGGATGGAAAATCCAAAGAGAAATGGACAGCATGTGTGAAGCGTTTAAGTGCTGTGTTGCTGTTGATGCTGATGCTCCTGATGCTGCTAAGGCATTAGGATTTCGGGGCCGGCGCTTGAGACAGGGGTCGTCAAAGGGGAGCACAACAACCCATGCTCTTGCGCAACAACCGAAAAAAAATTTAACTGATGCAAAAGCTCTAGCTCTCTGTCGGCTTGAGGTTCTCTCCGCCAGATAAAAGCAAATGCAGCACACTGCCAAAAAGGAAACACTTTATTTTCACCGCCTTAAACTTCAGAACTTACTGCCACTGAAATGTCTTTAAAATATAAAATTCTGATCAAATCTATTTTATTTTTCATATATTGTAAATAGTCCCAAAAAGAACCAATCCCGTAGCTTGAACTATTCTCTTGTGTTGATACATCTCAGATTCCAGCTTTTGCGTTGAAAAAACCTTTGAAAGCTTCCCTCTAGACTCCTTTTATTCCCCTCAGTGCAATCGACTCAAACAAAAAAAAAAACTGTGTGCAAAAATATGCTGCAATTTTCTTGAAGCACAGATACATATTTCCATGTTTGCCAAATGCCAACAACACAGTCGGAGGTGGAAATGCGTGGAAATGTCGAATCTATGCTAAACAACAAAATGTCATGGGAGATGAGAGGCTAGAAGGTGGCCATAAAGCTGATGTTTGACTAAATGTTGGATACATATTTTGATATTTACACTTCAGACACAAGGCAAACAAATAAAATCACAAAAGTCACCAAGAATACGTACATATACAGATGAGACAGTAAATGTATGGCCAAATGATACAATCTGTATCTTTGTTGATGGTTATGCGGGTGTATCTTATGGAGATACAAATACTCGAATCTGCAATAATTTCTCTTGAATTTCTTTAAACGTAAATATTTGCTGCTGCATACCGCAAGGCGCCAGCGCTTTAATAAAGAATATACCACAAAAAAAAACCAAACGGGAGAGCAATGTAGTTTTCCTAGCCGGGCAAGATATTCCATATGTCTCAGTCCTCCTATCCCTCTCTCAGCAAACATTTGTCTGCAGCTGCTCTCTCTCTATCACTGCTTGGCATTGACATTTTTCAGTTGCATGCAACCGCTGTGGTAAGATGCGAATACTTTCAGTTTTTTCCTTCATCTTTTAACCGAGTTTTCAGCTCTGCGTTTGTGGTTTTTTCGTCAAAAATAATCAAAAAGGGTTGAAGGGCAGACACACACACAAACAAGGGAAAAAAATGGGGAAACGGAAAGAAAACCAGTGCGAAAGGCGGTGATTCCCTATCTGATCCGCCGTTACATCTGTTTCGTTTGAGAGGACGAGAGAGATTCCCCGGGAGCGACAGAGATAAGACGGAGAAGGACACGGGAGAGAGAGGGAGAGTGAAATAGAGAGAGAGGAGGAGCAAGTACATCTCACAAAAAATTGCATGTCAAGTGAAATTACTTGTTTGCCAAAGAGGAACGAAGGGGTTGGAACGCATAAGGAATGTTCAGGGTAGCACGAAACGGAAACGGGCACGGGAATGCGGATGCGGATGCGGATGGGTATAGCTATGGGGATACGGGTAGCAATGACAGCTGCAGCACTCACACACACACACACAATGGAAGAGTGAGAGTAAATAATCCAGCTGGATGGAGCAACAACAATACGACTCGTACTCATGTGTGTCCTGGCTGAGACTTTGATATACGGAGACGGCACTTCGATCTGCCCGGTATATATGCAGCTAAGCACGATAAATTGAGATGAATGTCTGGCATGCGGCTAAAACACTCTCTCACTCTCTCTCTCTCCGTCACTCTCCAGCCATCTATATCCATCCCTATATCTATCCATCTATATCCTATGGCGCGTCCTGACTTACACTTGACACATTTTCCATTTGAATGGAAAAGTGCATTTGCCTGTTGGCTGTCTATCTTTTGTCCACAGATCCGAGTACTTCTCTATTTCGGGGGGCGACTGCTCTGTGACTTTAAGGTACTCTGCGGCATACCGTCTAGACATGTGTGGTGAATCGTGTGGCTGTGTGGCTATAAATATTTAAAAATGTGTTTCATTGCATATGGGCCATGAACAGAACAGGATTCATTCCCCTCCCACCACTCGACACGACTGTTGCACCATTAAAATGCAGCACGCATTGGGCCTGCAATTGCGTTGCATAATTTAAGGCGTTCTAAGGGGGTTGCTGTGGGTGTGGGTGTTGGCGTGGGGGCGAAAGTTGCCATAAAATATTCATTTTAAATGCAGCACGCAACACTTTGCAATGACGCATTTCTTCGCCCACTCCGCCCATGCCACCCACGCATTTAATTGCGGGCGTTGCAAATGCAAATGTCAGAGGGGAAGCAGGAAAATTTGCATGCCGATGACATGGCCCCAACAGGACGTCTGGTTGGCAGAGCCTGCTGTGAGGGCTATTTTCGGATATAGAAAGCGGGGGAGAGATCTAATCCCACGCAGCGCAGCGCTTGAGGAACACTGCTGAATGACTGACTGAGTGACAGACAGACAGCCAGCTCTGACGTGTGTGCGTGACTGTAGCTGTATCTGTGTCTGCATATCTTTGGCAATAACAGGCGTAACAAATAAACCAACAAACAAGAACTTACCGCAACTTAAACCACAGCTACAGCTCTCGAGCCAGTCTCCAGCTTCAGCTTCAGCTTCGGCTCCACCTCCAGCAACCAAAATTCATGTGTGTAGCACTTCAATCGTATGCAAATTCAATCGGTTTTTGTCAACTGCAAAATAATGTGGAAAACATTTTCATTAGCATTTTCGTGGCATAAACAATGTGTGGGGGCGGGCTGGAAACTGAAATTGAAAATTACTTTGCATAATCAAGGTTAACTGGAGGCAAACAGTCGGCCATTAGGTGTTTGAAAGACAACAGGACAGGAGGAGATTTGTCAGGCAATGAGCCCCCAGACAATGCCAACTGATTGCCATTCAAAGCTGTTGTTGAGTAGCGATGGAATTGACTGGAATGTGTCTGATTATTGATTATATCTTCTTAATGATGCCCCGCCAGGTCATGCAGCAGCAACAGCCAAACCCACATAATGCACAAAGGATGTACGAGCAGGAGTCGAAACAAAAGGAGTCAAGCCACATATGTGGCAGCAACCGCAGCAGCATTAAGATATCCACCGATAATACGCCACACATTAACAGGCAGATGCCATTTAAGAGGAAAATCAAGTAAGATATACGTTTACCCGTCAGCCCTCAGCCAGACCGACCGACAGACGTTGATTGCCGGCATTCGATCCATTAAAATTATGCACAATTATCCAATTCACTCGACCGTTGCATCGTCGCAACTTCAGCGAGCGGTTGTCATGATTGTTGCCTCGGCCACTGTTGTCTTTGGTTATACTTTTATTTTTATCCAAATTTATGGTATCGAGGACTCCGATCCACTCACGTTTTTCCAACAGCCTCGAGTCGGAGTTGGAGTCAGAGATTATGAGGCCGTCCCAGGCCTGGGCCGCATTGCACGTTTTGCAACCGAAAAGGGAAATTTTCACGGTGCTCACGTAATTGAATTGCAGTCGGGCTAAATTGGCATTTATTATAATATAAGCAAATATGCAATTTTGCCTTTTCACTAGCCAGAAAATAAATAAACGGGAAACAAATAACAGCCAGAGGAAAAGTCTTGCCAAGGCTATAAGCAAACGGCTAGAGAGTAGAGAGTAGAGAGAGAAATAAGTAAGCCAAATGGGAAAGTTATTAAATAATAGACGAGGCTCCTTGAGAGCTGAGCCTTCACTCAAGTTCAGACTGATGCCCTGGAAAATTCATCTGAAAAGCCATCATCAATTCTAAAGATACTCCGTGTCTGGGGCTGCTGCCGCTGACCTACATTGATGGTTATTCATTTATATTATATCCCCCCTCCCACTTCTTCTTTGGCTAAATTCTACCCACAAATCAACCACAGAGAAATTCAATTTAAATAAATAATTTTACGTCATCAAAGTACAGCAGGAAAAACACAGAAAATAATGAAATAATAAAGAAACACCAGCAGGTAATAATCGAAAGGGGAAAGGATTTTCCATAAGCTTCGAATTAAATGGAAAAAAAAATAAAATTAATAGTAGATATAAATATTATAAAAATTCGCATAGAGTACAAACAGCTATTTTGGGTATTTGCGCTATAATTAATCCATAAATTAATATTAGTTTAATATATATGCATGTATATTCATACTTTTAGAGCTCCGCTCTGCATCGCTATTGTGCGAATTTAATTTAATTATGGCCGAAAGCCGTGCCACATTTAATCGGATTTTCATTGGCTAAGGTGAAGCCTTTAATAGTGGACATTTTGTCAACGAATTTATGGATTAAAGGACAAATGGTTTAAATCACTCTTAGTCGCGTTATCGAATCGGAACTCAATTAAACCCTTTGTGAATGCCAGGATTTTCCTGTTCCTTTGGCCAACATTCAATTTGCAATTTTCTAATTATGTGGTTGAACATTTTGGTGTATTGAAAGCAATTACGCTAAATAATTGCAAATTCCCGTTGCGTGTACGTAAACGTACCGGTAAATACTCGTATGTGGCAAGTGGCATGTGGCAGACAACCTACACTCCACTCTGCTCCCTTTAACTCCTCTACCTTTCCCCTTTTCACAGTTCCAGTCTTTCCAAGTGATGTGCTGCCCGTTTCTTTTGCACTGCTTTCGAGATACTCTTCTCTCAGACACTCGTGCTTTTCTATTCATGAAAGACGTTATTTTTTAAGGGTATCTACCTGGCATCTACTCCTTAACCCTATTTCTCTCTTTGGTTTCCCTAATGACTGCGACGCCGGTTTCAAATTCAATGGCAAAAGGCGCTGTAGCTGTCGCTTGGGGGGGAGCAGACAGTGGAGCTGTTGATGTTGATGGCGCTTTCAAGGAACAGTTAACGTCAAGTGCCAAATCAGTTTTGCACTGCGCCAAACAATTTCCGCATTTAATTACATTGATTATCCACGAAGCCAAAGAGCGGCAATAGCTCTACCACTCCCCCTATAAATGGGTCCCATTTTACTGTATTTTTCTAACATCTAGAAAACTTTTGCTTTAGCATTGAACTTGAATTTGCCACAAATTGTTGATGCGGCATGGCCGAGGCCTCTACTGTGCTGTGACAATGCCCAACGAGCGTGTCATTGCTGTTGAATGCCTCCGTGGTGACAACATTCAACACTTTCATGCTCTGGCAGTGCAAAAAAACAAAGAAGCAATTGAACAACAACAGCAACAGCAACATGTTTCTGTCAACACAATTCGGTTTTTTTACTTGCAGCAATCGTAATGATAATAATTGTGGCAGCTGTAAAGCTGCAGTGAAACAAATAAACAGAAAAAAAAGAAGAAGAAAAAGATGAACAAAATCCATTAACTCATAATTTTCTGCTATGCTGAACACAATCCAGAACTCGGGGCTCTGGCAGAGCCTCTGCTTTTGCTGCTGCTGCTTTTTACACTGATTTTCCCTGAGTGTTCAGTTTGTTGTCGTTAAGCGAACACATATACGATACAACAACAACAAAAAAACCAAATTGCGCGCAATTTTACGGGAGAGCGCATTTTGCCCCAAACCACCCAGCAACACCCACGCCCATTCGGCACCACCCACTGTAGTAGCACCCACTCAGCCTCACACCCACACCACCGTGGAGGCAATGGAGGCACGTATGCGTGAAATATTGTGCAAACAACAACTCATACAATAGCTTCAGCTGCAACACCAACAATAACTGCAGCAGCATTTAAAACACTGCAACAAAAGATTCCACTTCTGAAAAGTCCAGAGCCGAATTTTTAGATACGCTTGCAGCTCGCTAATTACCATGTCAGGTCTTCCACTGAGCTACAAATTTCCAAAAGCCAAAAGTATTTAATAACTTTACAGAAACTGGGACCATTCGCCATTAACGATTTAGGACGTTGGATGAGGAAATCCACATAAATCTTACAAGTCAGTAAATTCCAATATGTTCAAAATTAAGTCAATATTTGGATTCTAGTTAAATATGGCTCGGACATTGTTTCGATAAGTTTTTGATAAGTTGGAATTGATGAAGAGTGGAATTCCACTCAATAAATAGTTCCTTAGGCACAGGGAACTCAAATATAATAATATTCAGTGATACTTCATCCGTCATATATCCGTCACAAAATTCCGCTTATAGTCATAGTACCCTATGCAGAAAATGGTACAGCAGCCACTGACTCATTGCAGATTCCTCATTTAAGTGCATCGTCGTTGCAAGTCGGAAAAATCTTCGGGCCAACAAGACTGGTGGACATGTGAGAGGGGGTGAAGAGGAATATATGTATATGGTAGACGGAACTCGTTTGTAACCGAAAAATAAAATTCACACGGCTTCTCAGCCGTTCGCTGTTGCCTGATTATGGGAAACAGTCAAAACGGGTTTGATTGTGGTCGTTGTTTCGGTTGTTGTTGTTGTTGTTTTGTTTTTACTGCTGTAGTTGTTTTTTGAGGTAATGTAACTTTTGCATGCAACGGTTTTTTGTTGTTGTTTTTGTTCAAATGAGAGTACAACAATGATAAAGTAGCTATTTATAGATACATTCCCATTGTATATACGATTGTAAATCTTTACAGTCTATTAAAAGTTATTTCCTTGTGACTATAAAAACACAAATATCCCATGGATTTTATAACCATATCGTATTTAAATAATTAAAGAGTGTATTAAATTAGTTAAACGTGTGCGAGTAGTCGCACAAGCAAGCTCTTTGAAATCCTAAAATTGTTTTAATTAGGTTTCAATCTCGTTTAAACAGAATAAATCCTCTTGTGGTACATATTTGTGGCTCTTTTGCTCTACATAGAAAACGAATCATGGGCAAAAAGGTAAGTTATAATCAAATTAATCCAACATATATCAATAAGTGACTTACGGGGGCTATAAATCATATGCAAATGATAGGTAATTGGCTCCGATGGATCATTGTCACCGCCCTCCAAAATGGGTCCTACACCGTAACCAATTTGTGTTGATTACAGTGGAGAGTATACCTCGAATCAATCATTTGTCTACATACAAAATATAGAAAAAAATAAATAACAATTGAAATGAATATTCTAGGAAGTAAACCTCCTCAGAAAAAGCGAAAATTATAGTAGACCCTTTGAGAAGTCGTTGAACTTAATCAAAGCTAATAGAATAGGTAATTGCCCTATAATTACAACGATTCGATTGGTTTGCGCTTAAATAAAAGAAAATTGAATGAATGAAATCTAACACTTGTGATGTCTATCGATTAATTGAATCAACTTTATCCCTGAATTTTTTTTCATTGCAAACTTCATCTGAAGGCAACCATAAAATAACACGATTTTGTAAGCGAAGCATTTTGTCTGGTCTTGTGTTCGGTTTATGCAGTTTTATGAACTGTAAATTGGTTAAATTACAAGCAATTATATATAATTCCATTGGCAGGCTACAGCTCACAAAGCTCACACGGCTCACACAACTCACTCACTCGAGCACCCGTCAAACGCATTTTGTCAGACAATTTCATTAACAACAATTGCCGCCAGGGGCCCCGGGGCTGTGGGTATGCGGTGTGTGTGTGTGTGTGTGTGCATAACCGCTTCATTTCCATTAGCCATACAATTTGATTAAGTTCCGAAAGAGGGAGAGACCAGACCAGACCACGCCAGGCCAGGCCAGGCCACAGCACAACTCCAATTCCGCAGGCAGATTACAATAATTTCTTTATCAAAGCAAACAATACGAGGTACTGTATACGCACAAACACGCAACAATAATAGCAGCGTTGAGGCAGGGCCGGGGCAATGGAAATCACAACAACAGGCTTAAAGGTCGTTGCATGTTCAACAACAAGCAAAAACCTTAATGCCAGAGGAAGGAACGGGAAGGGGCAAAAGTTGTGCCCTTGGTGCATACCCCAGAGATGGATTGGTGGATGGTGCATGGAGAGAGAGACGTGGACAATGACAACGAAACGGAAACTAGCGGAAATCATTAGAGTCTGCACAAATGACTTCAAGATACTTTTCCTATGGTGTGGCCCGCAAGCAGTTTTCGCCTTGGGTCCGCACAGTGGTCCACCCTGAAGCACAGGAAGACCCACATCATAGCCCAAGAGAACGGGGAAAATGCTGTCAGAAATGCTGCTAGTTGGTTGGTTTGGGGGAAACCTATTTTCACCAAAAATAAATGCTTGTCATCATCAAACTAGGAACCACTGCCATGAACTGAATATTGAGTAGTTGGAAAGTTTTGACAGAATAAAGATTGGGGTAGATATTCCTTATGATTGCTGGAACTCGTGTTAAAGATGCTCTCATTTAAAGTAATTTCCAAGGAACGAATGATATATATATTATTTTCCAATTTCATCTCTTTTCCTACCACTGTGCAGTCGTCCATTGGGTCTCTTTCCTTTTGCTGCTATCCATGGCCTTTGTTCCGCTTCTATATGTATATTTCTATCTTCTTTTTTTTGGCCAACTCGCACACACACACACAGAGCCACACAAAGGGAGCGTTGATAGTTCTTGTTGTGACTTTGTTAGTTGCTGCTGCGACCAGCAGCTTATGCTGGGGCATCTACTTAAATATCCGGTATCATTATTATAAAAATCACAAGCTGAGGATCCCCGGGCGGACGACGCACTGGGGCCCAGGAAGCAATTAGGGATGCAGAGCATAATTGACAGAGTTTTTTCCCTGCTTTAGTATATTTTTTTGTATCGGGGGGATCCAATTAACAGAGATTAAAGGTGTGAAAAGCTTTGGCTTTTGTCTCGTGATTAGCCTGGTATATTATGGGGGTAGGAGAGTGGCAGGGGCAGGTTGGAGTGTGCCAGGAAGGATTCATTGTGCAGTAGCAGAACCAGCAGAGCTGCACATTTGTCCGGCATAAGCTGGACCCAATGAGGGACCCTAAATAAAAATCAAGCAGACGTCAACGAAGCGTATGCGCAACGTGCAAATGAGATGCCAAGCTGCTGCCACTGGATGGGGGGGCAAGGAATGCAAAGTGTGGCAGTGGAAGGAAGGGACAGGAGTGCCACGGAGTGGAAGGTAAATAAAGAGCAGATAAAAATCAAATTAACAAAACGAAGTGAAGAGAAATTGCTGGCAAGTAAATAAAACTGCCAGGCCCCGAGAGTGTCGGTCGTTGGGCGACGGATGGGAAAGGCGAAAAAGCCACCTGATAAAAACCCAGAGAGAGGACTGGACACAGGACTTGTGCCCAGTTTTGGAGCCCAATTTATATATTTCAGCATTTTTTTATAGCGCCTCCGTTCGCTGATTGCAAACAAAATGAATTCAGCTACTGAGAAATGACAGGCAAAAGTTCTGGTGGATAGGGGGGACAGGCAGCAGCAGACAGAGGCAGAGGCCATCGAGATGCGTGGCAATATAAAAATACAATTTAACAATGGACTGAAGGCAGGACGATTACACAAATAAATTTAATGACTGTGCGCCCCCCGCCCACACGCCAGAAAAAAAGGCAAACACTGAACAAAGATAGGACCTGAAATGAACCAGAAATGGTGAGGGAAGAGGGGGGCGCGGCTCAAAGAGTGTCCGTAATCTGCTTAAAAGCACAGCCCGGGGCACAGGCCTACGGCTGTCGTGTGCCGTGCCGCAAGGCATCAAAATTAACGGCAAGAAATTTAAAAATGTAATTGACAGGCCAACTGACGGGCGGCTGGAGGCCATCAGCGATCAGCAGCCTCGCTCTACCTTCGGCAGTTATTAAAACACACACACAGGCGGACGGACATACACATAAACACACACACACACACACAGCGCGTATACGGAATGAGGAAGCGGAAATGCAGCATTAAATGGAAATAAAACCAGCGGGCAGGCAGACAGGCGGGCAGGCTGGCGGCCAGGCTGGCGGGTAGTCATGGCTGCCGCCGCTTAAGGACACTTTGGCCATAGCCATCGTCATTGCCAGAACGCGACTCGTTGTGGTTCGCTCTTGGCGTAATTGCTCTCAGCGGAGGGCTTAACATATCCCAGCCCCAGGCCCATGGCCATGGCTGATCTGTCCGTCCGTCCGCCTGCGGATCCGTTTGTCAATGCTTTATTTGCGTTTATCGCAATCATTTCGCTGTCCTTCGCTGTCCGTTCGAATCGTGTTAATATGGCAATTTACATTTACATTATTTTTATTATGCCGCACACAGCCCGCAATCCAACGAAGTGGAGCGAGTGAATCGGTTTAAAGATATTATAAATGCATATATTTTCCCGCGTACATTCTGTCATAATCAAGTTGGCCGCTTGTCAGGCGCTCTCTGCCTGCGGTTATCGCATTTAATGGCTGCCCCACAGAAAAGTTAAATATTTTAAATTCCCGCCATAATGGAGCAACAAATGCCAGCTGCCGGTCGAGTCGAGAGGCAGCCACTGATGAGGCAGGCCCTGCTGCTGCTGCTGCTGCTGTTACTGCTGCTGGGAGCCATAACAATTAGAAGCAATTGCTACTCTCTGGCAACTGCGACGACTCCGACGACTGGCAACTGCTAAATTGCCACTGGCTGCAATTTCACTTATTTTCACGTGCAACTTGCAACTTGGCCACAAGGAAAGTGAGTGACGAGCGACGAGGCGATGAGGCGACGACAACGATGACTGCCACACTGCCACTGTGCCATTGCACTTGGCTCCCAATCCATGCAGATGGCTTTAGCGAGTGGGGGGTGGGCGGTGCTAAATGCTCACTACTGCCAAGGGCTGAGAACACTGCGGAAAATTTAATTATGATTACAATCTGAAGGTTGAATTTTTTATTCCCATCCCCAGAAGAAAAAAAATTTATCACCCCCACGATATCTTTTAAGTATCATTTTCTTACCAGGTTATGGCTCCCTTTAAAAATTCCCATTTCACTTCTGAATTTCTTATCATTCCCATGTCACGAAACTTACTTGAAGCCCCCCTTGTTATTTTCTCTCAGTGCAGGCTAACGGAGAGTGAATGTTAGCTGGAGACTTGGAGTCTCTTCGCAAAGGTAACAATAAACGTAAGCCGAATGACGGGCATCGCATTGCCGGAGCGCAGAGCCGGAAGCTGTGTGCAAGGCAGCGGCGAGGCAGCTCGAAGCAGCGGCGAAGCAGCAGCGACCATGTGAAAATTTCACTTTCATGTTTAACTTAGACCAACAGCACACATACATACATCTCTTTCTTTGTCTCTGTCTCTCATTCTCTCTTTCTTACTTGTGTCAATGCGTCGGTGGCTGCTGCAACTGCAACGATGCTTCTTGCCGCACCTCTTGGGGACACACTTTTGTGTCTCGCATTACCCCAAGGCATGCGTCGCGTTTTCGGTTGCATTTTCTTCTTGCCTCATGCCTCATGTCCCATGCCCCTTCCACATGTCCCTTCCCTTGTGGGTCGTTCCAGCGGGCATTATGTGACATCCCACAATGAATGGGACTGCGCGTCATAAGCAACAGAAAACAAACAACCAAAGAAGAAAAAAAAAACCGAAAATAAAACAGGAAAAAATGCAAAGAAAAACCCCAAGCAACGTTGTTAAAGAAAAGTGCAAGCGACACAGTGTGTCCACTTAAAGCAGGCAACAATGTGTGCCACCAACAGCAGCAGCCATAGATGCAGCAGCAAAGGCAGCAGCCTCCATAGATGCATCAGCAAGAGTCATGACAAAGCTGGAGGCAACAAAAACATCTGCAACGGCCGCAGCATCAGCATCAGAAACAATTTTGAAGCATTGCATAAGAGGCTGCTGGGAGCACACGATCTCCCAGCGAATGAGCGTGGGAGAAGCGCCTAATTATCCCCAAAATGCAGCAAATAAAGTGGTGGGGACTAAAGACTAAAGGAGAGTTTAATGGATACATTGATGTAACAAATGCGAGCTAGCGATGCATACAGGGGAATCTACTCCTATGAAGATATATATTTGTATATAGAATAATGCATACACTCATTTAATTCATGGAATATTATGAATACTGTCATTGAGGAATGGATACAATGACCTCTAAGCTAAACAAAGTTCATCGTTATCCATC